ATCGGTTCCACATTCTAGTGCAGCTCTTTTTTCTCCATAGGCAGCCAAGAGGATGATGATTGAACACGGCTCTGGCTGGCCCGCAGTCCTTAGACTTGGCGTCCGCAGTGTGGAACAGGGCCTGGTCTTGGCTCTGGCCCTGCATCTTATCAATCTTGGCCACATATAGAAGGTTACAGAATGCCCTGGTGGCCTTTTGTGCGGTTGGCATTAGGCCCAGATAATGATTGCCTTAGTGGATTGTTTGGAGGCTCGCCATAGCCCTTGACCCTGAAATGATTGAATGATAACTCGTCAACAATACGGGCAACTTATTGGGAGACTTCTATCACATGAGTGAGAGTTTCTTTTCTTTTTGCATTCCCTTGGCCTCCAAGGTCTGTCCAAAACCCCATTCGCTTGTCCCTCCACTGAGCCAAGCAGTTCGAACAACCCTAATGGCACCCTTATTGCTTGGCAAACTCCCGAATTGGGAGATGGCTTTCGGATTTTAAAAGAGATCATCTCACACGTGGTGGCTCAACTCTCCCGAGATTACAGGGTTCCGACGATAATCGTTACCACTCTCGCAGGAAACCCATTAATTCAGGCGGCCGCCACGGACACGGTTCCCATAGACCTTCTTGGCGATGGGACCAAGTAAACAGCCGGGCCAATTATGTCCAAATAGATCAAATTGATTCAATCCAGGAGAAGGGTATCGGTCTGACTCCAGCTTCTGCGTGAATTTCTGAAAAGGCTACTAAGTCTTGATGACAAGAATTACTGAAGTATAAATGTCCATGCCGCGATGCTGCTTGGTTCGTAAGAGAGAATTGAGACGTTGACCAACACTCAGCTCAGCAGGCTGGCTTAGAACTCACCCTCCTCTCCTCCTCTCCTCCTCTCCTCCTCTCCTCCTCTCCTCCTCTCCTCCTCTCCTCCTCTCCTCCTCTTTCCCCCTTTCTATCCCCTTCTTAGCTGCTTTTAAAAATGTCTGCTCCCCAAGTGCCTCTTGGCCCTCCAGAGGAGAAAAAGACATCTGCTCCCGTTATCTCAGTTCCATTGGAGGAAGAAAGTATCTCAGCTGAGAATGAGCCAGTTCAGAAAGTGATCCCATGGACCTACAAATGGATTGCATTAGCATGTGTTGTTGCCTTTCCCATTGGGCAAAACTGGACCAACGCCAGCCTGGGTCCTCTCAAGAACACACTCCGCCAGGAACTGGGCATCACGAACGCCCAGTTCGGCGTGATTGCCAGCGCTGATTCATTTGTCAACTCTATTTTTCCAATCCTGGGGGGCATGATCCTTGACTGGTGGGGGCCCAACCCTGTCACCATCTGCTGTACAGTCGTCATCTTTCTCGGTTCGGTTGTTGCTGCTGCCTCCATCCATATCTCGGCTTGGCGTATGCTGGTCGCTGGGCACGTCATCATGGGTTTTGGCATTGCCATTCTTGATCAAGCCCAGCAGAAGGTGAGACACCTCTTTCCATGCCTGAGCAACACGTAGGATAGAACAGTGACTGATACTCGTATTTGCATAGTTCATTTATCATTGGTTCGGCGCTGGGGGTCTAGCATTTGCCTTTGGTCTCGAGAATGCCATATCTGGTGTTGTTGGTCTCGTGGCTGGCATGGTTGCTATCCCCATCCGTGACAGCACTGGCTGGTATGGCTGGACGTTCTGGGTGCCGGCTTTCTTCTGCTGCGCCAGTATGCTGATCAATATTGCCTACGTCTTTTTCGAGCATGTTTTCATCCCCAAACATTACCGTCTGACGTCTGCCAGGGCCAAAGCTGTTGCAAAGAGTCATGGCCTCAACGTGAAGCGCACATTTTCCTGGGACTCGCTTTTGAAACTCCCCTGGCAGTACCTCATGCTTCCCGGAACTCAGATTCTGCAGAGTGGTGGCGCCAATGGGTTTGGTGTTTCGGCGGCAGACATGATCCGCATGAAAGGATATAAAGAGGACACTGCCGGCTTCATGACTACAGGCCAGAAGGTGATTCGGATCGTGGGAGCCCCTGTTGTCGGCTGGCTCATCGATAGATATGGCCACCGATTTCACCTCGTCGCCCTCGCACCCCTCTTTTATGTTCTCGCCAACTCCCTCATCGGTTTCACGAGCGCCCATCCACTTGTGGCACTTGTGATGCAGTCCATCGCAGGTCTGATTAATGGCATGCCTCTGAATGTCAGCATCCCCCTACTGGTTGCTGACCAGGACAAGTTGGGGACTGCTTTTGGTGTCTGGAGGGCCTTCAACAACTCTGGTGCTACAATTGTAAGACACAACTTACCCAGGCTACTTCTTCACTTTTGCTAACTGCTAGTTTAGATGGAAGTTGTATACGGTGTGGTTCAGGATGGCACAGAGGCAATGGGTTATGGCCGAGTCTTGATCGTTTCGTCATGCATCAAGGCTGTCGGCTTCTTTATCGGTATCACATATATCATTGTCGACTTCAAAAAGCTTGGAAAGGGTATCACTATGACGCGATCCCAGCGAGAAGCACGGGAATCTGAGATTGAGGACAGAGACGCCGATCCACTTACGAGGAGGAAACCGGTTAAGGCATGGACAATATACGTCATGTGTGCTCTGGTAGCTATGGTTGCAACTGGATGGACTCTGTTCATCAAATATCTCAGCTAGAGCCAGACTATCTGTATACCTTACTTGTGTGCTTTCAAAAGACAGGCATCTTGCTTTTGCCAGGGCATCTTCCACCGAGGCATGCTGCGCAGCCTTAAACTTCAATTTGGATCTTTAAATTGAAGATGAGAGTATCAAAATAAACCTGACTTTAATGCAGTAGACTGTAATTCAATACATCCTCCCAAAGATTCAATGAACTGTGAACCATTAGACTAAGGATCACTCTATTCAGACTCATTATTTCTTCTTCTATCTTGAAAACTGTGCAATCATGTGCTTCGTATCTATTTCGCTAGATCAATAAGCGAGGAATTGGAAAGCGCTTTGTCAAAGCACTGGTACTTGGCTGGGTTTTCTTGTATTTTTCGTGTGACAACTCCAAGCCTTCGGACACCTTCCGTGATATCATCCTCTGGGACATATGCAAATGTCAATCTAATGTATTTGTCGGTATCAATCTCGTGTTTGTTATCCTCCACTTGGAACATCGAGCCATTTCCAATGATAAGCATATCAGCCATTGCTACTTCTGAGATGACTCTGGATGAAATACCATCCGGGGTTGTCAACCAAGCAAAGTACCCTCCATAAACGTTCCCACCCAGTTGTCCTGCCTCTCGAGGCTGGAAGCCGAGTGGAAGAAGATGGGTATGTATCGCATCAACCATGACGCGATGCCGGTGCTGCAAATTCGGTCGCACTTTGTCTGCGAGGTGTTTCTGGAGGGTGCCGGTTTCGATCATATCTGCTAATATAGAGGCACAGAACTGGCTCGGTGAGCCACCGGACTTGGTCGAACCTGTTTGCGCAAGTCCAAACGCGAAAGCAGTCGATCCTTCAAGCCATCCAGTGCGCATTCCAGGGCCGACCATCTTGCTAAATGATCCGTTGCTAACCGCGTGTCCGAAGCCCTTCGGGTCATTAGGAGAAGGCTCCATAGCAAGATCGATATCGCAGAGCCGAGGTAGAATCATTTCAATTGTCTCATCTGGACGTATTGTCGGCTTGTCCTTCTGATCAATCGGCCACTGAAGTTGATCATAGACGTCGTCACAGATGACAAGACCATCGAACTTGCGTGCCAGCCTTACCAATCCTTCGCGGCGCTTGACTGGCATTGTCTTCCCTGAGGGATTGGCGCACGTAGGAACAACGTAGATGACATGGCGATAAAACTTCCGATGCGGTCCGGGGTCTTTTACTGGAATCTGGTTCTTCTTAGCCACGCCTCGTATTGGGGTTTTGAGTAAACCACGTTGTCTAATCATACCTTTTCGCCTTGCTCATCTTGCTCTTCAAATTGACGCATCTTCTCCTCAAGTACTTCCAGATTCGGCCCCTCATCATCTTCGGGAAATTCCATCAATCTATTTTTGAATCCCGCATCGTCGAATATAGCAAACACGAGGTGGTAGGTTGGGTTGACTAGCCACACAGCACGCGTGACATTCGGATCTGTGAAGCTCTGTAGGATGCATGCGATGTTCTGGCTTGCGCCGCCAGAAATGCAAATTCGTTCGGGATTACGCGGGACTCTGTAGTGTGAATGTAGCCATGTTGCGAGAGCCTCACGCAGTGGTTGGAATCCGGGATCTGCGCCGTATTGGAGGGCTGGAATGAAGACCTCGGGGTTTGAAAGAACGGCCTGCGAAGAAGCCGACAGTAGATCCTTTGGGAGAAGCCCAGGGTGTGGCCAGCCGCGTAGTAGGTTGATGAGGTGAAGAGCTGCTTTGGCCATGATAACGAAATCAGCGCAATGATAAGCAACAGGGTGGTTTAGGATGGTGTTTCAGGAGAGAGCCTAAGCAGAGTGAAGGGTGGGTGGAGCGCTTTTATACCTGTTGCGGGAGGGATGGCCAGCAAGGGGGACGTAGCTCTCTCGCATACACTCGGCACTGCTCAATGTTGGAAGGCTTCTCCGAATCTATTACAAATTGTTTCATGCTGCTGAGAAGCTGAATCTCCACCTGGATTACCAAAAGCCAGCGGTAAGCAATCCAATTGACGCCATATTCGCAATCGCTCCCGCACTGCTCTCCCGTCACTACAATCAGAACGTAAGAGGGAACACGAAGGCATTCTTACCATATGACGGAGAAACGAGTTTTATGGAGATTACGTGATTCTCTCACTTTCCAGCTTATTTAATGTTCCTACGATCTTGATTAAGTTGTACTCCTCTCCAAATAATCACTCTCTGGAGATCAACGAGTGGCATCCCCAGCACATCTCTAACTCTAGTAGAATTTAATTACCTCTATATCCCTAAGGTTTGGACATGTTATTTTTTAGAGGATTCATATCCAGTGTCCGTATAGCCAAAATAATCCCTTCTAGAACTTGAAAGTCCCTCAAACTATCGAGAGAACCTTTGTCGCAGGCGGGTGAGAAGAGAAGGCTTCTGAGGTGTGGATTCCTCTTCTGCCTTGAGATCTTCCAGCCCGGTTTGAAGATCAATTTCATGCAAGGGATAGCACCAAGCATCTGATCTCCCAGTAGTGAGCCGGTGACCAAAATACAGTATGAAGAATATGGGGATGCCGATGTAAGCGCTGAAAAAGGAAGACACCGACCACGAAGACGGCAAGAAGACCTCGAATCCGTTTATCAGGCAGAGTACCGTAAAAATCCCGATACATGCGTAGGAGCTCCACGGCTGAAGCCTAGAGGTGTATGGGAGGTCCTCTCTTGGGAGCCCCTGAGCGGCGAATGCACTCTGAAATCGGATTGAAGTCTATGGAACTCATGTTAATGAAACCTTCTCGTCACATTGAAATCAGGCATCACTTACGATAGCGCAGCAAATCCATGAAATGAATGCAGCAGTGTTCACAAGGTTGACAAACCAGCTAAAAACCTCACCCGCCTTTGCGTTGACATTCAGGTACGCCAGCAGAGAGAAGGCGGAGCTGGCCAAGACAGCAACGTAAGGAACACCCTTTTTTGTGCACTTTGTGAAAATCTTTGGAGCCTGCCCGTTAAGCGCCATCGAGTAAAGAGATCTGCTAGACTGGAAGATGAAAGCGTTACCAGCAGACCAGGCAGAGGTGAGAATTGCAGCATTTATCACACTGTCAAGACCTTTGATGCCAGCCCTCTTAATTCCGAGGACAAAAGGTGAAGAGCCAGCACCTGAGGTGCCGTTGGTGAGCTCCTTCTCATTAGAAGGACAAATGACACCAATTGCGATGACAGAGCCAATATAGAATACAAGAATGCGGACAATGAAACTCTTTGCCGCCCTGGGAAGGTTGCGACGAGGCGACTTCATTTCACCGCAACAGAAAACCAACATTTCTGGGGCAAACGAGAACTGCGGTTCATCCTGTCAGTAAATATATAAGTAGAGAATCTCAGAGGGTGGACAAACAGGGAGAAGTGCCGAGATAAGTGTGCTCCAGAAGCTGACCGCATAGCCTGCCGAGCCCTCGAGGATATAAGGGTTAACAGCACCCGGGTCTTTCCAGTAGTAGAAACCAAGCCTTGGGTTTCCAGGTCCTCCCCACCAGAAGATGACGAACGAAAGGATGAGAAGTCCAATGATTGTGATGACCTTCAGGGAGGCAAAGTAGAATTCTGTTTCTCCGTACACCGAGACAGGCAGAAGGTTCAGCACCACTATCACAACAAGCATGATAGTAATCCAGACTGCTGGGTTGACGGGCGGGTTCCAGAAGTCGATGATCAAAGTAGATGCGGTGATTTCGTAAGGAACGAATATTCCCTGTTCCATGAAATATCAGTGATCAACCTTTCTATCGGCCAAATTATGACGAGAGTTTCACTTACAAATGCGTACCAATAATACCAACCCAATGCCCAGCCCAAGGATGGAGAGACGTAACGCGTGGCAAAATACGCCGGCGTAGCACCTTTTACCGGTCTATTTCAATTCAGTTAGCATGCATGCTGTGATTAGTCCTCTGTAGGTACTCACAAATACGAAGCTGTCATTATGATAGATCCAACGATCATATACACCAGCCCTGACATGAGAATATAAGAGATGAGCATGAATGCTGGGCCACCCTTTGCAAGAGTCACACCACTGCCCACAAACAAGGCGGTACCAATAGTACCGCCCAGAGCAATGAGCTGTGCATGCCGCGACTTGAGACCACGTTTAGTCATGGGCTCTTGGATTTCTCCACTGGAGGTGTCGCTTGTTGAATGGGCAGCAGACTGGACTGTGCCTTTTTCAGGGGCATCACTGCCACCCAAATTTTCTAATGTGGCAGCCATGTCGAGATGAAGTCTGACGGATTCAGAAGAAAGGATTGCAGGAAGATCCCAAGTCGATTCATGATTGAAAGTCACGGCAGCAGAGCAAATGATAAATATCTTGACGGGAGAGAACTTGCCGAAGAAATCTCGACGAGAGAGCTTTCGCGTGGAGACTAGATCCAGAACCAAAGATAAGGGAACCGGGCTCGCTGACTGCTTCCATTCTTGCTAGCTTATGAGTCTGTGGAGCTCGGAGATATCCATGATTTGGTTTCCCTGTTCAGTGGGTCAGTTCCTGATTCAAGTCTCTGTGACGCAGGATTGGTAACCAATCGAAACGTGAATGACCCCAGAACAAGAATTATAAGTTGGCAGCCTATTGGTATTCGGGAATAATGAAGCCATGAGATAAATATCGTTCGATGATAAGCCGGACGTCAGAAGGGCGAGGAGGGCGAAAGGAGGGTGGTTCTAGCCATTCCTTGCATCCGAGTTTCCACATAGTCCGACAAGAAAGATCAAGGCTTGCTTTGTTGGTTTTGTTTTCATAATAGACCAAAGTACCGAGTAAAATCTTAAAGAATGTCAGACAATCGTATAACGCAAGTGTAATTCTCAATCTGGGGAAGTTCAATAAGAGTACATGTCAACCTGTCAACCCTTCATCTCATTGGTTACCAAGTCATCATATTGCAGCAGATTACTTAATTTCCATGTGTCTCCGGCCGGCTCATGTCGGGAATAACAAACGGGCTGGCTTGGCCAGGCATTTGCAGGGCCAATTACTCGCACGCCTAGTTCAGTTATTAGTTCTATTACAAATATCATCGTGTCTTTGAATCCATTAGAGCCTTAATTCCCCGCATGAAAAAGCATCTGGCAGATGACCGACCCACACCTCGCTGACTGCTTCCCTCTGAAAATCTCGCTGACTGTTTCCTCCAACCAACCGAGTTCGGAGTGCTTGATAACGACAACGTTCATGCTCTTTAATCTATCGGACACGCCAACGAATATATAAGTCAATAGCTTCAACTACGGTCAGAAGGAATTGTAGCGTGATTGATAAGAAAATATTCAGACATCAAGACTTGCCACCATGGTTCAGCGCATTGCTCGGGAAGCCGGCCTGCAGGCCTTCATTGACGCCGTCGAGAAGGACGGTTGCGTTATCATCCAAGATTTCACAGACTTCGAATCCCTCGAGCAGGCAGGTAAAGAAGTTCAACCCTATCTCGATGCATCCATCTCAGATGCTGGAAGCACTGTGGGTGCCTTGAATGGAGGGACCGCCACTTGCACTCGGCTCGTAGGGCGAAGCAAGACGGTTCGGGAGAAGTTCTTCTCCGACTCGTTATACCAGGTATGCTTACACACATCTGGATCTCTCCAACCGAGAGTCAACCTCTAATTGATAACTCCAACAGAGCATTGCCGATCATTTCATCGGTCTGGAGACAAAGATATGGTATGGATCCGAACCTACCATCCAGAAATCAGACCCCCTTCTCTCCATCTCCATAACAATGTCCTCGCAACCCGGATGCAAAGCTCAAAAGCTTCACCGTGATGACAAGAATCACCACCATCGACACCAACAGGCGAGTCAATACTCCAAGGGACGTGACATGCTCATTGGGTTGTTTGTCCCCGCATGCGACACTTTCAAGGCCAACGGCGCAACACGCATCATCCCGGGCTCTCATCTCTGGGGTGACGATAAGCCTGACTTCGGAGAAGACGGGAACAAAGGCGTTATAGATGCCGAATTGAAGAAGGGAGAGGCCTTTGTCATGTTGGGCAGCCTCTACCACGGCGCTGGCAATTATACACTCCAAAGCGGCTGCCGAACGGTGCATATTATGTTTATGTGCAGTGGCGTGCATCGCCAAGAGGTAAGTCTTCCATGTTCCGTCACAGAGACCAATTACTGACAGTATTTATAAAGGAAATCCCATACCTGAGCTATCCAATTGAAGACGTCAAGACGTATTCCCAGCTTGTTCGAGATCGCCTAGGATGGAAACAATCTGAGCCAAATCTTGGATGGGTTGACCTCAAGTCCCCAGAGTTTTTACTAGAGTAGACCTCGGTGTGATGCATGTAGTTATGTAGATAATAGAGGTCCATCGATAAATCAATAACTATAAAGTGCAATATCTCGGCTCCCATTTTGAGGGCCCCAACAAATGTTGCCAGTTTGATACGGAGAGATCAAATCCTAGGTTGCCAATAATCAGCTCAAATTAGATCTCTGTCATTGCTGAAGCCAATTATGATGTGGATAACGAAAATTTGACACAATTTATGTAGTGCTTTCTGTTTTCGATCGGATTGATCCATCTAGTCTAGTATGTCCAGTCAATCATCCATGATATCGCAATTCCTCGCTACACCTCAAATCATCAGGTCTGTTTTCGTATGAATTCCATATGGGTATCATTGTCTTATGTTCAAATGACTAGTAAAAGTGGTATTACAATATCCAATACAAAGCTTGAGCTTAGATGGCCAAGATCTTCGTCCCTCTCCTTCGTAAAACAACCGCCCAATACGGCTCATCACCACACAACTCAGTGTCTTGCAGAGCCCAAATTTCCTGAACGACAGTCCATAAATTTGAAATATTGCCAATCCGATACCCGAGCATCTGATTCCACCATTTGGCCCAGACAGGGCGGTCAGACGCGCTAGCCTGGCACGAGGCAATGAAGCCTGGCCAGGAAATAGTTGCAGTCGGGATCACATTGTAGCATGTACGCTTCTTGATATCCTCAATCTCCGTGAGCTGCGAGGCAACAGTTCTGGCGAGGAATTGGAGCGTATTCTCTTCGCAGGGGAGCACGCGGGTGTGATAATAAATCCGGATACTTGTAGCAAATGCCAAGATATGCTTTGATATTAGCAGAAGAGTAATGTCGTCACTCTTGGAGAATGAAACCAACGGCTCCTGGCTGATATGCCACTCTGAAATACTGGCCAATAACTGTTCACGAGCAGCCGAGAATTCGTCTGGGAGATCGGTCTCATTTGATCTGTAGTACTCAGTATTCCGTGCCAGAATACACGTCTGGCGAATAAAGCCAGCAAGTTTAGCAGTGATACCATATGTGAACTCCAATGTGCTGCCATCTCCAAGGAAAAGCGGCGCGTTGTACATGTCACTTGACCACGGCAAAGGCTCGTTACTGACGTCTAATGAATCGCTCAGTGTACGAAGAAAGTAGGAGATGTTGATGAGGTGCTCTGCTTGAGAGCCAGGGAGCACATGCTGTCGAAGGTTTCTCACGAGGCCTTTTGTTGCATCTAGATGGATCCAAAATTCGTTCATTTGTCCATCAAGAACCTAAATATTGTGAGCAAAAAGCTACATTGATCGGGGTTGAGAAAACTCACATCGGCTGTTACTAGGGTTAGCATTACAGATAGCACACCTTCGTAGTCAGAGAGGGATTTATTTGATGGTGATTGGCCGGATGTGGTCTTTGGGTCAAAAAGCGACTTCAATGCCAGTTGCAGGTGCGCTTGTGCTTTCAAGCGGAAACTTGTGGCCAACGCATCTGCCTCACCAAACCTGTCAGAGCCGCGGAGGAAGAACGCAGACGAGGTGAGGAGCGCGTACAACAGTGCGGTTTTGCTGTTCAACGCGATATCTGAAGATCCAAGGCGCTGGATCTCATTCTCTCTCTTGGTGGATTTCAAAGCCACAGCCATAGCTTGCGTAGCATATATCGAGCTATAGGCGTTGCCAGAGTGAACTACAGGCTGCAAGACAGTGGCGACATTGTGCACATAGTTATGCATTAGTTGTTGGACAAGGATATCTTTGCTGTCTTCTCTGCCAAGCATCGGGAAGGGGTTAATGAGAGAATGGCAAATGTGTAAGATATCTTGGGACTCGGCGGCGGGGCTAGCCGTGTACAAGGAGAGGGCGTTTTCTGAATGGGGGTGAACATCTTCAATCGCATCATCCTCTTCGATATCAGCAATTCCTGTATCTGCTCCTCCCTCGTCAAGGGCCTCCTCGAATACCTCCGGCATGAGGGTATCTGAAACAGGCAAGGTATCAATCAAGGAGGTGGAGGGTGTTGTAGGCAATTGACTCCGGGATGTGAAGACTCCAAAGGGTCCAGACACGAAGGCTTCCCGAGCCTCGGTGGCCTTGTACCCATCGACATCTTGTAAATGCTCGTCAACATCGTTGATCTGCCCTGCACGCCAGTGTGGGACTCCTACTGTTCATTTTGTAAGCACGTGCCACGACAATTCAGGGGGGATGGGGGTGCAATACGCGGCAACTTCATGGCCTGGCGTTTGATGGCCGAGGGGGCGTGAGATTCCTCGTCGGTGATCCAGTACAGTGGTACATTGTAACCCTGACACTCGATATTTGCTTTGATGCAGCGGTGGCATTTTGGGCGGTTGGCGTCGCACTTCACTTTCCTGGATCGGCATGTCCAACAGCTGCGGCACATCCGTGATTAGCTCTCTACCCACAAATCGGGTGGGTACTCATTAGTTACCCTGTAAATGTCTTTGTTTTGACTCTTTTCTTCGAAGACGCATTGTTAGCACTCATAATCACCAAGAATTCCCATATTGTGGGAGGGTTCGTTGGTTGCAGGCCGGAAGAATGAATTGAATCAAGAGCTGGTTATTGCGGAACTCGTCCCATCGTTCTTATCTCCTATCAGTTCTTATCGCATTCTTCGGAGATCACGTGATGAGGTGTCTCTGTAAGGAGCCAATGCCCCGAGATCCTCTTTGAGAGCCGCAGAAGCATGCAGGTATCAATCACCAAATGGGTCAGTGTTGAATGAGTTTTTCTTTTTAGTTGTCTATATTAAAAGAAGCCCGAGAGATACTTTCCCACACGTGTTAGACAGTTTTACACCCTTTCTTATATCTAATTGACGGAATTCTCGCGCAGAGAGCATTTGCTAGGCAACGTCTTTAGGGTAGGTAGGCAATGAGCAATGGGAGACGCGCTGATCTCCAATAGGCTAATCTTGCCTTTTCAGGGGCTGATAAGACTTAGCCACCTGTGGCTAGGTCGGTGGCTGGTGTTGTCTAATTTTAGGTACAGCGGTATCGCGTGTGATATTTGCGACAAAAGACTGTTTCTTAAAATCAAATCGACAACTTTATTGATGATAAGCCCAGAATTAATGGCATTGTTTGTCTTGTTAGACAATTTTGTTTTTAGTCGGGTTTCTGACTCAGCCATGCTCTCAACTGCTTCTCGCGCTGCCACTATCGCTCCTTCGCTCCGCAATATTGTGTTTTTCTGATTTCGTTGAATCGATACTTCTAAAATTTCCAGCGCTTCTTCTATTCGCTCTGTCCCTAGCTTGATGGGGGCGTGTCTAGCCCGGATGTTGCAAACTTAAACGGGATGTACGGAGCCATCGTTCATCCAATTATTATGCGAACACGACATATACGAGGCAACTACTCCGCATGCAGCCACCCTCTTATAAAGCGTGTGGCGCACCCTTAAAGAAGAGCAGGAACCTTTGTTTCCCCCAACTTTCCAAGATAACTGTGCACCAAATATCCAAACCCACGAAAAGAGCACGATGTCAGACTCCGAGGAATTGCGAGCGACGCTCCAGAGAACTGCCACTCATTTCATCGATCGCTGTAATGAACACACTGTCGATGCTATCCTCTCACTTCGTACCGACACCTGCAAGCACACACACCTCCCCTCATCGCTTGGTATTGGAACCTACAACAACGCAGAATATGGGGAATTCTACGGCCGATTTGCCGACATGATGAAAGACTGCACCTGCTGGATAGCCGATGACAAAGAGATGGTTGTGGATGTCGAGTCTCGAAAGGTGGTGATGCATGTGAAAAATAAGGGGATCACTCCGTTGGGAGAGTATGAGAACGAATACATGTGGATCTTGACGATGACTGGAGATGGGAAGAAGATCGAGGACATAGTAGAGTTCTGTGATTCGGCAAAGGCGGTTGAACTCATGAAGAAACATCAAGGTCAAATGAACGCCTAAAGCTAGAGAAAGGGCAATCGGTTCGGAAGGAGGATGTCGATTGATGGTTAAGCGAGGTTAGGGTGATGGAGAGGACTTGTGTTTACTAATCGCTATCCCCTCTCAGTATTGGTGAATTCTAGCTTAACATGAGAGAAATTTGGAAGACGTTTGGCGAAAAGTCGGCTGAGTAGATAAGGACCAGACTTTATGCACTCCTTCGAGTCCAATTTGAAAGAATCTTGGCACACTGATAGCCCGGTACCAAGGTACAAGCATGAATCGTGTTACTTGGGACACTGAAAATATTTGTTTTGCATCGTCAATAATAATGTGCACGGAGAATGTGATCAAAGAGTGTATTTCTTGCAAATTATCAAATTACCCCAAGGGTATGAGAAGATGCTGGGTCTGTACGATCAGCGGGGTTGGAAACCCTTGTATGCTGAGTTTTCCAACCATCGGTTGTTGAGTAGCATACTCCCTCATAGTCAACCAACTGTTATTTGGCTTGCATGGCTAAACTAAAATAGAAAATGAGCGACCAGAAATGGTGTTGTTTCGATAACGACCATCACCTTCCATATGAATGAGACACAAAATTCAAATCAAAATCGGATGAATGAGAGACTTAAGAATGAAAAGTGTTGTGTTACTTCGGGTAACTCCCTGTTTCCCGAAAAGCGTTCTTCCTTATGGATAGACCACCGGGGTGGCTTGGTAGCCAGAGGGACTTGGTAGCCAGAAAAGCATGCCGTATTAGCCGAAAATGTCGCCTTTTCGAAGAAAGTCGTCAATCTCGTTAGCAAAGTAGTCTTCGTTGGTCTCAATTGCAAAGTGACCAGCGTCAATGAGGTGCAATTCGAGATTCTTCACATCCTTCTTGAACGCCTTAGCGCCGGGTGGAATAAAGATCTCGTCATTCTTGCCCCAGATGGCAAGAACAGGCACCTCGGAAGTTCGAAAGTATTCCTGGAAAGCAGGATAGAGGTCGATATTCTTGCGGTAATCGTAGAGTAGATCCAGCTGAATGTCTCGGTTCCCCTCGCGCTCCACGAGTGCATGGTCCAACCAGTAGCTCTCAGGCTGGATCTTCTCTGGATGAGGCGAGCCATTGGTATACTGCCAGGTGATGGAATCAAGCTCAAGGGCGCTTTGTAGTGCGTTGCGATCTTCGGTGGATCCCGTCTCCCAATACTTCCTGATCGGAGCCCAGAACTTGGTTCCAAAACCCTCAACATAGGCATTCCCATTCTGGCTTATGATGGCCGCAACGTTGTCGGGATGGTTCAGAGCATATCGAAGCCCAGTTGGGGCCCCATAGTCAAAGATATAAATCGCAATTTTCTGGAGTAGAAGCGCAGACACGAAGAGTTCTATGGTAGCGGCGATGTCGGCAAAGGTATAGTTGTAGCCGTCAGGGACAGTGGTGAAGCCGTACCCTGGCAGATCAGGCGCGATGACCTCGTACCCTCGACTAGCTAGTCGAGGTATAAGGTTCCGAAACTGGTGAGATGAAGATGGAAATCCATGAAGTAGCAGGATTGTCCCTTCAGACCCGTTGGTAGGTGCAGCATAACGGTAAAACACGTTGGAGCCGCCTGCATCCACCGAGGAGACATATGATGTTATGTTGGACATAGTCGTGTCTTGAGTATGTTAAGTGTTAAATTCGATACGTATTTGATTTGTTCTGATTGCAGATGGCAGTTCTCGGAAACAAGCGTCTAAGGGCCATGTTTATATAGCTGGAAATTGGTGTTTACGGTGGTGTAATCAGTGATATCATTCGGTCATGACAACATAGTACTAGATTTCCCTCAGCTTCGATCTTTTTCTGGTGTATATTCTTACCCTGGGAGATAGTCATTGGCTTCTACAGCGAAGATTGAGTGGCAATCCTAATTAGGCACAGTTCAGCATGCAGAGTAACATCGACACTCCAAGGGCGCGCTTACAAATTCTATGGCGTTTTCCAGGACGAATAAGAATCAATACATCAGCTTATTCCGGACTGCAGGCTATTCCAACGCACCACCTGCTGACATCCGGAGTGGGTTGCGGCACCTGCGGCGGTTGCGGCGTTAAAGTCGCCGCACAACGCGGATTGAGCACGCACCTATCATGGCCGATGCGGTTCTACTTTGTTACCTCATGTGCTCAAAAAAGATTTCATTTTGTCGGCGAAGGTAGCATCTGTGCATCTCCGCGGAGATGGTAATCAAAGGAAGAAATGCAAAAAAACATCTGACGATTAACTTCTTATTATTGATGGCTGATAAGCCTAGTATAAGAAGTGATGCTACATTACCTTAGTATTGAACAAACTTCCACGACTACAAGAACTACGTATAGACATATAGGTCGCCTGATGGAAAATGGGGATGGCTACGCATTATTCACAGTTGCATTGAACGATGCGCCTGAGTATAGTAGCTCAAGCTCACCCTCTACATTTCCTACTAGAAGAACGGGTAGTTTTGATGATCACTCACTACGACTGGCGGATTGTTAGATTAAGACACCTACCTGAGAGATCTGTTCTTGGAGTAAAGTCAACTATGCATTAAAGGAAACTCGAACTGGCAAATGCGGATGCCTTCTGTATGGCGAGCTTGAGGTTTGGTGCCGTTTGTGGGAAGATTACATCCATTTACGGAATTAGACAAATACAAAGCCACTCAGCATTCCTTAGGTAGTATATTGACGTAGAGAGTAAAATCGGCAAGTAAAGAAACCTACCATCATGGAGGCCGCGTCAGCTGACTAGTGAGCCTTGGTCGCTCTCTACGTTACGAGCTTAATTCTGGGTTAGACATATGGTTTAGAATAACCTTATGAATAACTCTATCACAATAGTCAATTTGAAAACCTTCTCGTTGGGACATAGTTGCATTTCATTTTACTTATAGTCGACATAGATTATATTGGGCTGGAGGCTAGTATTAGATGGAGCCAAACCTGAAAGAAGGCAGCGGTATTGTTGATCAAAGATCTGGTTTCTGTCTTTCTATTTTCTAGTCAATGTACTGGCATACGGCACAAGAGATTCCTCATCTTAGATATCGACCTGCGTCCAGAAAAGAAGGTTGGGCAAGAATCTGGCTATAGAAAAGCTCAGGGTCTAGTTTTGATGTTCATGAATATTTCATCATTAATGGCACTCTTGCGTCATGAAAGGCAGGCTGTTGACCTATTTTATCCCGGAAATCTTGCAAGCCTGCGCGATGAAAGGCAAGCTAGCTCATAATAAGCTGTGGGCCAACAACGCTCGGCCTTCAAGGTCCTTTGTCCGATTCGCTTCGAAACCTGAGAATATGTCGCACTTCTGTTTGAAGAAGACGACGCCCCCACACTGGTCATTGCGCAGGATGACGCCTCTTCCGATTTATCCGATCCTTACCAGCAGCAATGATTGTGTCGAAGATGATTGCTCGCAGAACGATAATTGTCTCGCGGGAATATAGATAGAAGTAGAATGGGCCGATCGAGAAATTAGTCTTGGCTTAAGAACACCTTGCCTTCAACCGCGCGGGGGGGAATGGTCTCCGAGTTTGGACATGCAGAGGATTTTATCGCTAACAAGGCGCGTTATGGAGCCTCATTATGATTACTTGTGGCTCTAGAGGGGCGTAGTGGGGAGAGATTGGAGAGCACACGATCAAATCTCGCTGAATAACGATTGATAAGCCAGGAGCAGAGCCTTGAAACGACAAAGAGTGGGTGCATAAGACAGCGGATATTCACCACCTTTGGTGTCTGATATTACATTTGTGGGTAGGAGAAACGGAATCATTATTATTTCCTTGTAATTCCCTCTTTGGCAGCTGACTGGCAGACATCGCAGGAATTCATTTAGAGTGTTATTGAATCGCGTGTTCTAATTGTTTGCTTTTGCAAGCAGAGCTTTCAGATTGGGCCGCGTAGCTTAAAAAATTTAGACTCAACATGATGAGGCTCAAGTACACTCGGATAACCATCGTGATATCCGTCTTGTCAGATCTCTGTGCCCAATAAAGACGAGGATAAGATGAAACAGGTACGGATAAGTTTCAAACGTAGTGCGGATTATGCTCACCGGGATCATCGCCTTCAACCTAAGCCTGAGCAGTCAAATATGCACAGCGCTCGGCATTCGGCAGCCCGAATCCACAGTCCTCCAGACGACTAATGTCTGATTAATTCCCTTGACAGAAGCTCCCGTTCCCAATGAGGCAGTTGCGTTACGGAATGAGTATGAGATCTTTTATTTCCTCTTCAAAATGTCGGGACGAGCACACATTGTAGCCACCCCTGGTATTTGACTCCTTGAGCCCTGGTTCCAATTGCCGGGGCAGGGAGGCAATATCCAGATTGTTGGGACAAGGATACGACGTCGTCATCGGTGTTGTCAAACGGGTCCTTGTGTGCAAGCTCGCCTTTTGAAATTCTGTTATATAGTAATGTCCTGCCGATCCATTCGTTCTAGTCATAGGTTCGGAAGTCATTCACTCACTCTGAGCACGGGAGCCTGGATCATATTCATTCCTTAGCCATACAGTCACCTACAGTCAACATGCGTGCTTTTACCTTGCTTCAGCTCGCCACGAGCGCCTTGGCATGGGAAGTTTGTAAGAATTCTCCAAATCATTACTAGTATACCGTGTCTATAATGCTAACTCACTCGTGTAAAGTCCAGAATGAGCCTGACACTGGATTCGAGGAGTATCTGCAGAAGAAGGGCTGGACTGCTGGCACACGCCCCGATCTTGCCGATATCCAGGGCATTCCTGACTTTGACTTCGCGGCCCGCCAGACACTCTCCCACGATCAGTACTCGTTCTACCGTGTTGGCGCTGGCAGCGAGTGGGGTAAGTAACAATTGCCGGTTGGACGCGATATAGCAAGAATTCTAACTGGAGTTCCGATCCCAGCTTACCGCAACAACTTGGCCGTCTGGGAGAAGGCCCGCCTTCGCCCTCACCAGCTCGCTGGCATTACCGGTCTGAATGAGACCATGGGGTATGAAACGGTCGTTGCGATCATGCTACAATTAAATGCTGACCTATCGTTCTAGAGTGACCATTTTGGGATACAACTTCAGCTCCCCCATCTTCATCTCGCCTGCTGCTCGTGCCGGCTATGGTGACCCTGCCGGTGAGCTCAACTTTGTTGATGCTGCTGCAGAGAACAACATCCTCTACATGGTCGGTTTCTCCCTTATTTTTTGTGCTTGCCACCTCACTGACGGCCTTCATTCACAGGCTGCGTACTACGCCAACAAGACCATCGAGGAAATTGGCGAGCAAAAAAGAAAGCACAACAATACCCTCAACGGCCCCCAGGTCACTTTCCAACAGGTATATCTCACAGCTTCGGCTCGATTTAGATAGGCTGGCTCTTCTAACTGACGGATTAGTTCTACGCTACTGATGATCATGATGCCGTCTGGGATATCTTCCAGCGTGCTGAGGCAAACAATGCCAAGGCTCTGGTCTGGACTATTGATGCTCCCGCGACATCCAGCCGTCAGCGTGCTGCCCGCTATTCTTCTTCTGTCAGCCGTCTTCAGGCCGCCGTTCTTGACGTAAGTTGGGCTCTTTGAGTTTCTGGATTCTCCGAGTCTAATTGACTTCATTGCTTGTCCTGGTGCCTCTCTTACTAACTTGGTATAGTGGGACTTGTACGAGGAGATGAAGAATCATACCTCGCTGCCTATCATTCTCAAGGGTATCACCACCGTCGAGGATGCTAAAAAGGCCGTTGAGAAGGGTGTTCCCGCCATCATGCTGTCCAACCACGGTGGCCGCCAGGTCGACTACTCGCCCTCCCCTCTCGAGATCGCCTTTGAGATTCACCACAACGCCCCTGAGGTCTTCAACCAGATTGAGGTTCTTGCCGACAGTGGTATTCGCTACGGAGATGATGTTGTCAAGCTGTTGGCTCTCGGAGTCAAGGCCGTTGGCATGGGACGACCGTAAGTAAACCTTTTGGGCAGTTACGGCGATCGAGGATGACTGCTAATATGATCATAGATTCCTCCACTCGAACATCTACGGAAAAGACGGTGTTAACAAGGCCATCAACCTCATTAACACTGAGATCTACAACGATGCTGCGCAAGTTGGTGTCACTGATTTCCACAACATTCCCATCAGTATTGTAAGTAAACCGGAATACGAAGATGTGAAGAATCTGCTAACAGTCGAAAGCTCAACACTCGCGCTCTTGAGCGCGATGTTTACATTGTCCCCACCAACAACTAAAGGATATCTGTCTTTCAATTGCGAGGAGGTGCTCGGATCACTAAAAATTAGAGAAATAGACTTGTATTTCGATATGAATAAATATAACTTCATGATGAGACCATTTGTCCATCATTTCGATGATATATCTTGTCACTTCTATTCGATTGTGGATGATTCTGCAGTCCGAACAATAAACGGCACGAGGAAGGATATTATTTCATGGACATGTGCTACAATTGAAGCAACTGCTTTGTTTCAAAAGGTAGAAAGAATCATCTCGCGGATCAGGATTAATAAACCAGTTACCTAGCAACGGGATTCGGTACCAACACCCTGCAGATCAAAACGACAAGGAAGCAGTATAAGCAGAGGAGAAGGTGAAATATCATTAAAGTGTTTGTATCTCGAACGAGCAGACTGAACGGAGATGGTAGTGACCAAATCCCCTCAGTTCGTCTTCTTAGCCCGCAGACTATCCTTTAGCTTCCAGAAGGGCCACTTTCTGAGCATCATGAACCTGATCCAACCATAACCCAACGTCTCCAAGAGCCACAATTTCATGCACATCGTCCCAACGCGCATCGTCTCCCTCGTCCCGAAGAACCTGAAAGGGCCAAAAGACCACCCCTTTCCTCGCAGAGCCTCCGTCACCACCTCTTTCGCGTACTCCTCCGCCGTCATCCGCTTCCCGCCTCCGACCTTTTGTCCCTCGTCTCGCATAGAATTGAACAGGCTGTCCTTGGGCCACTCCTCGTGAACACCGTCCTGCCCTTTGCTGGCGACAAAGGATGTGACGACGTTCAAAACACGAACATTGTAATGCGCCAGCTCAACCGACAGATTCTGCGAATAGCTGGATAAGGCGGCCTTGGACATGGCATATACACCTTTGAATGGGTATCCCACCCGGTCCGAGTAGGAGGAGATGTTCACAATGAGACCCTCCGATGATAGGAGAAGTGGCAGTAGCTTATTGGTGAGCACCACCACGGAAACGACATTAGTCTCAAAGACGGAGCGAATACGTGCTGGATCCGCATCCGTCAATGGCATGATGTACCGCACGCCTCTGGACCACTAAGTTAGCTACTGGAACGCTCGAGCATTGTTACGGCCAGTGAAGTTGAGCTCACGCATTGTTGACAAGGATGTCGAGTTTGCCGCCCGTCAACTCCTCAACACGCTTCTTGGCAGCGTCAATGCTTTCTTCGCTATCCACGTCAAGATGGACTGCGGTTAGGCCCATACCGGCCAGCTCGGCCAGAGCTTCAGGCTTGCGGGCTGTGGCGATAACATTGCAATCTGTTACCCGACAATCGTACAGCGACAAGATCAGCTTCGACGAAGAAACGAAATGGGAGGATTTTGAAGTTTGCGGCCAAACCATCCGAGCAAAGCTAGGGAAGTCGGATTCTTAAACATACTGCGTGATTGAAATTCTTGAGCTAGAGCGCAGCCAATGCCTCCTGGAGTACATCTAGTGACTCTAATGTTAGTACCACCTCGAAGTTTTACATACACAAAGCTAGTAATGCTTACCCAGTAACGAGGACGGACTTTTGGCGTGTCTGAGCGCTCATGGTGAAGGTGATGAAAGGATGAAACTAGATGGCCAGATCTTCAGGATTCAATTCTGCATGTGATCCGAGGGCGATGATTGCTACCCTGGACCTCGGAATAACAATGAGCCGAGGTCTGTGAATGACCGTATATGGCAGGCACCGAGTTGAGGGGAAAGGTCAAGAAATGGCCTGAGCAAGTAAACAACACGCGACAGTCTCTCTTCTCTTGTTTTTCTATCTTTGCAAGGTTGTTAGATCCATCTGGCACCGAGATTCGCTCGTGAAAGAAACCATGGAGCAACATTCCATATCGCTTCTGGAAACGCTGCCATTGCATCTATTGTTCCTTATCAGCGAATGCCTTGCTCAGCTCCAGCCAAGAACTCGACGTAGCATCTTCGCCCTCTCTTTGACCAGCAAGACCTGCAATCTGGCGACAGATCCGGAGAGGTTCCGTCATGTACATGTCGCTTTGATAGGTCCGCAGAAATTACAGCGAGATATCCAACGGTGGCGCCAAATCCTCCAGGCCGGGAACCGCTTGGCCTTTGTACGCAGCGTCAAGATTACTGGTGTCACAGTATCTTCTTCGGTTGAGGAGGAACTTATCAAAAATGGTGATCCTTCCGGCACCAAGATGAAGCTGGTTCAACTGGAGAATGCACGGGACAGTTTCGGGCGGAATGTTGATGTGGATGAGGAAGCTTCGGAGCTGTTCAGCGGGTTGGACAGAGTCACCAACGCCAATGAGCTATTGCCTGCACCGTCTACCGCCTGGCCAGATGAATCTGCCTGGAAGCCTCTTGCAGATCTCATGAAGGACTTTACAGCACTTCGGGATGTTATCTTTACATCCAGGGACCAGTTCCCGCGACTCCTGCTCTCTGCGCTCCATGAGCACCACCCACACTGCCGACTACACATGCATCGTTTCAAGCTTCGCAGCATGATTCTCCCGGAACGCGCGGAGCTAAAGGTGCACCCCGATGACATTGCACTAGCAACATCCCCATGCCTGTACAGCATTGTTGTGCAGACCCAGCCGTACCACAGGGCTCAAATTTGGGATTATAATCTAGAGGCCGTGATGGCTATGACGAAGGGATTAGCTCCTAATCTCAAGAATGTCAGCTTGACAGAAGGCGTCCATCAAGCAGCTCAGGGAGTCTTTGCGACCATTCCACGGCCTCAGTGGAAGGGCTTCCAAGTTCCAGCTGGGAAATCGAATGTCACAGAGTCAGCCATTGGTCGCCTCGAGAATTTGGTTTTGAGCCACAGCTTAAGTGGCGAGCAAATACTTGAATGGAGTTCCTGTACCGACTTCTCCCATCTGCGCTCGATGAAGGTGGGTATGGGCGTTTCCGCCGTAAGAAAATTAGCAGAGACATCCCGACAAACACCGCTGAGCGCTCTTTCTTCATTAAATTTGAAGCTGAGGCCACACTACCGATTTGGAGAAACCGATGAGATGATGGACCCAGCCGTCGCAGAGCTCTTGCAGTCACTTTATCCCTTGGAAATTCTAGAACTCGACGGGGACATTGGGGAGAAATCTTTCGAGGCCATCATAACGCATCACAGCAAACGGCTGCGCAAGTTGACCTTTATATGTGGAGACTCAGAAGCAGTATTCTTCGAATTCACTCCGGAACGTGCTACTCAACTATCCCAAGAATGCTTAAATCTTCAAATAGTAGACGTGCGAGGGTCTGAAGTGCGAAAATCCAACGGCATCTTTGAATGGACAGACTGGGAATCAGAGTAATACTCGTGTACTGAATACATACTTCTTGAAGTAATTCAAGATTGATTCATGAGACCTGCTTCGAGTGAATCTCTTTGGCACCTAGATCCTCACCCTTACATTTTCTCCTCTCAATCTAACCTTCTAGATATAATCTTTCGAGTATAAGATTAGTCTACTTGGTATAGATAAGCTCTCGTCTTAGACTATCAGGTTAGGTACACTAACTACCTATATATATAAGTTATAGGGTTCACTTAGCTGGTAACTTTATTCGGACTAATAGTAATAAAACTAATAGTCTTTAAAGCTAAGCCCCTCAATAAAGAGTGAATATATGAAATTATATAAAGGGACTTATTCTTAAGGTAGTATATAATATATATACTATCTATTGTTAGCAGCTTGAAACTAGCCTCTATGGTTAAATAAAGACCGTATTGAACTCGATCCTCTGTTATGCATTTGTCCTGTTCTGTTCGGGCAAACGAGGCTCTAACCCCAGAGCCACCTGTTAAACTTTTCAAAGCCAGTGGTGGGTTCAGGCTCAACATATCCATCATCCATATCCTCCTCGTGCCTACCAGCGTAGAGCGGCACATCCTCCAGCCTAAACATAGGGGCCTTCCGAAGGATCTTATAACCCAAGTAGGTAACGAGGAAGACAGCCAAGGCGAAGTAAGCGAAGATAAACTTAGAGGTGTCCCAATTGCCCTTTGCGAAAACGGCAAAACCATTAGTAATGAAGATGATGCAGTAGAAAACGAGGGACGCAATAGAGTAGTAGTATTGATGGCGGCGGAACCATGGTCGTTGAGAGTCCCGGATACCCTGAGCCATCTGGGCCTTGCGGAAGCGTATATAAGTGACGTGGAAGATACAGTAGATAAGCAAGTTTCCAGAACCGACGATGCTGGTGAGCCAGGTGAAGACGGTCAGCGAATCGTTGGAGGCAGACATGAAGGAAATCCATGTGACAATCCAGACTGCAATGACACAGAAAGTGGGAACACCCCGCCACGTAAAGAGGAAGAATCGCGGGGTCTTCCTGTCGACAGCGAGGGCATACAGAGCACGGGTCGAAGCGTAGAACAGCTCCAGCGCGCAAGACCACGCAGACGTCATCAAACAGGCGTTGATAATGTGAGGAAGGACGGGAATATCGAGGCGAGTGATACCAATGACAAACGGGGAAGCTCCGGCGCCGGGCTTGTTCGTGCCAAGGTTCTCGTCGTCATGAGGAACGAGAATACCAACAGCCAAAACACCGAGGATGTAGAACACCCCAAGACGATAGATGACACGTTTGAAGACTGAAGGGAGGACACGGCGAGGAGCTCGAGCTTCACCGGCGCTGAGCGCAATGTAGTCGGGCCCGCCGAAAGCAAAAGCAGCTTGGATGAAAACGGACCAAAAACCCAAGAAATGACCTGGAGAATTTTTCATGTCAATAATAAGAACTGAAACCCCTTTCTCAATGGTTTGAGTGACAATTTACCCCAAGAGCCAGAGGCAATATACTCGTTAAAGACGCCGGGATCTTTCCAGTACCTAAAACCGAAGGCATCATGGTGCGGATTACCACCCACCATGACGATAACTGCATTGCCGATTAGCAAGGCAGACGACGAAGTACAGAAAGAATTCAACGTACAGGTCATAAGCAAGAGTCCCAAAATCAGCAAGATCTTGAACAGGGAAAGGTAAAATTCACCCTCTCCATAGATGCGGACACCGAAAACGTTGAAAACAACGAGCGACGTTGCAACAATTGCAACGTAGACAGCTGGCGTAGGTTCGGTTAGGAATGTCTTGTTTTGCAGGTAAAGGATACTCTCCAATTGAGGGGAGGATAGATCAACTGATCATAACTTACCATTGTTAATAGAGTCTGTCCAGAAATTGAAGATTGTTGCCACAGCGGCAACTTCTCCCGCAGCCGAGAGGGAGTTAGTGATAGTATAAAGCCACCCGAGCGCGAAACCCCAGGCGTCGTCAAGATAGGCGTGTGCAAAAACAACGATGGAACCGTCGACTGGAAGCCAAACGACCATCTCGCCCACCGCGTTGAAAGTTGACCAAACCAGAAAGGCATAGATTGTGTAGCCCAGCAGCAGGCCCAGAGGCCCAGCACGCTCAAGGGCAGCACCGGTACCGACGAACAAACCGGTGCCGATGGCCCCAGAGAGGGCCATCAGCTGGATGTGTCGAGGGCGAAGGTGTCTCAAGGTCTTCTTAGGGGCAACGTCATCACCAAGTTGGTTTTCGTTGGAAGCCTTTATGTCCCCATCGGCGATACTAGGCCTCTCGACCATAGCGTCGGGGACAATTTTGCCCTCAAGCATATCTGGAAACGCTTTGGTCTCTGACATTGGTATTGCTGAGCGTTGTGTGTATCTTGATGGGTGTAGATTCAGCGTGTGACTGATCATGCAAGAGTGTTGATGGGAAACAGGCTCGGCGGACATGCGTTTATATATACGCAGAGATGTACGTCTTTACCATCCTCGTCCAACCCTTACTTGCTGATAACAGCCCCTTTCGTGCTGGTAACAATCGCAACATGGGGGCCTAGCAAACGAGTAAACCTAACTTCTTGGATCAACAACGACAATGTACTACATACTTTCCCCAGTCCCGACACTTACACTACGCAGACGGGGCACTACATAGCATCACCCGATTCGTCACAGTGGAGGCAGGCCATGTGGTAGTGCGACTTGTTATCAGTGACCCTCTTCCCCGCGTTTTGGGTTTGACTCGGCCCTGTGCAGGCATCATCACGCGCCCCGGGTCAAGATAACGCCAATACTTGCCATGTCAGGACGCATGACCGCGGTGCTTGGAGCGAACCTAGAACATTAGCTGTGCGACTCATGTCTGGCTGGTGTGATTAGCACTGTAGAATCAATCATTTCAGATGGGTACTCTGGACGTCTGCCATTGTGTGGCGAGGAACAACACGGCTTTCCCAAACATTATTTGAGGCATATTAACACTCCGCACTTTGAAGCGATGCTTCGCACATTTCGCAATCTCGTCGCTGGCGAGTATATCGAAGTAAAGCCTAGAAAAGAGCCTGTCAAGGCCAAGGTTTTCAATTTACTTTCTGGCTGTATGTTTGGATCTACCAATAAGGTGCCCCCTTCACGGTGCAGCGTTGACTCGATCCTTTGATTTATTATTCCGTCCACGCGTCAATGTTACATTTTGGATTTGGTGACTACGGCGACGCACTTGAGCTCCACCAAAGATTTCGGTGGGAGCTCTGTGCAAAATATAGTCCTGTAAGATGTTTTATTCGGTTATCAGCTGGTCCAGATTGCACACATGAAAGATGTTCAAGGGCGGGGGCAGGCAATTGGGGAGAATTGGAAAAGGGCCCTTACATTCTTGCGGGCTTGATGTCACCCCAATATCCCTTGTAAGCCTCGTTCATGCTAGCGAATTGCGAAGAGTCGGCCACCATGAGAGTCACGTCCACCACATCACCGAGGCTTGATCCAGCCTGGTCTAGAATTGCTCCTAGGGTCTTAACGCACTGGTGCTTTGCATCCAGGCTCCCGTTAGCGTTTATTCATTATGGCAAATACCTCCCAATCAACTGCTGCTCACAAACTGTGCCTGGATATCGCCTTCTCCGATCATATGGCCCGTTTCGGGGTCTGAGGCTATAACGCCCGAGGTGAAGACAAAGCCGTTGGCTACAATAGCTTGGCTGAGAAGTCCACCCAAGGGCTTTGGGGCTTTGGATGTGTAAACAGCTCTACGTGAAGACATGTCGACGGCGCCTTCTCATCCAAAATGCTAAGGTGAAGAAAAGACAGACGAATGAAGGATTTCTTCGTAGTGTATAAGTGTGTATATGTGTGTGTTGTACTTGAGCTGGGATGATCGTCTTAAATCCCTTTCCTATGTTCAGTATTTGTCCCGGATTTTCTGGTTATACTTCCCCGTGAAAAGTGGATGGGTTCCAGTCCAAACGAAGGAAAGACCCCGAACTGGCCTACTCGATACGTCATCCTTATCACTGAGACTCAGCCCTCGGTTATCTCCAATCTAGCTTGTATGAGTCGAGTTCGCGCGGACTCGGCCCAATAAACCCCACTCCTCATAGAGCATCGGGGTTTCAAGCTGTGACTTAAGCCCAGGTATTATTCTTGGGAAGGTCATTGCCAAAGAGACTTGATGAGATTGTATAGGATGCCATACTCGGATACTGCGGTAAATCAATGGTGTTAATAGGTGTACATAAGTAGTAGTGGTAAATGACTAATGGGCACGTACTAGATAAACGACTGACTACTTTATTGGTTTGTCCACTCTCCCCTTTCAAGTATCTAGGAAGAGTAAGGGGCTGGTTTGGACCTAGCATAAAAGTCCAATAGTAATTAAACTCCACGATCTCGCTACAAGATAAGAGGAATGCTCCTGACTTTATGCGATATAGTCTTATGGTTCTGATTTCTATATGTTCCTTCTATATATTGGATCCAGCATACTCATACCTATAATAGGGTCGATTGAAGGGATTGAAGAACTTCCTCGGTCTATTGACCTTTGACTTTATTGGCGCCTTGCCTTGACGGTAACCCTTACTACAGTCTTGCGAGAACACCCTGCTCTGTGAGAAGGGACAAATGGTCCTTACTGATGTCCTTGATTGACTTGCACCTATTCAAAGTGTCAGCTGCATAATTTGTTCGCTGTGTGTTCTCAGCGCTTACCCAGCCAGTGCCATTGCCATCACAAATTCATCATAGAGCAGGTTAATTGCCAGCTCAACGCCCTGCTGTCCATTGTACTGCGAAATGCGTTAGCAAAGGAATACACTGGCTCTTTTTCTGCCGCCCTTATTTCTTTTCACGTTTCCTTGATAAGCGAGACCTACAGCAAGACCCCAGATAGGGACACGTCCAGCAAAGACATAATCAGCACCGAGGGCCAGCGCCTTGAAAATATCAGTTCCCCTGCGGATACCGCCATCGATGGCAATCTTTATTTTTCCCTTAGCCACAGGGGCACATTCCCTTAGGGCGTCGAGAGTTGCAGGAACACCATCAAGTTGGCGGCCACCGTGGTTGGAGATGAGAACGCCATCAACGCCGTGTTGAATGGCCAGAGAGATATCATCCGCCGTGTAGACTATTTGAAACCAAAACCGGATCTCAGGTTAGAAAGTCCTTCACTTTCAATGCTCAGGGGTGTACAATTTGCATTTATCGTACCTCCTTTGAACCAGATGGGCAGTTTAGTGTTCTCCCGAATCCAGGTCACTGTTTGCTCCCAATTCAGGCTGTCCTCTATAGTGAGATCCAGGTGTTAGTTTCCCTCGATTTCAGAAGTTAACATTAGGAAAGTCCACCCACCATAAGCGAGGTCGGCGCCTTTGTCTTCCAGGTTGCTGAAGTCGACACCTGGGAGAATGTTTGGGTAACCCATGCCTTCGGGAATTCCAAATGAGTTTCGGTACTCGTTGAGACGTCGGCCCAGTCTAGGGGCGTCTACCGTTAGCATGACGGCCTTATAACCAGCATCTGCAGATAAAAACTTAGTAAAAAATGAACAATGATGACGAGGGTGGGGGTAAATTTGGTCGAGATGGATTGCTTACTCTCTGCTCGTTGCAGGATCTGCCGGGTGATGCTACGGTTCTTCAGGATGCTGAACTGCATAAAGTAGGGATTGCCCTTGCCCTGCGCAATAACATCTTCAAGGGAGCAAGTGGCATATGCGGACAGGGCCATGCAGATGCCGGCGTCAGCAGCTGCACGTGAGGTGGCGAGCTCTCCGTCGGGGTGTGCAAGCTTGTGGCTAGCGGCGGGTGAGAAACCAAAAGGCCATGAGACTTTGGTCCCGAGGATGGTGGTTGATGTGTCGATGTTGGAAACATCCCGCAGGACTCGGGGTCGGATCTTGTAGCGGTTGTAGGCCGCTTCATTGTCTTGGACGCTGTTGAAGAGATGGTGATTAGAATCGGTCGAATTTGTCCCTGTATTATTTCCATGTCAAGTGATCGGAGACCTACGTGAGCAGATCCATAGCCCCCTCGTTGAAGAATTCTGTATTGTGTGAGTATTGTAATTAAGTCTGCCCTAGAACCAGGAGCCCATATTCAATCGGTGGTCGGGTCCGTACCTCGATATGAGCGAGGAAGCTTCTTGCATCCCTTTTCTTTCAGGTCATTGATGGTAAAGACCTCTCTATCAAGGGTTTTCCCGCGGTTAGCCATGACGGGGGAAATATCGAGATGCGAACTGGAAAACTGGATGGTGGAGGATTTCAATTTTTTTGGGAACCCGATAAGCTTGTTGCTCGTGATCTGCCAAAATGAACCTGGGGCGCATTTAATGTAGTTATCACAAACACTGAGAAGGTGTGGGGGGTCATTTGGCCTCCTAGTTGTTATCGGATTTAAACCATCTTTCGCCGTAGGAACATCACTGGATTGACTCGGAGGCCAGGGGCTCTAGTACTGTGACTCGGCCCAAACCGTGGGGAAGAGGCAGCATGTACACACGTCGGTACATCGTTTCCCTGTGTAGTTCTATGTATGTGCTAAGTACATAGTTAACTGGGACCGAGGTGGCTGCTGAGATGGGGAAGAGTATCCGAGACCGGTTCAAGATCTCAAATAGCCGAGTCAGACTAGATGGACCAACCAGAAATCCTGCCAGCAATCGCTTATCTAGCCTAGTACGTGTTCCAGGGAGCAGAGTCAAAGTCGTATCACTCGATTCATATCTGTGACGGACCTAGTTCTAATTAGAGTGTCGCCGCGGAGTTCTTGATTTCCACTTATGAAGTATTCGTAGAAGGGCCCCGAGTCAGCCATTTTCAGACACTGTGACTTGTCTCCACATGATTTCTTTCTCGAGATGTGCAAAACCAAATCCACTCGAGATATTTATAATCTATCCGGGATCATTATTCCATGCCGGTCATATGAAGCTTTGCCATCCACACTCTTGTCGTGAAGAAGAAAGATTCTCCTTTCCATTTAACATCCCACACACTCGGACCCTCCATCGCCGCCATGTCATTGTCTGAGGTTTTACTCATCATCACCCCTTTCACCCCGGCTGAGAGCTGGATCCAGACCCTGAAGGGCAAGGTCCAAAACCTCACCGTGCACGTCTATCCAACAGAGATGTACGCCACGGAGATCCCCAAGTCCGTTCCCGCAGAGGTCTGGGCCGAAGTTACCGCTCTGTATACCTGGAAAGCTTTTCCTACCAGAGAGCTCGCCCCCAAGCTGGATTACGTGCAGCTTCACAGCGCTGGCTGCAATCAGATTCTCGGTCTCCCTCTTTTTGAGGAGACCGACATCTCCTTCAGCACCTCCAACGGCGTGCACCCTCCCCAGATCGCCGAGTGGGTCTTCTCATCCTTCCTGGGCTTCCAGCACCACTGTAAGTTCCTGTTCAAGCATCTGTCTTCCTCATTCCTTTGCCTCGTTTGTACGCTCACAAGCAAAATCTCGCAGTTCTTGAGCATCTCGAGAACCAAAGACAGAACAAGTGGGTTGACCCCGAGCACGACGAAGATGTTGAGGACGCTGTTGGTCTCCGAGTGTAAGCAACCTTGAAACCCGCCCTCATCCCTTCATCTCGTTTCTCACATCGTTATTTTCACAGTGGCATCCTCGGATACGGTGCCGTCGGGCGCCAGGTCGCCCGAGTAGCCAAGGCTTTCGGCATGGATGTGTTCGCATACACTCTGCACGAACGAGCCACACCCGAGTCTTGCAAACACAATGGCTTCACCGAACCCAATCTCGGCGACCCTCAGGGCGAGTTCCCCAGCAAGTGGTATCATGGCAAGGCTCAGCTCAACGAATTCCTCGGCGCCAATCTCGACCTACTCGTTATTACCCTTCCACAAACTCCCCAAACCATCAACATGATTCGCAAGGAGCAGTTCCAGATTCTGAGCAAGAGGAAGGCTTTCATCTCCAACGTCGGTCGCGGCGCCATTGTCAATCACGATGACCTGGTCGATGCGCTTGACGCCGGTCTGGTCCGCGGTGCCGCCCTCGATGTCACTGAGCCCGAGCCCTTGAACGAGGGCTCGAAGCTCTGGGGCTACAAGAACGTGGTTATCACCCCCCACTGTGCAGGGAACTCTAACCACTTTAATGAAAGAACTTTCAAGATCCTCACTTATAACATCGAAAGACGCGCAAATGGTCAAGAAGTTGTTAATAAAGTTAGCAAGTCACTAGGTTACTAAATAGACTTAGAACAGCCTGATGGTTTCTAAACCGAATAAAAGAGCAAAATTTCTATGACTATAGGATGGAAGAGTATCTCTTGCATAACGACATCATTTATTATAGTATAAAAGAGCGGTAAGAAGGGGCCCATGACCCTCTGCCTATGTTGACTTTCTAGATGATGCAATTCGCTCAAATCATACAGCTCGTCCGGATCGGATAGGCCGCTCAAATGATATAGGTCGTGTAGTGATGAATAGGCGGCCAATGGACATGCACTAGCCTCGCGAGGGAGAAGGGAGATAAAGCGTCATGAGTTGAAGATAATCACATATTACTTGGCCACCTCGCGAGTAGTCTGAGTTGTAGGTAATTCCTGAACACCAAGACTATTGCCGATTCGGAGTAAGAATACTGAAAAGAAGAGGGCAAAGAGGGGAGCTAGATAATGGGAGACGCCTCTGTGCTGTAGTCTTTTTTAACTATGTGTATATGCCACCCATAGCACACCACGGCATCGTGCATCAGACCCATCACATATCGATGTGTTCAAGGCTCGAAAATTCGGATAGGTTAGCGCAAGAAGGCTTTCGTGAACGACGAGCAAGATATTAAAATCATAGTCAATGTCACCCCCTCTTCACAGCGGGTGAATTTTACGAAGCTTACACACCCGCCGGGGAGACAGAAATCCCCACGGATACAGTGCAATGTAAAATAAAACTTTGCAGTATTTGTTTTGCAGCGGGTCCTGCGGACTGTCAGCAACACACTTAAATACGACCCTACAGCAGCGGGGTTAAAATGGCTCCACGAGTGGTTTCACCTTTCCAAGCATGAGCTTCCGAATCCCACAGACCGAGCTATATTTGCAACGTCACTACTGAATGGAGCCCGCCGGCGTAGCTATTGGGGTGATTGGCCTTGTTGGGCTGTTCAACACCTGCCTCGACGTTGTCGCGAGGGTCGATGCCTACCGAGACTTTGGGTTTGATTCACGCTCTCTTGCGGCACAATTTGAGGCCGACAAGCTTCGGTTTGAACGATGGGGTCGCGCAGTTGGCTTAGAGCAAGGAAAGCTGTCGACCAACTACCATCCTGGCTTAGCCGAGCAGTCTACACGATCTGTAGTTGCGCACCTGATTTCTACGATTCAGGAAGTGTGCCAGGGCTCGGAAAGCGGAGCGTCAGAGCAACTGTCGGAATCAGGTGCACATAAACTGACCCGGCGTCAGACAATTTCATCCATATCTTCGGCGTCCACACGGCAGAAGCTTGCATGGGCACTCAGGGGAAAGGCAAAACGGGTCGCCGAGGTGGAAAAGCTGGGTATCTTGGTCCAAAAGCTGTATGAGCAGGTTCCTGTCGAAACAGACGAAGCAAAAAGGTTGCATGGATCCGATGTCATAAATTTTGGTGGAATGAGGTATATGCAAGGTGCGCCATGTTCATTCTATTGTTTGAGTTGTGTCTCCTAACTCGGACGACGTTGTAGATATTCGGGATGCTCTGAGGAAGATTGAACATGATATTGAGGGAGAGACACGCCGAGAGCTGTATGCCTGGATCGGAGCCGACATCTCGAGCGATATGTACGATAATCTGAATTCGATACGAGTACCTGGGACCTGCGATTGGATCCTGGACCGGAATGACTTTCGTACTTGGCTTACTTCAACCGAGAATCCGTCCGTGTTGTGGATAAATGCAGCAGCGGGGTTTGGCAAAACAGTCATGTGTGCACGGGTGATAGAGTACCTTTCGGAGACGATGAACATGCCCGTGGCCCATTTCTTCCTGTCTTCAAAGTACTCTAGTCGGGATGACCCTTATCTAGCCATACGGGCGTGGATCATCCAGATCATGGACCGCGACGAGGGTGCTTTCGAACTCGCACGGATGAAGCAGCTGTCTTTGCATGAAAAAGTTGCAACTAGGGCGACTATTATTTCGATTTTCCATGAGATAGCAGAGGCTGCCTCTAACACAATTTTCATCCTAGATGGCCTAGACGAATGTACCTGGATCGACCTCTACCATCAAAAACATGACGCGGTCAACACCTTTGTCCAAGTCATCGCAACGGCAGTAGAGAAATCCAGCAGCCGCTGGATGCTTGTGAGCCGGAACAATGAGTATATACGCAACAGTTTGTGTGATTCTCTTGCCCATGGCTTCTTTGAGATTCGAATGATGACTGATGATGTCCATGATGACATCGTGTCCTACTCAAAGACCCTTGTTGACCAGAAATTGTCAAATAAGTCTCAAATCGTCAGAGACACCATTTCTCAACAGATGGCTGAAAAATGCGATGGGCAATTTCTGTGGGTGAGGTTACAGGCTGATAATCTGCGAAGGGCATCTAATCAGTTGCAGCTTCAAAGGGCTCTCAACAAAACTCCAGCTGGGTTGGAGCAACTTTACGAACGGGAATGGGAATCTATTCGCACAAACCCAACCGTGGATGCAGATCGATCTATTTTGCTCCTCAAATGGGCGGCATTTTCTATCAGACCATTATCTGTTAGTGAGATATCTGTCGCAGTATTGATCGACAACGAATCCGGCGTACCAGTTGAAGAGTTACCTGATCAAGATGACGGTTCATATGTTGCAAGTGACATTAAAGACCATTGCGGCTCACTTATCGAGATAACCAACGACGATCAAAACTCGGATCAGATGGACTCAATGATGGTCAATATAACTCACTTTTCGGTGAAGCAATTCCTTCTCACACATGTTTTCAGTTCCGACGGCTCTCTAGGACTCAACACCAGTCTCTTGGTTTCACATGAAGAGCGACAACATGATTTTCTTGCGGAAAAGTGTCTATCTTACATTTTTGATATTGATATATGGGAGAAAAGTGCTCTGACAAATGCTGCGGTTGACCTTCGAACCTCACTTCTTACTTACGCTGCCAGTACTTGGGATAAACACGTATGTCGTGCATCAAAAGATAACGCGGATATTGTGGACTTGACCAACCGGTTTTTTCAGGACGAAACTGGGGCCTTCGATGCATGGAGGCGATGGGCCAATAGAGAATTTGTTGGTCATGACAGTTCATCGGAACTTAATGAGAACGACCAACAGAATCGTCTTTCTTATTCTATGGCCCTACTCTTACACAAAACTACAGAGTATCTTCTCTCCAAGGATGGCTGTGATATCAACGGTAGAGGTCTCTTAGGAGAAACACCTCTAATTATCAGCTGCCGTGATAACAACCTTGAAAGCGTGGCCCAACTGCTCTCGTTGGGCGCAAAAACATCGACCTCTAGCGTGGCGGGCAATGTCCCTCTCTGCGTAGCAGTGAGAAAAGGGCATACCGAAGTAGCAAGGCTGCTTCTCGATAAGGGTGCAGATGCTGACATCAAGGAAGCCGCTTCGAATGACGTAACGCCACTGTTATGGGCTGCATTTTTGGGCCATGCAGATCTAGTCAAATTACTCCTAGCTAGAGGAGCAGACATCTCTTTGACCGATGAATTTGGAAATACTCCGCTCTTTCTTGCTGCATCTGGGGGACATCTTCGAATAGCTCAGATGCTTCTCGAAAAAGGAGCAGATGTAGCTGCAAAAACGCATCAAGGGTGGCAGCCCTTGGCCGCCGCCTGCATGAAGGGGCAGATAGAGATTGCCTCTCTTCTACTTGGAAATGGAGCCGACATCTACGCCCAGAGCGAGGAAGGCTGGACAGCAATGCACCAAGCCATATATCATGATCACTTAGAGATTGTCAGCTTGTTGTTCGAGAGGGAGCCGGATTTAATGAATATTACACTTAGCAGCGGCTGGTACCCGATCGAAATAGCAGCAATACATGGCCGCCTGGAGATTGTTCGTTGGCTTTTGGAGAAACGGCCACAGCTGATGTCCTTCACAAACGAGCGTGGCCTTACCATTCTTCACACAGCTGCTTCGGCGGGTGAATTAGAGTTTGTCCGCTTCTTACTTGAAAGAAACCAAGGCTTGGTTTCAATTACGGATCCCGATGGCTGGTCACCACTCCATGAAGCCGCAGCAAGTGGCCACGCGAATGTTGTCAACTTGTTGCTTCAGAAAGGTGCAGATGTCAACATTCCAGATAACGATGGGACCACTCCGCTCCACTGCGCTTTATCTAGTGGTCACGTTCAAACCGCGAAGCTACTAATACTTGGGGGGGAAGTGGATGTCACTATAGGGGCCAGCTGTGTACCGATAGACTTAGTCTGCAACAGTGGCAAGTTCGAGTTCAGGCAAATTTCTATCGATCGAGACCCTCGCGACGCCTTCGGCTACACACCACTGGCCGAGGCAGTTCGTTGTGGTCATGTTGAGATTGTGAAATTACTCCTCTCCGATAAGGTCAAAGCAACTGCAAATACAAAGGACCGCTTTGGATTAATTCCCCTCTTTTACGCTCTGCGTAATAACCATACTGAGATCTTAGAGCTTCTTCTGCCTAGGACTGAATGCTGGATAGAGTGGAAGGATAATCTGGGGCGAGACTTGATGTGGTGGGCACAGCGCCATGGTTCCTCAAGTATGGTCGACTTGCTTGTGAGGCACGGTGCTACAAAACCTCATTCATACAGCAGCAACGACCCTGAGATTCCCCCAAGTCAGTCGCCGCCCTTCGACTTCAATTTGTCATATTGTGACCAATGTATCGGCCTTATTTTGGACGATTCGAAGGCCTACTGGTGCAATGATTGTCATAGAAGAAAACCAGTCTGTGTCTGCTTGAAATGCTACGAGGCAGGTCTGAGGTGTTTAGATGACTCTCATGTATTAGCATTCGGTGTGTTCACAGGTTAAGAAAATGGTAAGCAGTGCTATAGAAGAAGATGACCCTCTGTTCAATGATAATAATTACTCGTGGATAGCTGGAGAGGATTTCAATGCTCCTAATACCGTTCGACGACCCAAGTCATGCAGCAGTAAACTACGGTTTTGAGTTGAATGAGCGAGATATTACCAATGTCTGTGAGGTATGAGCATCATTGAGTATGAAATATTCCACAGCTGGGCAAGCTCCGCTAGTTACTAAACTCCGATGGGATTTCGAGTAGAAAGTGAAAACAGAAATGAAAGATGCCGGAGTCGACATCTCAACACAATGGTTACGGCTACTAATAAGCTCATGTGTCGAATCAGGGGTCACAGTAGGTACGCAAAAAATCGAGTCAACCCACTTCGGCCCCTACGGACATAATCGCCGACATCGACAACATCATATCACAGGCAGCAGTACTCCGTAGCCTGTAATATGCAGACCAATAGCAACTTAAGACAGTATTTCGTCTAGGACCTGGGGTTCTTGGCTTGCAATGAAGACCACGTCCTTGAAACCCAACTAGGGTGCCTGTCTCTCCCCACACAGACATAAAGCCTCGGACGCTACGGCGATATTGGCCGACGGCCCATCAGGTCTTTTGCCTCTTCTCAGGTTTCCCCGCATGACAGCTAAAGAACAGAGCAGGATCTGAAAGATACCCGGAATAAAGTCCACACAGATCAAACTTAAAACTTTGAGTAGCACTAACTTCCCCTGTAAGCGCTGTCCTGACTCGAAACGGATCTCCGTAGCTTAGAATTACCTCGGCATTGGCAGGAAAATTCATCTTTGGCCAGCTCTAGTTTGAGATGTCACGATCCTTCCTCGTTAGCCTTGCTTATTTTATCACCGTCTTGCGAGAGTCCACAAGCTAGGCAATCTATCATATAAATGATCAAGCATCCCTTCTTTCTACCCCTTCGAGAAATTGGACCCTATCTATTTTGCGCGTCTCATCCTTTTTCGCATGTAGATCTGCTGGCCTTCTATCATATATTTTGGTACACCATTCTTAGACCGACCCAGAAGCGTTAACAATGAAGGTCCCTTCATCATTGGCGCGGCCTGAATCAGAGATTGAAAGAAGCCTTGTGAGAAGGCTGGATATCTTTCTGTTGACGTTCGGTTGCTTTGCCCAAAGTGAGCCCTTTGAACCAAGAATCTCATGGCTATAACTAATGGTTAAAAATCCAGTCATCAAGTACGATACCAAGAATTTATTGCATGGAGTATACTCACATCGATACAGGTCCTTGGATCAGCAAAACATATTCAACGCATATGCATCAGGCATGAAGGAAGACTTGGAGCTCTACGGCAATGAGCTCAACTAGTAGGTATCTTCCACCCGCTAGCTTTTCGCTATACTAAAGAACCACACAGCTTCACCACCTACTTCAATGTTGCCTACTGTATCATGTTGATTCCGTCCCAAATCATCATCACCTACGTCCGGCCAAGCTGGTGGCTTCCGTCACTTGAGATTCTATGGGGTATCATCACTGGTCTATTTGCGGTGACTACAAACGCAAAGCAAGCATACATCCTTCGAGCATTTCTGGGGCTCTGCGAAAGCACAGCCTATCCAGGGATGATCACCCTGTTTAGTAAGAGCGATCTACAAAGCTAGAGATTTCTCAATACTAATAACCACACAGTGTCATGGTACACTCCATTGGAGATGGCCAAGAGAATAGGATTTTACCACTCTTGCCAAGGAGTGGGACAAGTCATATCTGGTGCAATGCAAGCTGCTATCGTGAGATCTCTGGAGGGTAGGCACGGACTCCGAGGCTGGAGGTATGTAACCACACATGTCACTTTGCGACTAGTCTAACACCGAGTTTAGATGGCTGTTTATCATCAACGCGATCATCACAGTGGTTCAAGGCGCCGCTGGCTATTTCATGCTTCCGGATTCCCCTCACAAGCCTAATCCCTGGTCTTTTTGGTTCAAGAAACATCACGCTGAATATGCCCTACACAGACTGGAAAGGGAAAATAGAGTGGACATGAAACCGATCACATGGGCCGCCGCAAAGTAGGTCCCCCCACTCGGTTTGTAAAGTCCATACTGACAAAAATTAGGCGAACTTTCACAACATGGCTAGTGTATGTGGTTACGGCTATGTATATTGCTATGGTTTGCGGGACACTGGGGTATAATTACTTCAATTTGTTCCTCAAAGCCCTAAGGAATGGTGACGGATCGCTTAGATGGACTGTTGAAGAGATTAATCTGATCCCGATTGGAGGAAGTGTCATCACGGTTGTGTTTGGTACGTAACGTTGTATTCAAAGGTATTGTGATACTAACGGCTCTTAGTATGGGTATGGGCGTTCCTCTCGGACTTTCTTAGAACGCGATGGATCTTAATTGTTGTACAAGGTATGTACTGGCTGGCAGTTAGTAGTCAAGATCTAACGTTAAACAGCTGGAATTGCCATCGTCGCTTCGATAATCATGATAATCTGGACGAGGAACCCCGACGCAACTCCGGTGGCAGCAGGCTACGCTGGATACTTCTTGACTACGCTAGCTCTAGGCACTGCTCCGTTGATTTGGACATGGCTCTCTGACCTGTAAGTATTACAACTCAGAGCTTATCTTCTCGCAATAGGTCTAACTTTGCCCTCAGTGCACCGCAGGAACCAGAGGAGCGATCTCTTACAGTCGGTTGTGCCATTGCGGGCTATTATGCTACATCTGCGTGGAGCCAAGTCCTGATGTGGCCAGCAAGCCAAGCACCTTATTGTTCGTCATGCATGCTATTTAAGTACGGAAGCCGAGTTAACGTGAGCCTTGCTAGATAAACATGGCTGGGAAGCATCACTAGGACTTCTCTGCTTAGTGATCGTGATCGCAGTTTCTTTACGGATCGCCGAATTGAAGTATTTAGTCAAGGTATGCTCAAAGTTGTTCGGAATTGTTCGAAATTCAATCTTTTCTAATCGTCTTAGAATAATGAAAGCCGCGGCGTTGTACAGGGCGTCAAGGAGGATATTGCAGTGGTAGACAATGTTGAGGAGAATAAATCAGCATCGAAGCGTGAGGATGAGGTCGCCTAAACACAACCACGATCGTGTACTTGAGCCCTGCTCCCCTTCAATAGGTTTAGTGAAGGGCTTCTTAGCTGCACTCAGTTGGACCAGAGCCGTCAATTGCTGTGGCGGCTACCTTGGCAATAACCTTGCAACTTGTTACCCTTGTAAACATACGGGCAAACACAAGGAGTAGGCTTGTCATACCGATAGAACCTCTACTATGAATTTTTTCATTATTACATTAGGAATCAAGTTTTACAAACTCCGTATTACATCCGCTCATTACATAAACTGTTCGTCGTCAAACGCAGGAGTTACAATGCGTGGTCACGGAATCTTACTTGCCCTATACCAAGCCCTATTGCAGGACTAATCAATAGGTATATCAAAATCGCGACTATCCAATTGTCATGATGCCGCTTATGTGCATTTAAGTGTGCTGGCCCATCAAGAGGCTTTAGATGAACTCTTCTCTCACTTTTAGCTAGGTTATAACGTTCATGTTGCGCAATATCACTCATAACTCGCCCCGTGCCAGTTGAAGATCTCGCAACTCAATTATTTACTTCTGCATTTTAGTGGTAGAACCGGGCTTGTAGTAGTTGGAAATGGGACGGTCACATTGGAGCAGAACTGCCTCACTGTTAGACTGCCGTGCATGTATCGCCTGGGTCATCTGGAAAGATTATCTAGTGTTGGATATGATGGAGTTTTGTAGGAATTGTCTTTTTACGAAGGAATGTTAACGAATAGGTTGTAGATAAAGGCCCCTAACCTAGCACGTCCTACACCTCAGGTCTTCGAGATCGATGACCCCCGGATGAAATAGGCTTGCAGCCTGCTTATGGCAGCGTTTTGAACGTGAAGTCTGATCACATATTCTGAACGGTTCGGTCAGTACGCCGCAGTGGCCGTTGGCTCCGGCAAAAGGTACATCTTAACTCGTCGCTTCCAATCAGACTGAGTGAGAAGGGAATGTGATACTTTTCTCGGCATTTCATCTACACTTAACAGCGCGCTAAGGGTTTTCTAATATTAGCCTATTCGTACGAGAAACGGTCAGGGGGTTGGTGTAGGAAAGGGGCTGCACACGGCGATTTTGCCGTAGCGGCCGAACGACGCGACTTGGGAACATAATGTGCCTGGCCGCGGACTCGGCTATTGCCATAGACCGACGCTGAACCCTTGTAATTCCAACTCTTTCGGTGCTGGCGCTTTATGGTCAGATTCTCGCCTTGCGACTTAGCCGACAGGTACCGCATTATAATACCTCTGGACCGGTTTGGACTTTCAGCTTACCTGGAGACGAACCCCATAGACATTGATACTATGATGCACAGTCTTATGTGACTGCCTATAAAGTACTGGTCTTCGCACGATCATGTCAAACAGTTGAACAAAAAGAACAATAACCGGAGGTTCCTATCGCCGAAATGGTACTCCCCTGTATGCTATTATTGGCAACTTTAGCTGCCACTGCCTCTGGGACTCTTGTACCAACCGGAAGTTCAGTCACACTAAACGACATCCACTACTTCATCTCTCCGTTCTCCCAAGGCCAGGCTTGCGACCCGTTCGATTTGGGGAAATACTCGGGACCAAGCGAATATATTCCCGTGACGGTTGTCGCACAGCCGCTCCCCGAGACAAGTTTGGATAGTCTTTTTGCAAACTGGATCTCCCGAGATGATGTCTGGCAACAAGGCTTTCTTGAAACCATCTTTCTCTCTGGTCTCATCAAGCCGAACGGTTCCACAGAACGGAGTTACTTGGGTAACACGCGGTCTACCATCTTGCCTTTACAAAGTACCGGTGCCCCCTCAGGTCCATATTTTCTTCAAACGTCAACTGGAAGCCTGCATCCGGCATATCGACTGTACGAAGACTTCGCAGGTGCATTTGCGCAGTCTCTTCTACAGCGACCAGATGAAGGCTTTCAAACCCTTTCAGCTCAGGTCCCAGGTTCTGCGTCGGTGACTATCGGTGTTCCTTCTCGGCTTCACTATACACCAAGCAAAAGTAAACCTTTAGCGGGTATCAGAATAGGAGTCAAAGATATTTTTACTCTCAACGGCGTTAAACGGTCCAATGGCAACCGCGCTTGGTACGGTCTTTACCCACCAGCTAATATAACCAGCACAGCAGTACAGAACCTGATTGATGCCGGGGCGATTGTAGTCGGCTTACAAAAGCTATCGCAATTTGCCAATGGAGAAGCAGCAACGGCTGATTGGGTAGACTATCATGCGCCATTCAATCCCCGGGGCGATGGTTACCAAGATACATCTTCATCGTCCGCTGGCGCAGGATCATCGGTTGCCTCTTATGACTGGCTTGATCTTGCCCTTGGGAGCGACACAGGAGGTTCTATTCGCGGTCCTGCTGGAGTTCAGGGCCTGTTCGGCAACCGCCCGACACACGGGCTCGTTAGTCTCGACAATGTCATGCCATTGAGCCCGAAGTTGGATACTGCCGGCTTCTTAGCTCGCGATCCGATGGTCTGGGATGTCGCTAACGCGGCGTTATACCTGAGCAACTACACATCCTTTGCGGATAGGAGTCCTCGGTACCCTAAGACATTATATGTGATGGATTTATCTTCGAATAACAACTCTGCTACACAGATGCGCTGGAAATTCGTTTCGGATTTGGCTACATTTCTGAACACGTCTATCACAGTCTTAGATCTAGAAAAGGAATGGGCCTCATCCGATCCCACCCAGGGTAGGGCACAGAGTCTGTCTGAGTTCCTGAATCTCACGTATGCTGCCCTCATCACCAAAGATCAAACAAAGCTTCTTCGTGATCCATTCTACGAAGACTATGCAGGTATGTGCTCATCGGGACCTTGCGCCAGCTCCTTTGCTAACATTAAGTTTTAGCTGCCCACGATGGACGCCGTCCGTTCGTTAATCCAGTCCCCCTAGCTCGCTGGGCTTGGGCCGACACGCAGCCTGATTCTATCCTCGATGAAGCAGTAGCCAATAAAACTTTATTTATGAACTGGTTTAACGAAAACATCCTACCTGCGGACCCTGATCCTCTAAGATGTTCATCTGGTTTTCTTCTGCATATGGATAGCACCAGCGGCTTCAGCAGCCGCAATAACTATTTGGATCCTCCTGGGTTACCCTTTGGTTTCTCGAACGGCGGCATCTCAATCTTCGCGGGGACACCAGACAGCGTCTTCCCACTTGGCCAAGTTCCCTTCTTCAGCTCCGTCACAAACCATGAAGAGTTTCTGCCAGTGACAGTGGATGTGATTGCCGCTAAAGGATGTGACGGACTCATCGCCAAATTGGCCGTGGACTTAGTCGCCAATGGGATCTTGAAGGCCCCAAGAACTGGTTCGGGACTTGATGGTGGAACAATCCTATTACGAAGAGGCCATGGATAGTGATATGGATCTTATTTGTAGCTTAGACGCTGGACCTTATATGAATTACTCTATAAATTACTTGGGAATTCTCGAAAAGGATTCAAGAGAGTTGCAGCCTATGATGGTGGCGAGCTAGCCAGTTTTAGTACACTCTTATAATAATTTAGGCTGGGCTATTCAACGTACTACTTTTATTATTTAGACTCATCCCCATTACGAACTCATCCATGTGTTGACTATTCTACTGCGCACTTTTCGCTTAGAATGTTATGAAATAATTTCCCTAGATTGATAATTAATTGCTCTTAGCTCCTAGAAAATAGACTGGATGCTAGAAAACGAACCTAGGGGTCTAAACTTTGATGGTAGTGACTCTAAGAATAAGAAAAGCCTCCTCACATCTGTTACTACTATCTCAGCTCTTCCTTTAAGTGTCCGTTGGGCTATGTCTCTGTTGGGGGAAAATATGTTTGAAGCGTTGCAGTAAATTGACTGCACGTGAAGCACCCCGCCAGAAAGGGGTGTTACGCAGAGGAATAAAACTAGGAAGGGTATATCCAAGATAGGTCCTGGCGACTAAGCTTGAACGCTGCGGCTAGCTATACGTATGCTACCCACACACGAGCTTAATGGTAACTCTTTCGAATATCGCGAAATCCTTGCTATTTGTGGTCGCTCAAGGCACCAGCCACAATCCTTCCCCAGAGCCTATAGACTCTAATGTAGTCTTTCACACATTATCAGGGATCAGCCTGCTTAGTATCTGATAGATACGGCCACTCGGGAGTGTAACTGGACTATTACAGTTGTAAGAATCAAAATCAACAGCAAGAATCTGATCGTATAAAGAATAACGCGACTTACAACAAAAAAGGCTCACTGCTCACAATGTACCAAAAGTGATCCGAAGTCTCTATCCTTGGACGAGGAGTCATGAGACGCAGAATACCGTCAACTTCTTCATGGCTCATTGTTCTTTTCTCGATGCTGACCATGTGCTTGGTTTGACTAGTCATGATGGATAATAGTTGCAAGGTGATAGCTTGAGATTTTTGAAATTATTCTTTGGTAAGCTCATAAAGAGTTCAAGGGATATCTGTGGGAATAACCCTATGGTATTCTATTTACTGAAAAGGTTTTTCTTTGCCAAGATAGACCTCTGATTCACTTGAACAAATGATGTACAAAGGCCGATTAAATTGAAATCCCAGTTATTAATCTGGGCATAGTGAATCTATATTCTAGATGCTTGACCATAAAGTCTTATCTAACCTCAGCATTGTAATCTATGTGTGTTCAAAAAATCACTGACTGGATGACAAAGATTCTAATTATGCGCACATTGTTTAGTTATTAATTTAAAGGAAGCATTTGTCTCAGACCACGTTTACCATAGCCTTACTTTGTCAAGCCCGCTGCTTTGTAAGGCATTGTTCTTATTTTCATCCAGCATCTTGACCATGACTATTCACGTATTCAATCCATGTACTGTACACAATAAAATTGCGCTGAAGTGGAGGGCCAAATATATGAATCGACTCTATTGTTTTCAAGGTCCCTGTTTCAAACTCCGTAACTAAGTTTAGTGTTGAAATTTTACAAATAGGACTGTAGAAAACTCAGCATTCATAACATTCCAGACAGGCGTCTGAAGGATAGCTGATCATTCTATCTACATTTCCCTTAATCACGTGTAGTTCAGTATACCGTCTACATAGGATTCTGGTGCCTCTGAAAATAGTTACTTGTCTCTAACCCTCTCAGTTAATTTCATATCCTTTTACTCAGTGCCGGGGTCCCCCGGGGTCCAGCCGCGCACGGTTTTTTTAACTGCTTTGTTTTCCCTTTTCCGCAACACGCTTGCATCTTGGCTCACATACAACTTTGCATCCATGCCGAAATAGTCATTGGGAACCGTGTCCTGTGCTTACCCTATATAGGATAGACTATTTCCAAGTGCGTAGACATATAAGGAGATGCATTTGAGAATAGAGAGCTATGAAAGGATAAGCCGCCTCTTATCATTAAATTAATAAATCAAAAGTCAACAGTATCTTACAAAAGATAGGTGAACCCAAGTCTTAAGGTTACGAGGGGTAGAATACATGAGTGCGGAGTACTTAAGTACATGTAACTATTCACAAATGCAATCACTCGAAGGGTGCTACCCCAAATTCCTGACAAGTCACTCGTCACGGCGAATATCCCGATAAGCAGTGAATTATTCACCGCTGCTTCTGGAGATCTCCTAAATACCATTAATATGTAGTTATCCATCCAGCAGATTTGTTTCTGGAAAAAGTACTTGCAAGAGGTAGTATCAGTCCAAACGAGATATGAATATCTGCGCCACCGATATTTCATCAATTGATGACTTAGCCGACTGTCAAATGAGTGTTTATCACCCTTAGTGTTTATTAATGAAAGCTGAGTCACTTAAAGTAAGCACAAATGCCGGGATATATTATGTCGAGTATAATATCTGTATTGTGTTAAAGAAAGCTTTATTATGATAAGAACGGCTAAGCGTGCTTGTCTATCTGCCCCAGTAACCCTCGATGTTCACTTACTCCGTAACTTATGCCTATTGACTTATGCATGCTTCGGAGCACAGTTCTGAGTTGGCGAGGTAAAGCGTACCTTTGAGGGTAGGGGAGCGTACAGTTGGTTGAGTGACTGCGACTACTTTTAACGTTCCTTATTGGAGATTTACATTCTCTCACATGTTCGATTTCATCACGCTGGCCTTAATTATAGCTTTTTCACTATTGGAGACAATAAGAATAATAATGCAACCCATTCATAAGACCTCATCTTCCTAAGCTAACACTATTGGTCGCCGTTGGGTCTGAACCAAGTACTGGTTAACTTATGTGTCAGAAAGGCTACGCCCTACTTCAACAAGGTGTAAACCTTTCTCTCATCATCATCCGTGGAGTCCTGAAATCGCTCGGCATAATGACGTGGTGTCTTACGGTCTGTGTTTTCCGCATCCTTATCTGCTCCGTGGGCGAGGAAAAGCTCAACCAGTGAGTGGGAGGCAGATTGAACTGCAAAATGAAGCGGAGTGTCTTCATTCTCCTCTCTGGCCGTGGCTGCAAGACTAGCGTGATTATCGAGCAAATAGGTGGTGATCTCCCGAACAACATGTTGCTTTCCCCTCCAGCGGTTCTCCTGCGTTTCATGGAGCCACGCGTGCAAAGGTGTATATCCGTGCTCATCTATTTGGTTGATGCTACGCATTCTTGACGCCAGAAATTTGATGAGCTTAACTGACTCATCATCCGTGTAGGGACTGGCGACTGCAAAGTGAAGGGTCGTATGGCCGTGTACTCTTTGGTGTATATCGAAACCATTCTGTACTAGCACTCGCATCATACTAACGCTTCTAGGTCCAACTTGCTTTATATCCTTCTGGTACCGCCGATCTGACCAGCCGTAGGACGGCATTTGGCCGTTCTCAAGTCGACCGGACAAACTGATGAGATATTCCATCAAGGGAACATCATCGTCCTCAATGGCCTTGTCCATGAATGGCTCTAGATATTGATAGTTCAAAAAAGCGAGGTCGTTCTTGCGTAGCACTCGGACGTGCTCAACAATCACCTTTGTCAAATCCAGGGTCAGACCCTTGGAGTTTTGGCCAAAAATCTTGTTGAGCATCAATAAAAGTACCTTATCTTGCTTTTGAAGGGGCCAACGACTCATTTCCTCTTTTAAGGGTTCCATGTCTCCGACTGTTGTGAGGCGGGAGTGCTCCCAATTTCCCGTACTTTGGCTCATGATGAGCAAATGTAAATTTATAATTGATTTAGGTGTTCTTTAAGTATGCAGTGATTTGCGAAGGTAAAGACGCTTGCTAATGCGAAGCTTCCAACATGGCTTCTTGGGCGGAGAGCGTCTTGGTATTTATATGCTGTTAATGCGGATTTCGCGACAGGGCAGTGAATCAGATGAGTCTGATCATGAAACAGACAATGCGTCATTGAACTCCAGGCACAAAGACTAACTTCTTAAAGCGTCTAAGCTAATGCATAATATCGGTTTCGGATGACAATGAATGGTGCAAGTTTAGCCCTGTCGCTCTTCTGTTGCTGCATTGTTGTCGTTTGTTCAATCCATCCACACTCGGCTGGTATTCTCTTAATAGCCGTTGAAACAATATTTTATGATATTCGAAACTCAACAGAATTTTCCAAATAGCTTATCTAGACAAATTATTTCTCGTCTCTTCGAATGTAAATAGCAAAAACAATCTCTCTACTTTCGCATACTCAGTTTCTGAAGAGGGCTAGTAAAGACCACGCGATGCCAAACCAAGTCCTCTTTCTATTCCAAAACAATTTCGCATATATCTCAGGAATTCGAACGCTAAATCTGATGCGGGAACAGATAGGTTTAGTTCAAGTGTTGCCTAGGCCCTAAATTTGTGTTCTGCGATAGAAGGGCATCCGTTAAGCAGAGTCTCTTTCCCTGCTTAGTCATTCCACGTCTAAGTTTATACAACTCATTGCCAGTTATAGTAATTTGGTTCTTAGAACTACTCTGTTTGTTGAGTATTCCCCCCGCACATTTACCTTCTCGCAAAGAGACGTTGCAGGGAGCAGGCTCCTGGAGCTCAGTATGGAACCACAGATCTCGTCGAGACATGCGTAATTTCGGAGTGCTGGGATTCCAGATTTAGGATGGCAGAACAAATTCCAGAACAGCGCGATAACAGGATGACCGTTAAAGCGTGCAAGAAGGTGTTCAAAATAATGTAGAGCTGTTTGAGAATAGAAGTAATTAAATCAAATTCACGGGCGGTATAGATTCAGACAATAGTAAGAGCATAGGTGATGTCCAGAGTCGCAACTAACAGCAAACTCCTTCACGTAAGTCCGCGGCTCATTTGATGAAGCTCCTGTCATGAATCAGCACCATAGCACACATCAAGGATCCGCGTTATGACGAATGGCGGAGTTTTGAGAATCAATATGCCTTGATCGAACGGGTGTCCTGCTTACCTCATCAATACAGCCCTTCAACAAACAATTACGTCTGTTTCATAATACAATAAGCCGACAGGAATTGATTATATTCGCTACTCCACTTTCATGTTCCCATACATCTACATCATACTAATCATCCCAGAGCGCAGTAAGTCAGCTGCCCTCAAAGCAGCACCATGCCGATTACCGCAGAGACGGACAAATATACTCCGAGAACCAGCACAGCAGCGCCAGCTGGCTGTGTTTTCCCACCCCCAGAAGTGTTGGTTGAAGTTCCAGTAGGTGCGGTAACTGTGACTTGCTGGGTGACTGTGTTCTCGTGTGTCTGAGTAACAGTTTGCGTCGGTCCTGATTCTTCATCCGACGCTGTCGCTGTTTGTGTCCTCGCAGTAGCCGAACCAAACAAACCAGACCTTCTATTCGATGTTGAAGCCCAACCCCACAGATCCTCGTCACTTGTTGTTCTGCTCTGTGAGACGGCAGAGTTGGTACCCGAATCCCCGTTCTTGCGGCATTGTTGGACTGTCTCCCATCCCTCGTCAAACACATTTTCCCACCAGCTCGATCGCTCGCTAAGTGTATAGGTCATGAAAACATAATGTGAGCCGGGGTAATCGTGGGCGGTCTCCATGAACTTGATCGAGCATCCGGAATTGCAAGGGAAGTCGGAGCGGGCGTAATACGGATCTCGACCGTATCCCCAGTTGAAATAACACCACCCGGTGCTGTGACAGGAATTTAGCACCGTTCATATCATATGAAACTTGGTATAAACTCACCTGTTCTTCGAGCATGACCAGGCATACTCATACTGGAAAACCTCGCCGACCACTTCGACAGGAACCTTCGGCCTGGGGTTTGCCGTGGAACTTAAAAGGGCACCGTCACCAGACGCCGTGCACGCCTTCTTAACATTTGCCACGTATGAGTCCAGTGAGTCCTTGCATGTGGTTGAGCACATGCTCTCAACATCGGCCAAGTCTGGGTTGAAGTTGGGACTGCCGGACGAGACCATGCCTAGAAGGGTCTGGTCGCAGTCAATCGTTGCGCTGTAGGCGGCCAGACATTCTTTCGAGGTCGAATCTGCAAGGTGATTGTGCACGTAATACCAGTAATCCGTCACCACAGTGTCCAGATTGAAGGCGGCGACGGCAGGCCGCACGGCGAGCAGGAGGAGAGGAGCGAGAGCTAGCATGTTTGCATGTTGATGAAGGAGAAGGGCCTCGGTACATCCTGGCTTTTAATTTCTGGGGATAATCCCAGATAATATAAGAATGCTCGATCTGTAGGGCTGGCTGCCTAACGCATCAGTCCATGTTGGCCCCACGACTGCGGCGCAGCAAATCCTTCCCCTGGATTTCAGTGGATGGTTAAACGCCGAGCCCTGCCAAGCCTGCCTCTTTACCAGAAGAGAGCAAGGGGACTGTGATTGCGCCGAGATGAATGCTCTGCCGCTTGTACAGAGACGAAGGTCCAGCTACCCAACTCTTGACACGTCGGACTCTGCCGCTCTGAGATTGACATTGATATCAAGTCTTATGATACTGAATTCCCCTTCTGAATACTGATCTTATGCTGGTAACGATTTCCCACATGATTCATCTAGAGTAGACCGTGAGACTGCTAGAAAATTTCTGCCGGAAGTCGGCATTTGTCAGCAAATTACGGCTACCGGCAATGAGGGAACCTTTTCCTCGTGATTTCACTACCTCTGCAAGGTTTAGTCATACAAACTTATCGAGTGATTAACGTAATGTCCGAAAGCCCTCGAAACGGAGGTGAATCAGCTCCAAGGATATTCACTGTTAGTTGATTAATCGTGCCTCTGCGTTCAACTGAAACTTGCTGACTAGACTATGTATAGGCCTGTGCGTCTTGTCGACAAAAGAAACAGCGATGCGACGGCGCTTCACCACGATGTGCAAGATGCTTACGGCAAGGACTTGAATGCGATTATCCAAGTCGCCGAATGCGTGGCCCAAGTAAGAGGTGAATTCAGTTGAGCAGAAGCCTCTTAATTGTCCTGAGCTGACTGGAGCGAACGATAGATCGCAATATGTAAAGGACCTTGAACTGCAAGTCCAACGACTTGGAGGGGAAATCCGTGAATCCAGGACAGCATCGTCGGACGAAGCACCCGCCTCTTCACTCCCCCGGAGAGGTAAAGACATCTTCAGCTCTCGTGAATGTCACCATGTATTGACAGTTTTTGTTCAGATGACGATAGTACCCCCTCGGCTGCTTTGGCATTAGACAGTACCGGAACGGTTCAGCAAGCTACTTCTTCGAAAGTTCCCTTGCCTTTCTTTCATCAAGCGGAGCGATCCGTGGCTCAGTCAATAGCAGGCATCAGACATGGTAAATTCAACATGCAAATATTTGCGGATGTCTTCTCATTCGATGTCAATGTCGGGCTAGTAAAGTCGTCCTTCGAGGACATAATTGAAGTATACTCATTTTTTACAATACCTGACCCACAGGTGTTGAAAGTCTTGGAGCAAGAGGCCAGCACAGCAGCATCGATGAATCTGGCCATCACCAACTCCCTGTTAGCCCTCACTGTCCAGTTCAAGGTAGCAAACCAGCACATAGGCGAGCTTCTCCCTATTGCGTGGGCTCGATTCAAAAGCACGTATGCAAGGCTCCCTCAACTTATTACCCAACCGCCTTGCATCTCTACATGTCAAGAGCTGTTGTATATGGTCATGTTCTTGCAAGGGTTCGCCGACGTACGAACCTCTTACCAGCTATCATCTATGGCTATCACTGTTATTCGAACAATTATCTCGTCAAGCCACAACATATCCAACCTATCGGTAGAAGATACCCTCATCCTATGGGGCGTGTTCAGTCTGCACGTGGAAATATCTCTTCGGTGTGGCATTGCGCCCTCTATCCGTGAGATTGGCTTTCATGTGCCGCCCCCAAGTAGAGATGCGTTGGTAACTTGCACCAACGATTTCGCACCTAAGGGTCATGCCGATAAGGTATTGGCGCGAGCAGAGCTTGCTCTTATTCAGTCCAACATAGCCGACCTTGATACAGACGTCACTCCAAATTCCACATCGTTAGAAGAAGACCTTGACTCATGGGCAACTAGAACTTTCGGTAGTATCAGCCTAGAATCAGAGGAATCACTCGCATTTCCGTCTCTGAATCTCAGATTCGTGTACTATCACTCGAGATTTAGATTGGCACGAATCAGCCAGCGCTCCCCTGAGGCCGGCATAGTATTTGCCCAGTCTACACTTCGACTACTACGGCATGTTCCCAACCAACAATATCTAACTATCTGGTAAGTGAAGGCGCTGCTTTGCATAAATCAATGAGGCTGACAGTTGCAAGGCGAGTCCTGATATATCCACTCTGGGCATCTCTTGCGCTCCTCGAGGATACACTGCAAGCACCGAATAACCCACGAGCGTGCACGAATAATGAATTGATTCAAACCTTTTACAACTTCTTGGAAACTACCCAAAGGTTACAGCACTGCGATCTGGGAGCTATGGTCAAAGGCTTGTCGAAGATATATGCTCTGACAACGACTGCTTTACCCGGACAGCAGATGGCGGAGGAGAACACTGCTACAATGTCCAGTAGCAGCAACGAAAGGCCCTTACAGGTGAGTGAATTCGTGTTCGAAACCGCTTACATCGATTACACAGCGTCCTAACTAGATGTTCAAGATACTTCAATTTCTTAGCCAGTACAAAGATTTCATGCCCCTGGCACAGGGCCTCATGGGGAATATGCCAGAGTCATCTAGAGTTCGGGAATTCGCAAACTTACTTGGTATCGACTTCCAATTAACTGAAGACTTTGGACCATTCGTTCCTGAGATCTTAAGACCAGAGCTGTACAACTTTACATTTGAATACATTCATTGATACCGCGGTTGGCAGTTGGTCCAAGACTAGTGCTGATTTGTCTAACAGAGCGATTTAAGTTGTTATTCAGTTCAGGAAGCATCGTTCTTATCTTTATTTTTACTTTAAGTACTATGCAAGATACAAGAGAAGTGGTTCAAGGACTCGACATCACTTTTATAGGTTATCTCCTTGCTACCTCTTCACCCAGACCTGCCATTAGACCTACCAATGAAAGGTATTTTTACTAGGAATTTGTAATTGTTCTACTCCGGTAGTGTGGAATTATTCTTCTTCCCTCGATGTTCAATACGATGGGTGGAATAAATTAGTTAACGTTCATTCGACGAAGCTGATGGACACAAATAGGGTAAAATTGCATTCTTCTCACAAGTGCGATGCGGATAGGTCTACTTCTTTGTGAGACTAACAAGATCAATTTTATGTACGAACTTAACGTTCGGGTGGAGCTATGAAGGAAAGAAGCAAACCCGGTTCTAGGCGTTGATTTGTACTCTCGTACGCTGTCCACGTTTGACGATCAAGCGAAACCCTCGCTCCAAGACCCGTTCACTATTCCGTCGCCTGAACTGTGGCTGCCACCTTTGCTTCAAGTTCATTAGAAGTTAGAAGTGGCAGGCCAAGAAGTTCATTATCGATTTCCGGGTATGCCGCCTCATACTTCCCTCCAAGTACAGCTGCCTGGAGAACAGGGAACAGTGCTGTGGGATCGGTTGGGTTCTTGGCAGCATTTTCAACCGCTTTATCAAACTCAACCTGCGCGTCAAGAGGTGTTTCTTTCCACTCCGTTCCTGTTGGAGAGTGTTTCTTTGCAAAACGAAGCAGGTCGGCCTGTGTCGTCGTGGTATCGTTGATGTACAGAACGCGGTTTTTCGTGGCCTCGCTCCCCTTAAGAACGGAAACAACAGCCTTGGAAATAGTCTCAATGCTTGTAGTACTGAATGGGTGCTTCCCCTCATCGTAGAGGTTGACGGAATGGCCCTTTAGATCAATGATCAAGGGTGAGTTCAATACGTATTCCAGAAACATTCCAGGAGAGATGATGGAGTATTCGATCTCTCCCTTTGCTGCTTTCTCTTTCAAGAGATCTTGAATGACGTTAAGAGGCGCATTTAAAGGCAGATCTCTTGTAACCGGTCTCGTGGTGAGGGCACCAAAGTCGGAAGGAATATATCGCTTCACGCCCGCCTTGATGCACGCTTCGATGATGTTTGTTTGCACAAGGAGTGCAGGCATGGCCAGAGCGGCAATTGCAACATCTTGCCCCTGGAGCGCCTTGGTCAAGCTGTCGACAGAGGAATAATCCACAGCACCGGTAACAACACCCTCGGGGTACTCCTTAGTAGAGGCGCTTCGGCTCAGAACAGTCACCTTGAAGCCGCTTTTGGACAGCTGTGGGATCAGAGCACTGGCCAGGAACCCAGTCTGTAAAAGTTAGCTCAGTGTCTAAGACCTTGAAACATGAAATACAACATACGCCAAAGATAGCCACGTTCTTAAAGGTGCTCATATTATCCGTTGGATGATGATGTGTTAATGAAGAGATGTTGGTCGAAGCTGAAGGCTGTTTAAGTTGGAAAACCCATTTCATCGTACGGATGAGGTTCGACGTCTTTTATAAGATACGGGAGACTTGAGCTTCAGGTTCAGGCATCCAGACCTGCTTGCAAATCAGTCCGCGGCAGAGTTTGGTTTGTCAGTATCGGATACAAATTGCATCCGAAGTGGGTCACTTCGCTTTGTCATTTGCTCGGATGTAATCTGCCGTGCCGCAAAACTGGATCCGCAGCGATTTGATGATGACCATAATGGTAAGAATAGGTCTCTAGAGCTTAGTATATAACTTCAAAATGTAAAGCACGCAAGACCGTATAGTAAATCAATGTATTACTACGGAATATGGGGTAAAATACAACTCACTCCGACCCATTTATAGACCTCAGAGGCAAGCTGGCAATGATCACCAGTTAGGCTGGGATTCCACTACGGCGAGCAGGGTAGCCTCGGCAGGCTCACAAGGAAGGCTATCAGCCAGTGAGCAAACGGACGTTACGATTCACATGCTTGTTTTTTACATATTTCTCTCAATTGATGTTCAAGTCCGGTGGAGGTTCTATTCACCTAACAATCAACATAGGTTAAGACCTCTTTATCATAACCTACTATTTATTAGTAGCGCGTAGCAAGAACGATGATTAGCTCAAAATGTTTGATTCCTAAGAAAACCTAGTTGTTCACGGAGCAATTCTGGCTTCCTACCCACCAAATCAAGCTAATGCGCTGTCTTTTATCTTCGTTCCGCCGTCCTCTGTGCAAAATAGTTCTTGCTTCCACGGTTAGTCGCCTTTAGCCTTTCATGTTGGTTGCCAAGTCACGGGCCTAGGATTCTCCCGCATGAGAGCAAAAGGAGCGCGCCCTGAGACAACATACCAATTAATCATGAATTCGACTGTGAAAACCAACTCATAATTAGAAATTGAGGGGTCAAAAGGCTTAACTGTTCTTATCAAAGACATTGGAGATAGAGAGTACGGCAGAAGGGCAGAAGAGCAGAATCCTGCAGACGGACTGGTCACATTGCCCGCCAGTGGAGAACCAACCAGTACGATGGAAACGTGGAATTGTGAGTTTTTCCTCATGGGTTTCAGGCCTGGTTATTTATTCATCACATTAGAAAGTATATAGTATGAAAACAAGGCGGTGCTTTGATGTTGGTTAGTTCTATTTCAATTGCTAAAGCCAGGTCTTGTTCTCAAGCATCCTTGACATGTCACTAACTACCATCAAGATGAGATATTAAAAGTAACGGAAATAAGCCATATGATAACGGAAAATACATTTATCTAGATGGCATTCCTCATTCGCGCTCAGGTTAGACAGTATCCTGTCACCCAATCCTTGCAGTCATGCCAATGCTCTTGAGTTTGTAAGACTAACAAGAGGACAGGTATTATGCAAATCAACTGAAAAGGAAGGGAAAAACTTCTAAAAAGCTTCACAGCATCAGAGACTCGAATTTCTATAAAGAGGGAAGCCCGCGCCCAGGCAACCGTGGGGATTCCTTACTTCCATCACCACGTCAGTCATCACTACCACTAAGCTTTAGAACAATACAAGAAATTTCTCATTCTCAGCAGTAACGTCGCTGCTCTCTTCCAACATTCCTCAACCTGCTGATATCTTCTTGTGTTCGCTTCTCGTTCGGTCAGTTTTCTGCCGTCTGGTAGCTACCTAGGTTAGTTGTTATGATCTACAAATCAGCAGAAAATCTTATTTACTGCCCGCTACAGGTTCCATATTCACACCATCACCTATCCGGTCATCGTCGATATGTGCGACGTCTATTGGCACCAGTGCCCCAACTGCGACGAGATCTTTTGGGGCGGGAAGCGAACCTGTGGAATTGTTGGTTGCCAAAGGGAGTATACGGAGATTATCCCCTTGACCTACCCTTGCTGCAGTAGTCCATGAAGTCCATTATTGACGATACTTCATACAACCAATATGCGTCTGGTCGGCATTCATAAAAACTCGTCTTCATCTGGGCCCCTGCCGAACAGATAAGCCACCATTAGATATACTCGATGAGGTCCACACTGAGGCATCAGACGGATGAATTGCATACGAAGGAGAGAACTTTTCAGCTGTCCTCCAGTCATTCATTATGCTAGAAGCTAGAGAATTTATTAGTTATCCTTAACAGAACCACGTTTCCCAATGCCAACATAGATGCTGTGTTCTTCAGTGGGGTTTTCTCTAGCTTTCCGATGCACGGCCATCAAAAATAAACTCCTCCAGCTCCCGAAACGCCTTGTCGAGATCTTCGTTGACGATAATCCTGTCGTGTACGCCTGTTTCAGCGTATTCTAGCTCGGCTCGGGCTCGCTTGAGTCTATTCTGAACGCTGGCTTCATCCTCTGTGCCACGGCCTCTGAGCCTTGACTCAAGCACAGCGAAACTCGGTGGCTTGATGAACACAAATCGCGGATTCATAGTCGATTCTGCATTCAACTGCTCTCTCTTCAGCTGCTTGACACCCTCCATTTCAACATCAAGTACGACAGTTGAGCCTTTTGATGCCTGGTCGATGGCGGTCTGTTTGCTCGTGCCGTACAGGTTTCCGTTGAATTTAGTGAACTCGACAAAGGTATCCTTGAGGATGAGAGACTCAAACTGCTCCCTTGAAACGTAATAATATGTGACTCCTTCAACTTCACCGGGGCGGGCTTTTCGAGTTGTATGCGATACTGTGGCAGCAAATGCCCCTGGGTAGGTATTCAACAACCTAGTACAAAGGGTGCTTTTCCCAGAGCCTGACGGGCCAGAAATGACAACGGGCCGGCGCTGAGACATTCTGGTTCCGAAGAAAGATCAGCCAATCAAACCAGGTTGTAGTGTGCCAAAATGAAGGTAGGGTATTGAATCAGTACATATGTATTTAAGCTAACTTTTTAAGCTTTGATACAGATGAAGAGGAGTCCATTTTGGCTGAACAAACATTGGTATAAACACGTGATAAGTACGAGGTGAGCGGTTGTACTCCGGGTGCTACACATAATACTCGCCTGAAGGTTAACGATGATCAAAATATACTATCAAACAGGGCCAGTCTTGGGCCCTCTGACAGATTATATAGTATTATTAGTATATAGGATCCTTATATATATCTATCTATTAAGTAATCCATTCCAGGCAGAAAAAAATAAAAACTCGCTCACCTGGTATATCATCCAGAAGCGGAATCCATAAAAGTGAGCTCAAAATAAATTGTAAACCTTTCCATTTCTTAACACCACATCTGATACAATACTTATACAAGCCTCTGTTCCCCCATCCCCCACGCGCTGGGTCGCTGATGGATACTACCCCAATCATGTAGATCCAGATCATGGCAGGAGGGGAGAGATCCAGGCCATCTACATGGCTCTGATACTTGGTGGTGAACGGCTTATTGGGAATCGTAATATCTAGCCACTGTATGAAGACATTATGAGTGAACGCTAGCAAGGCAAGTCTCACCGATTCATCCAGTGAATTGGATGGAAATCTGAACGCGAATAGTCGATACATTGTCGAGGTCACGGTTTGATGAATTATCTCGATTCTCATCAACTGCTGTGTTTGGTATGCGAGGTTTACCAGCATACAGAATCTCTTGAGAACCTTCCAAACTGTCAATAGATGTTGGTCCAGGTTCTCGAACAACTGGGCATGTCCCATGGAGTATTGGCCCTCATCCGGCGAAAGTAATAGTTCCACTGGGTAGGAATACAAATGATCCGATGGGTATTGGAAAAAGACTGGACGTGAGTCACTCAGTAATGCGATCCCTAAATCGCATCTATAGCATATTAGTTCACTGTAAGGAGAAGGGGGTGTGTAATATGTCTCCGGTACCTCATAATTTCTACGCACAAATGGGAGTTTTCCAAGGACTTGAGACCTCCCCTCAAGTCAACCGTTTTTCGAATGCCTTCCATATACTGTCTGGAGGCCGTAAAATCTCCACTGAAATGTGCAGCGCTTGCCAATTTCGTAACTGCTGCAATGGTTGAATTGGTAACTTTGGCCTCGCCCACAAGCCGGTAGCAAGGAAGTCTGATGCCTCGTTGAAAATGCAGTATGGCCATGGGAGTACTACCAGCGCCGGGTCTTAGGGCTATATGGACAAAGTCATCCATGAGTGCTGCGGTTAAATGCAGGCCGGCATCGTCGCCTTGCACCAATGCCAACCTGCTCCCTGGGTCTGCTCCGTACGCTATAGCAGTCACAAGAGGATGAATGACTTTCATTGCCGTCGCCGAGACTGTGCGGTTCAATTTAAGCAAGTGCTTCATAGGGGAGCAAAGATTTATGCTTCACGAACCTTTGACAGAGTTGAGAAGCATCTCTAATTTAGTATCGTCGGTAAATTGGAGGAATGAGAGATCTCCGCCCACTCGGTAAGGTATTTGCCCAGTGCGTGTGATATTGTTGTCGAAAATGATTTGGAAAGGCATCTTATGCACCTTTTCCATATCAATACGGCTGGTTTGATTTGATTGCTTCACTTGAATTGCATTTCTTTTATGCTTCATGCCTCGCCTCGCATGGCTCCTAATAGTTTTTCTGACGGCGGGTTCCAACTTGCCAGTGCTAGATGAGAGGATAAAGGGCAGATTTGTTGCCGTAGAGTGGATAATCTTGGCTTGGTGTGAAGGCTCCATGTTCTCTTTATCTTGGCATACCTACGCTTTCTTTCTCTTTCTCGTCATCAAGGGATAGAAACGAATAGGGGGTAGTATCACCTAGTATGGTGGACAGAATAATGCCGCGTCGTTATGGACTAAAAGTGAACGCCAAGCTATATTGTTGCTGCATTCGGGATGGCTAGAAGGTATAACTAGAGTGTCTGTGCCTTGTTTTCCCTTCTTCTAAAGAGTGGAGGAAGAAGAGAGACGATGAATTCTCCTGGCCGGATGACTTTCCCAGTATCAAGGGGTGGCCATTGCGGTTTGGGATTACCTCATCGCCATGCCATGGACGGAAAGAGAATGCCAAGCCATGTTGATTGCTACATCTGGCTTAGCAATAAGCTCTAGGCCAGGATCTTGTTGACTCGGACTTCGAATCCCGTTCCAAGACGTGCGCCGGAGTTGAGACCGGCGCAAGCCGCGAACATATATAAGACACTCCAGTCTTCATTGCAGAGAAGAAATGTCTCGAGGGAGTCAGTAGAACTTCCATCTTATATTTTTCTCTTGAACCATGTCAAACCCCAGAAAATCCGTGCTTATTACCGGCTGCTCCGCTGGAGGCATTGGCGCTGCCCTAGCCCAAGTCTTTCAGGAAAAGGGTTACGACGTGTTTGCAACAGCTCGCACGCCATCCAAGATCTCGCGCGAACTCTCGACTGCGTCCAATGTCACCATTCTAACTCTTGATGTGGTTTCGTCCAAATCAATCACTGCCGCAGTTGAGAGTGTCAGAAATGTGACGGGTGGCAAGCTCGATATTCTGATCAACAACAGCGGCATGCCGTTCCGGGCACCAGGCCTAGACGCGCCCATAGAGGAGGGGAAGAAGCTCTTTGACCTCAACTTTTGGGCACCTCTCGAGATGCTTCAAGCCTTTGCCCCCTTGCTCATCGAAGCAAAAGGATGCGTCGTCAATAACTCATCATGCAGCGCCGTTCTCCCCATGGGTCTTTGTAGTAAGTCTTACAATAAATAAGCTTGGTAACACCCCAGGAGCATCTTACCAACGTGATCCAAGGCATCTATGGTGCATCCAAGGCGGCGCTCACTCTAGCCAGCGAGACTTGGCGCCTCGAGCTTGAACCCCTGGGTGTCCGCACGATTACAATATCCACGTGTGCCACCAAGTCCAATGCCCAGACAAACGGATTCAAGGCCAAAATCCCAGAGTCTTCGCCATACTATCCGATTCGAGAGTTCATTGAGAAGCCCTCCGACATGCAGGCAAAGGCAATCACGGCGAGAGAGTACGCAACCAAAGTTGTTCGAGAAATTGAGGCCGGTACTGCGGGCATCATCTGGGTTGGAACTAGCTCCATGATGACTAGATTGGTAGCGTCTATGCCGGGGTCTATTCTGGTAAGACATTCTGAAGGGCCACTTCACTCTGGTCACCAGTTTTATGCTAACGAGATCGGCTAGGACAATGTGGTGGAGAGTATAATTCCTGTTCAGAAGGAGATGGCGAAAGCGATCAAAGAGAAAAAACTCTAGCTAGTTCCTTGCAAAGTAGCCATCTCACCTATAAGAGGCTCCTATCTTCCTCTGTTGATAGAAGAGCCACTACACGAGCAAAACACGATTTGTATCGAATCACATTTTTTATTTGCCATCTTTTTCATATCATTCGCATTTTCAGTGTGTTAGTGCCTGGAAACAAGTAAATCCTAAATGTGGGGATTTTTTTATAATGGGAGAAAACTGTACCAGCCTACTGCATACTTGATTTTTTGTCGAAGTGGACGTGGGTAATCTTTGATGTACTATTGCTCTAATTTTAGGCTTACACAGCCACTCTCGTCTCACTTCTAGTGCGAATCATCATCTCATTAATGAGTCAACTCTTCCTCATATTCCCAAGACCGACACAGGCTTTCTCACAACATAGTTCATCAATGACCAAATTCTATCAAAATGACGCCATATGCAGTCCTACCTCCTGAACTCTGGGACTCAATCCTCTCCTACCTTTCGCTGCCCGACTTGGAGGCAGCGAACCTTGCCTCTCAGTACTTCCATGCAGTCGCCCAGAATTGCCTAAAAGCAGAGCGCATATCCTATCGTCAGGCTTCTAAATTCAGAGCAGATGATTACGTCCAAGACGAAGCGATACCCTGGCTTCGACCACTGCTGAGAGTTCTACGCGACCCGTTCTTCGCATCTTACGTTGAAGAGCTCGATACGCAGATTGAACAAAGTGGCTTTGACGTAAACCGCTTTCTAGAAATCTATGAAGAAAAGACAAAAGATGGCATCGTGTCTGTTACCGATATGTCGCTCATCAGAAAATCAGCACGGACGACCTTTTCCGACTGGTTCGATATTCTAGAGCACCCAGAATACCAAAACGAGTTTTTCGATGATGTCGAGAGGCTTGAACAGTCGGCTCTCTTGGCCATTCTCATGTGTCATCTCCCCAACCTTCGGGTCCTCACACTCACCGCTGCATGCTGGGGCGGCATTGAAGAAGCACCGTGGCTGCTGAGGCTCGCGGACCAGGTCCATCGTCGCCCAGACACGCCGCTCCATGGCGGCCGACCTTTTTGTCGTCTGCAACACCTCAAGGGGGACGTATTCAACTGCTACTACGGGCTGGATCTGGATTCGATCGCCCCATTCATCGCACTTCCCACCCTCCGATGTCTCGAGACGCCACAGAATCACGACGACGGGTTCGACTGGCCAGAACATCTTCCGCGATCCAACCTCTGTGAGATCCTTCTCGACGAAAGCACAATACCCGAAGAAGCGATCAGGATATTTGCCGCGCAGGCTCTACGGGGCCCGTGTGTAATAAAGCAATCAGTTGGATGGAGAAGGCACTTCGACACGCCGGAGATTACGTGGAGCAGACTGGAAGTTCCTTTCGAGGGTGCCAAGCCAGATGAACACATTGTGAAATGGCTGGAAGACGTTGCATATCCATAGGAGAAGGGTCCATGGGAGAAGGAAATGGGAGGTTGTGTGGACTGAATGACTGCATCCCGTTTTCCTTATTCTTCTCGAGAGCCCACAGTCACTTGACGAGAACTGGAAGATATAGCACATCAGAGAAATAATGTTACCCTGCAAACCTATTTACATAACAGCACTGATCGATAATCTGTAGTGCCTTACATTCATGCTCTAATAAGTTACCATAACATTCTGCAATTATGTGCTACTACCCTGATAATCAAGAAGTAGGAAAATGGGAAGTTTATTTAATACAGTCCATTTTCAATTTGTCCCTTGCTTGCATAGTCAGCATGATATACTAATAAAACTTGGTTCGATGTTGATTCATTGCCCTGGTCTCCAAACCCGCCCGATTATGTGGCCCAGGAAAACTCTTCGGGGTTCAAGAACGGATGCCTTATATGACAAGACACAGATATGAGCCCATCGCTATCAGGCATCAAGCCGAGTTCTTGCTTGTCAAGATATCACTGGTCAACATGTCAGTATTTCCCTCAGCCATGGATGAGGCTTTTTAAAATTGTTTCGCCACGTTTCATCTGATGAGAGAATAGTTCCCACTCTGTTGACCGCATCTCGATGTCACAGACTACGGAGGATCCAGTCAGCCAGTTCCCCGCCCGGTTGACCTCGGCCTATTGTTTTCCACGGAAACATCCTTGGGCGTAGCATTTTCTTCCTGGCTAAATTAGTCAAATGCTCCCCATCGCCAGCACACATTCTATAAAGAAACAGACAAAGGACATTATCCAGTTCCGAGTAGGCCCGAATAGACCATTCATAAATTCATAGAAATCACCGGGGCTTCTAGCTATAAGAGAGTTGGTCTATATATCCACTTCGCCCAATGTGACACCAAAGCCGGCAATGCAACGCCAAAACTGAACGACGATCCAACTCGACGGTCCTCAACTTACCTAAACTGGGGAAGTGGTTTGCTCCACCGTCCGGGATGATTTGTATGACTTGGCGTATGTCATGAGACACGGCTGCACGGTTAAATCAACATTGTGGGGATGGTAAAACGCGGCCGGCATATAAAAAGAGAGTTTTATTGCACGATAAAATGCCATCTCTCGAATACTGGATTGTGCTTACTATCATCGGGCCCAGAAACTTTATCTTCACCATGGTTCCTCGTGTTTCCAGCTCCATTCTTCTCTTCGCCCTGTTGACTCTGGGGCAAGAGTGTCCTCCTAACCCTGGCACAGATCCCAACGAGCCATCATTCGGAACTCCGGTCCCAATCCGCCCAGAAGACATCCCAAGTGGATGTTCTGATTTCGAGATTCTTGCTGGTAAGCGTTGAGTGGTTGACCCCAAATGCCTTTTTCCGATCTACAAACATTTGATGTACTAAAGGTATCCAGCTCGCGGAACTTCAGAGATTGGCAAGTTTGGTTATCGTATCGGAGACCCTCTCATCGGAAACGTCACTGAAACCCTTCCAGGCAGTCGAGGATATCCAGTTCAGGTTCGCACCCTTCCATAAGAGCTGCACAAAAGATACAGGCTGACGAATAGCCAATTAATCACAGTACCCGGCAAGCTCCGACTTTGCGAATGGAGTTGCTCAAGGCGGTCTTGACGTTATCAACCGAATCGAGAGCCAGTCACAGCTTTGCCCTGATCAAACTTTCTCTTTGGTGGGATACTCCCAAGGAGCCATGGTAATGCGCAACGCGATCGGCAACCTCTCGGAATCGCTGTTCGAAAAGGTCAAGTCAATTGTCTTGTTTGGAGATCCAGAAATCGACTCGGAGATTCCGGCAGAGCTGGAGGCGAAGCTTTTGGAAAACTGCGCGACAGGAGACTTTGTAAGCACAAACTCCATCTCACATGACAGGCATAGAGCCAGATGCTAATTGATAATTCCAGGCGTGCGACAAGTCAGGAACGACATGCCCCTACGGCCATATCACATACTCCTTCCCCGAATGGATCGAGCCAGCTGAGGATTTTATTGTTAAGGCGTTTTCTTCTTGAGCTGGGTCATTGCGGGGTTGCAGTTGAGAGATAGCCATTCATGGAGAATGCTTGGTGAATATTCATGCGTTGCAAGGCCCGTCAACGAAGATGAGAACAACATCTTCACATTGAAAGCAAACAAGACTCCGTTACAGCTTAGTTATACGCAGATCAAACAGCTCAAAGACTTCTTTTGAGCGGTGGGCTGACACAGATATATCCTAGCTTTTTAATTCTGAGTATCGGTTTATTAAGAATAGCTCGTGATTAGTTTCCATTGTGTTAGGAATATTGCAATGGGAATCTCTCTCAACCTACTAGCACGAGACTCGTCTTTCCACCTTACTTAAACGAATTTGATCTCGCTCCAAACATTTGAATACGACTCATTTCTGAGGTAGGCGACAAGCTGCTACTTATGGAGAGGCAATTTTGAACGACGGGAAAAGTGTGAACAGCATGGATATTCGGCCGAATGACGAGAAGAATCAGTAACCTCGGAGTAGGACATAATTACCTGGGCGGAATTGAAATCCGAATTCCTCTGCCCATTCCGACCCCCAAACTTAGGTACCCACTCTTCCGCAACCCCGGACTTCGGAATCTTTCCGCGCAGCCCGGCCACCTACCCTACATAGACAATTCGGACCATGCACTCAACTACCCGAGGCGCTCTGAGCACATGTAATCGCGCAACCATGAAGTTGATATATCCGTAAATATATTTCTGATATTTACTCTAAGCGTTTGAAGACTTGGAGTGTCTAATCAAAACTAAATTGTACGATTACAGCTTCTGTTTAGTCGCTGGGTTGGAGACCTGTTCACAACCTCGTATTTTGGCGACAAAAGGGAGATTTGAATGAACATCACTCACGACTACGAGGATGTAAACTATCAAAAAAATAAGGAACTTTTAAATTTCCGTAACCATGGACAAGATCAAGCAATAATGTCCTGCTAACATAGCCCCCCCTCCCAGCGAAACCAGCTCTGGGTCTACTGCATCATTTAAATGATATTGCGATCGATGGGACTTTGACGGGATTTGATGTTGTTGCACGAGAGTAGTTAGAATTATACGGGTGCATAAATTACCGTAAGCGTGGCGGCCGTAGATGAATTTAAACAAATGACGGGCGATTCAATCGCTACTTGCCCGGTGCATTCGGCTATGGTATACATGGTATGCTGCATTACATCTACTGCTCGGAGGGTTCTGGGAGAGACTCAACGAGTTCAATCACTTTGTGATCCTCCATAGCGGCCGTGTACCGTGCGCACATGGCCCACACACGATCCTTGCGCTGCATCTGATACGGGGTCAGGATCCATCCCATTCCACACATGGTAGACTTCTTGTATTCCTTCATCACCTCCTCATCCTCTACCGAGAGCTTGGGACCTCCAGCTTTGGCCAGAGCCTCAAGATAATGGCTGAACAGCTCAACTTCGTGAGCTCTGCGGTCCTCTACAGACAAAGCGCCGATCATGAAGTATGTAACATCATGGAAGGCACAGCCGATATGGTTGGTTTGCCAGTCGAGGAAGTATGGCTTGCCCGCCTTGTCAAGGAAGGTGTTGCCCGAGTGAGGGTCGCCGTGGAGGACGGCAACGTATTTGGGGTTCTTGGTAGCGAAATGCTTCTTCATGGCGGCAACTGTACGTTCCTGAACTCGGATGCTTTCTGGAATAGGTGGGCGGTCATCGCCGAGTACCATAGCCGCCCAGTTCATTGTGAGGCCGATCATGACATGTTCGTATGCGGGAGTGAGCCATGAGTTCTCTCCGCTGACGGTGGAACCCCAAGTGCCGGCGTGGAGACCAGCGAGCTGCTCGAGGCCAGATCGGACACGATCAACGGACCAGTCATCGACAGGGTCGCCAAAAGTATGTTCCTTGCTGAGATCCTCCATAATGACAATGGCTTGACCCTGATCTGGGTTCTCCCCGGCCCACCATAGTTTGGGGAGGGAGATATTTCTAAGCTTTGGGGCGACGAGGTTGAAGAACTTGACCTCCCGAGAGTACATCAACTTCAAAATGTCGCTGTAGCCTTCCAGGTTTAGCATAGCTGGATTAAATCCACCCTTGAGGCAGACGTAGGTTGGCCTTGGTGTGCTGGCATTCTCATCTTCGTAGGTGATGGTAACGAAGATCTTGCTAGCTGTAGCGTCGAGAATGCTGTTGGTGATGTCAATCGACTTCACCTTTTGTTGCAAGACCTTTCCCAGCCATTCAGCGGTGATTTCCTCGGGCACCATAGGCAGCGGAAGCACGTCTCTCGCACCGTTGACACCGTTGGTGCCCTCGACACCGTTCGTACCATTGATGACTGACATTTTTGCGTAAGAATTAGAAATATTGTGTATTGGATGAAGCCAATTCGCAATCTTGCAGGGTCGATTGAGCTTCCCCCCTTATACCATCTTTGTTTACCCCAAGCTCAGGAGGCACGACCTCCTACCCACGTGAGTTACCATCGCTTAGGCTACTTGTACCCATACTAGTCCACGTTATAGCAATATGATAAGAAGACAGTATCATCGGATGTGGAGATGAAAACGTTTCCACATGTTCGTCTCGTCAAGGGTGACCAAACCGCAAACATGTCTGGCTGGATGGATGAAGAGAGTGCACTAAGTTGATTCAGGAAGACTTACTGCGAATGGACAATATCCCATGGCAGTATGGCCATATCGGAAAGTCCCCCGGGTCAGTCTTTTGAAACGCTAGGCACTAGAATCAGCGCATTCTACTTAGCCTATCTACCTAGCTGATCCTACTACCCTTTGGCCAGGGGATGAAGTTATCTCCTCACGGCAAATACAACACAGAACGAGGTTAGGTGGTGGAGAAACCGTTGAGAATGTCCCCGCTGGTGCACGGGGAGGGTTCCGTCTCCATCCATGGAGCCACTTTTGTCCGTCTTTTATGCTAGCTGAGAGGAACCCGCGGGCGAGGGCAATTTCGGAAGTTGCTACGCCTCCGTTAGTCACTGATGCTGGTTGATCACCCGTCTTGAAGGAATACGCGCGCGCCAGAATTAAGCGATGTTGCTAAGTTTCAGGAAGGCTCAAGCGTCGCACCTTGAGGTAAATAGGGGTCGACTGATTCAACCACCAACATATATTCTTCTCAGGACTGCAAAGCAGAAGACACTTGGAAGTGCTGGGAGTTTCCCCCATACAATGACAGCTTTATCAGCATCCATTCAGCCAGGGTACTAATTTGACACGCCACCGGCAAGGGGTAGGCCCGAAGGTTTGGTTCTGCTCCTGCTTGGGAGATGGGTGAAACCTCCACAGCATTGAAAATCCAGCGATGAAATCAGGAGATGGGTACTCTCTGCATGCTTTCGCTTCATGGGGTGGCGTATAGCAACTTTCCGTTCCGGGCCCCTGCATTACTGAGGGAATTCATGATGAGGCAGCCCAGCCACTAGGGTTCGGCTTACCTGAGGGTTGATATAGCCTTTAGCCTGGGTCTAGCAAGGGAAACATCCAGGGGGTTAACCTTGTATACGGTATACGGCACTTCTTAGACACGCCCCTGATTGTCACTGGTTATGACCTAGCCTTCTTTCGGCTAGATATATGGACAAGGTAATACATAGTAGTCGGGGTGGCTGTCAGACGAGTTGACCAAAGAACTTTCATGGTCGGAGTTCTCAGGAGTATGTTGCATGAAACATTATATCCCGGGGAGGCATGGGAAAGGTTGTATTTTATGGAAAAGAGTTGCATCCGACTAACCTGACATGGCCAATATGCCAAAGAACCATCTTCTGTTCTGACTCTGCCCATTTCGCGTGTCTGAAGATGTTTCCCGTTGGCCCTGCTCGGCAGTTAGACGCATACAAGACCTTCCAATGCTGCAACTCCTCAACTGCCGTTCTCTATTATTCGCGCATTCGGTCCTCAGACGACCGTCAACACTCGAAAAATGAGTAGCGTACGAGATGCCTACTACCCGATCGGCATCACCTTCATGGTGGTGAACGCCGTCGCCGTCGGACTCCGATTTTGGGCTCGAGGAATCAAGAGCGCGGTTGGATATGACGATACTGCCATGGCTGTCTCTTTTGTAAGATTGTCGTCCTTGACACAATGTTGGCTTTTACCATTCACTAATAGGCGAAGGTCGGCTTCGTGATCTTTGTTGCGTTTGAGCTTGTCGCGATCGACAACGGTATTGGCGCAACTACCATGGATCCTAACTTTGACTTGATCAAAGCAGCCAAGGTCAGTCTCCCATGAGGTCTTTCATGACATGTTAATGGTCGCCGGCTAACGTTGTTATTGCTTTGCGCATAGTTCTTCACCATCGCCCAAATCGTTTACATTCTCACGACTGGCATATCGAAACTCGGCGTTGCTCTAGTCCTCTATCGACTCTCAGACAGATCCGACCTGAAGCATATCCGACTGGTGCTAATAATCTCGATGGTTATCGTCACTCTCTGGTGCTTCGCAACTGCCCTTTTATACGCGCTACAATGCCGCCCGCTATCGGTAGCTTGGGGTGTTGGACAGGGGACTTGCATCTCCTCTACCGTTCTCGGCAATGCTGGAATTGCTCTGTCGGCGCAGGACGTTGCTGCTAGTTGGCTATATGGCGTAAGAGGAGAGTCGATCTGCTGTAACAATCGAAGCTGACATTTCAACTTGTAGCTGCTGCCTGTGTACATGCTGCGCAAAGCTCAACTGCGCATGAAGGTGAAAGTCACTGTCATGTTCCTCCTAGGTTTAGGTGCAGTGTAAGGGCTTTCGTTGACCTCCTTCCTCTACTGCGTGGCTAATGGTTAACTACAGGAGTTCTGTGGCGACTATTATCCGTCTGAAGTTCGTCGTCGAAGTCACCCGGATCCAAGCGGATGGGGGACTTGCTAGTGCTAGCATCATCCAGAAGACTCTGGAAGCAACAATCTAGTAAGTGGCCTGATATATCATGATACCTGCTGGCAAGACTAACGCAGCATCCAGCTCCATTCTAGAAATCGGCCTCAGTATTTTGGCTGCTGCACTGACTGCTCTCCGACCTCTATTGAAGAAGGTGCCCTGCTTTAGCGACATCAGTAGCGGCGGTTATTCCGGTTCAAAGGCGTTGGTGTCTTCACGGTCGGGAAATCGAGATCATATCAAAGGGCCTCCGATTAGGCTTGACGATATTCACACATCTGCAGGAGACAGCGAGGAGAACATAGTTGCCCCTAGAAGAGTGATGGGTATCAAGAAAGACCAAAGAATCGAAGTCGGATACGAGCCTCGGGACCCTACCAAGATTCAAAAGCAACAATGGTAGATTAGCGCAAGAGTTTTTAGCGGTCGGTTGAGAAGAGAGAGGGTTGATCAAAACCTAGGATCAGGCTTCCTAAGTTTGGGACCAGCTAACTCGAACCTTATGTAATTATACTAGTAATACGGGAAGGATATGGATCTCTCTTTTGTGAATGTCAAGGTATTGTGAAGAGGAAGAAAACGCATGATCCCAGTCAGACATGATAAGAGTTCTCCGGTCAAGGTGAAGTCAGAGGCAATGGCTTGCAAGTCTCGCCATTCTGTAGATTAAAGGCATGGCAAGTGTACCTTAGTGTCAGGATTATGTAGTATTACTGTCCCTACGTGAACAAGACGCTTGGCACATGTGTATTCATTCAGGATTAAGATGACCACCCATAATCATTCGAGGTGACTGTTGTTCAGCACATAAGAAGCCTCATTTACAATTTCCACTGTGCAATTAGAAAAAATTTGTATAGTTTTTGGCGTCACCTCTACAGCTTAAACCGAGCTTTTGAAGGCATACGCAATACCCTTACCCTCTTTATAACATAAGAATTTATAAAATGCACAAAGCAAATACGCCGCTATTTTGTGTCTGAAGTGCCAAGATGACTGACCAACAGCAAATATGAATAAAAATATGAGAGTATATTGAACATTGAACTAAAGTCCTGGAGACGCTCTCCTAAATCCAACTCAGATCCATTTGCTTTACATGAGTTTGTCCATTTCCCCCTGCATACTCATGCAGTATTGTAATACATATCGATTGATCTGATTCTCAACACGGCCTTTGAAGCCGGAGGTCCAGCCGACCAATTGATGTTGCCATTATACCAATTATTCCAGAGCCAATATCCTGGCACCTTTGGAACATCCGTGCTTGATTTCGCTCGCATTACGCCGTCAATGAACTATTTGATACCTTCTTCTGTTCAGTCAATGCGGTATTCGTGCTCTTCCCTTGTAGGATAGGCGGCTTGACTTTAAAAGCTGTGGCCTTGCCGTCACCATTATTATCCTATTTTGTAAACCAAGTATGATGTATGCCTTGTGCGATATATTGTATTTGTTGGAAAGCCATTCAATATCCGTCTCTTGGGAGTCCGACTTGTAAAAGAACATTCCTGAAATAGTTATTGTAAGAGATTACTTACGAAATTTCACTGTAGCTATAACATACCGTTACAGACACTAGGAGTCTCAGTGAGGATTGCGACGGTACGTACATTTGCGTAGAACATGTTGTCTGCGCTCGTGATTACCTCTGACTTGTATTTCTTATAGCATGTCGTGTTAGTGCCTGGAACAGTGAGCATCAGGTATCCATTTGACTGATATCCTTTTGGGATCTGCTCCTTTGTCAGTATCATGCAAACCCACTGGAATCGTGTTATTCGTAAAGGTGAAGACTTTATGATGCGAAAATTTGGCTCCGACTACAGGGTCAAGCCGGGGCTGCGAATGATGCGCAGGAGAGCTAACTCCCCACGGGAGACTTGCTGCCAAAATAAAGGCCGAGGCAGCCTTGTCTCTGATCATTTCAAGGAGCGGATCTTATATGCGGTATTCTGAGAACAAACGATTAAAGCATCAAAATCTGAAGGTGATGAGAACTAGGACCAACGACAGGTTGATGAAAAGGGGCCAATCATTGACATGGCCAAAGAACAACGGCCCGGTAGCAAACTGTGTAGTTGTCTTAACCACTCGACTTTAAAGCTATTGAGATTCAGCGCAACTCATCTACTACCGCGCCTGCAATAAATGAGCCTAGTAACAGCTTCCAGCTATAGTAGCGCAACCGGCGCGGTGATTTGATATGATTGGGTCGACATCACTTCTGGTGTTTCAAATTGATTCATCATCTCGGTCTAGGATGAGTGGGCTGGATTATTATGTATTATACCAAACTATATTGCGCAATACAACGATGTATCAAATCCTAAACATCGATTCACGTAAATTTGAAACTTCAATCTCCGATGGGACTACAGGGGAGGAGAGGAGTGACACCTTAGCAAAGGCATGACACAAGCTTAGAACTAGCGACCTAGCTTCATCTAAAAGCTTGGATCCTTGATACATTGTGAGGTTCGAAAATTCCTTCAGTAATTAGAGATTGTGTGCTATGCAAAATTACATGTTGAATATAGCATCCCTTCTCGGCTCTCTTATCCTTATACACAACATGTCACTGGGGAACAGAGTATTTCTGGCGCGTTGCATAGTCTGTACATATTTAGGAGGGATGTGAAACTATCAACATCAACAGCTACTTATGTCTTCCTACTGGGTAAAAGTGAAGCCCTTCTGCCTGCTACTGAGGAGGCCTTCGGGGTCATACGCAAGATGCGTACTTTTCAGCCGGTTGTAGTTAGCATCCCCATAGCTTTTGAGTACATCTTGGCCGGAGATGGCATCGTTCATGAATAATGGATTGTAGCTAGATGCAAATGTCAGTATTGAACCATCACAGATAATTTACTTGATAGCTTACCTCAAGTACTCCAGATCGCCTGACTTATAGTTTGTCGGGTATATTCCAGAGTATTTCGACTTGTGTAGCTGCTGAAAGGTGTCGGCAGCTGTTTTGGCGAAGGCTGGACAATCCTCATCGCAGGCCGGGCTGGCCCAAGCAACGTTATATTCGACCCAAATCTTGTCACCAGCTTCGGGAGTTACTCCCAAAGCATTACCTCCTGCATCAATTGATGCCTGGGATATCAGCCTTGAAAATGGTTGCAGAGTAAATGTCAAAAGTCTGAAATCGAGGACATCCTCAAGCGCAGCCTTGGAGGCCAACTGGTTTGCTTCGTCGAAGTGATCCTGGAGGAAAGATGACATGTCGGATATGGGCATGTTAGGGAACGAGCCGAAGGCAATTTGAAATCCAAGGCCTTCGAGGTCGCCGGCGAAGAGATCTTGCACAAGATTCGCGATCGTTCTCTTCCTTGTCCCATCATATAGACTTGGGATAGCTTCGAGTTCGTCAAAGACACCTTCAGGCATCTGGGGTCCATCATAGAAGTAGAAGACGATGATGGCAGGAATGTTGACTCCGAGTATACCGAAGAAATTGAAGGTAGGAATAAGGGCAGCCTTTCCATCCTCGGTGTTGGCCGTGAAATTTGAGATGGCTGAAAGAATAGCGGCATGTTTATCAGCCGAATACGTACGAATGCCGCCCCAAATTTGGCCCTTATCTCCGACTTCGTATGTTTTGAAGGTGAATTCAGTGATGACAGCAAATTGATTGCCTCCTCCTTTGAGTGCAAAGAAGAGTTCAGGATTAGATGTGGCATTTGCATTGGTGATGGTACCATTGGCTAACACACACTTAATGTTGACCACATTGTCGCATGCCAAGCCCTAAGAAACGAAAGATTTAGCTTCGAAAGGGGCTGTGAGAGTGAGAAAAGGAAGAAACTTACATACTGAGGCGAGAGGTGCGAAAGACCGCCGCCAAGAGTGAAGCCGGTAACACCGACGTTGCCAAGTCTGCCTCCTACTACGGCTCTCCCTAGCGAGTCGAGTGAAGCATAAACATCCTCCCATTTTGCGCCGGCACCTACTCTAACCAGTGTACCATCATCTGAAGGGATAGAGTACTTGAAGTTTGGGTCAAATGCTAAAAGCACGCCCTCATTTACACTGGAAAATCCAAGGTTGGGGTTGTGTCCAGAGCATTTCAGCGCAAATTGGACGTCGGGGTACTTGTTGAGAGTCTGGATCGCAAAGGATACCTCTTCCGCACTCGAGGGGTAGAACACACAGGCAGCACGGTTGCGCTTGCTCCTAAGATTCCAATAGTTGACATTGGTGTCATAGTAGAGAGTTGAGTTGAGGACCGTCTTGCTTGCATTTGGCCCCAGTGGATCCCAAACCAAGTTACGCGAATACGAGGCGTAGAGTGCGTCACATACGTCGAATGTATTTTGGCTTGGAGCTGCCTGGGCACGCAAGACGAAAGAAGAGACAAGAATGAAGAGACTCCAAAAGGAGACAGAAGAAGTCTCCATCCTGGCAGTGTCGTTGAACTTGGCTATGGATGAAGATTGGAAGCCTCGGAACCTACGGACTCAACCTGCAGCGAGCCTGTCCTCTTAGATATCTTTTCTAGCGATCCTTTCGTATTCTTCTCCAACCATCACGATGATTTCGATCTTCCCGCTACCAATCTTGGCCTCGGCATTAACAAGACATGACCTGGAGCGGTCAATCCAGGACAGGAAATGATACACCAAAACAAGGGTTATGGAATGTGGCTGGGTGGTAGCGATATGACGATCAACAAATGCATGCTACAGCCCTCAGGGATCTCAACCGATAATTCCGTCCAGCCCCGCTGAAAGAGGGATAGAGGTTGTGGAAATATTGGCTGAGCTGTCCGTTGATACCCAACCCGGGGTGGCAAGTTGGCCAGCCGGCCTATAGAAATCCTCGTAAATGTATGCAGCATGCGATGCATATGCATGGCACATGTATGAAGGTGGGAGTCGCGTGCCAACTAATAGAGATATTAGGCAAATGCTTTTGGCTCGTCCTAGAAAGGAAATGATTGACCAATATTGGACCTTTTTGACGTTCCTGATCCCTGACAGCCGCGGAAATATTGCTCAGCGGGGAATCAGGGCCGAGCTGCATGCCAAATCAGTGCGTCCTCATTGATGAAAAGAGTGGCGGAGCTTTCGAATCCGTCAATACAATGACGAAACAACCGAGGAGACTTACCCAACCCATGTAGTTCCTTGAGAATGACTAATAATAGAAGTTCCGAATAATGACAGGTAAGATTCTGAAGTCAAAACAAGATCTGACTGGCACCGTAGCAATCCGCAACGTAGATCAAATGATTCATCTAACCTAGAGATCAATGATTCTCAAAGAGGCAATCGTACGTAATCAGTAATAGAGCAACACTAAAGCTTTCTACAGTTAAGGCTCTGAGTGAACAAACCTTATATTCTTAAGGACAACCCCTCCGCTGACATGTCTTCATCGCTTACGTTTTGTATATTCTATCGAGGTTAATCTTTTTCTTCTTAAGTCCTAAGGCTTGCCTATACTTAAACATCAAGGCACTACTAAAGGTTTTCATATTCAAAATGCGAAGTAAAAAAAAGGGGTGTTTACCTCTGTCATTTTCTACCAGTGTAAGTTGCTTGATATCTCATTTCATTCTTGATCTTTCAATCGTCCAAGGCTCTTCTCAAAGAAGTAGCCCTGATCAATTCACGCAAGTAAAAGTTAAAACGCACACTATCACGACACTCTACTAACGGATATTTTAGTTCTGGATCTTGCTCGGGAGCCGCTGATTGTGGCAATCCATATGTTGTAGATATGGTCTTTAACTATTCACGTGGTTCTTGGCACTCTTGCGACCCGTGATGATGGCCGTATATGATAGGATCCTCGCCTCTTCTTCCTTCTTATCCTTTGGCGTCGCATGCCGGAAATTGTCAATATCTGTAAAGAAATCCATCAAATACTGCCTCTCAGCTTCAGTCGCAAGTTCCAGGGATGGCCACAGGGCGGGGGACAACATCGTCGCGTCAAAGAACTCGATACCGCGCAGAAAGCTGATGTACTTCCACGACTCAACCGAAAGATCCTTGAGTCTAGAGTACAATTCGTCCGCTTGTGGTAGGTCATACAAAACGGCCCAGTCGTAGTAAATCCTTAAATTAAGAAATTGGACCCGCAGTGACAAGAGTAGAATCTCGCCCAGGTGGATGTTTGATATCTTGTAGCTCGTCTTGGGCAACGAGTTTTGGTCGACAACCTCCTCGACGTCCCCGGATTGAATAGCAGCACGTAAGAGATCAGTATTGGCTGCAGCGGCGGTCTCTTCAAGGTCATGAGCATATTTAATAGCGCCATGACTCTCCTCGATTACTGTCGGCTCGTGTGGCTCTGATCTAATCCGATGGCAGTCGCAGAGTTGGCCATACATTCCGCCGAAATGGCGTGCAGCTACCTCCATGGCAGCAAACAAATAGGGTTCCAGACTACTAGATCCAATCTTTTGAAGAATATTCTTTTGGATAGGTTGTTTCCATTGCTTTTCGTTCAGGAAGACATTGTCGCCAGTGAAGAACCAGTAAGGAGTCTACGTGTCTGTTAGGTTGGAAAACTCGGCATAGAAAGACGGGCTTCCACGTACCAACACTTTGTATGTCTCTCTTAAAATAGCCGCATAAACTACATCATCCCTGCCAGGCGGCCCTAGTTGCTGTGTCATGATCGATATTCCGCGGGGATGTACCCCAAACCTCATCAAACCGCTGGATGGCAAAAATGAGTACTCTAGGCGACCCAAAATCGCCGCAGACGCCAAGGTTTGTAGGGTCATCTTTTTGCTTCTTTCCAAGGTACGCCGCAGGCTCCCAATAGCCTTTCCGTATTCAGGCATGTCGACGGACAAAACAGCCGGGATGCCTCGAAGGCAGTTTCTCCAAAGCGAACACAATAGGCTCACCGAGTCCTGTAGCGTTTTGCTCCTAGGTAGATACCTAGGTAGATCTGGAAGAAATCCCATCAAGACCATATCAGTAGCCGGTTTGTTTTGAAGATGTCTGACCAACTCCGATCCAATCCGCTCTGCTTCGGACGTTGGCACAGGACGCGGAGCTAATCGGAAAGCACTTTGGTATCCCTGTACGCGTCTACTTGAGCCTCTACCGGCGAAGACGACTTTCCGCTTTTCCCTAGTACCGGTCGGTGTATCCGTATCTGATGTAGAGACGGTTCCTTGATAGAAGGGCTCTACTCGAGAACTCTTATGATCTGCAACTGGGCCTCCGTGGACAAATTTGATCAAGGAGCTTGGCCCCGGACACTGGATGTTCTTTCGTTGGCAGGCTTTGCAAACCGGCCAGGTCTGGTCACACTGGCGTTCGACTGTGGTTAGGAGCATATTACGAAATCCAGCTGCGTCACTGTAAGATGGGATGGCATACCTTGCGTTTCTGCACTTTACATGGCATGCAGCTCGTTGAGGATAGTGTGCCGGGCATTGCTTCTTGTACGTAAACCTCAGGCTATAGAATTCGTTCGTTCATTCATCGATCGCCGGTGCATGAAGGACGGCAAATGGTTCGGTCGATGGTTAAAGGAAATGTCAAAAAATAAACGAACAGGGACTGACTCGGTCCCATCTCACGATTTCGGTATTCAGTCCGGCATTCAGCTGATTGGTCTTTCATCCCTGATCAGCCCCGTTATTCTCAAACCCAGACACGAATGTTCTAGTGCTGACCCCCATGCAATCCCAAACGGTGTGTCCGGGAAATTGGTTCAAGACTTGGCATTTCACGGTCTCTGAGCCCTACAGACCCATGAAAGAAACCAAAAGAGACAAGTAATGCTGTGCCGACCACATGGAACGATTGCCGGAACTGATTTTCAGCTTCAAACCTCCCAGACTGGTTGATGAGCAATTATCGGCACTTGGACTCATAGCTGCGCTCAAATCAGCGGTCGGCATTTACCACTACCCAGATTAGGTGCTTTGTCCGTAGTGTATGTCATCGCCCCAGTCCTGCGCTCACCTCAGCGAAAGGAATGGGAAACCGCCGAGAAATTGGCCAAAATATCACCAGATTGTCGCCTATGGTTCCTGACAATTCTCTACCATCTACATGAGCAAGTCAATATCTAATCTAATTTCCTTACAGTCAAGAATCGCATTAGATTCGATAGCAACATCTCACCAACTTGGCGAGCCCCAATATCCATCCTCGCCACGCTGCCGTGTTGTCGATGGAAGAGCGTAGCTAAGAGGGCCCCCAACCGGTCAAGTTGTGATTAATAATCTAAAATTCTATTATCTGGTGTTTGATGATTGAAGCCCAGCTCTCAAACAAACCCCACTCATCAATGTGAAGTGCTTCCCAAAAAAAGATCACTCGGGGGTACTCAGTGAAGATTTGGCAGAAGTTGACAGCCAAGCATAAATATTCAAGCTGACATTCTTGCCAGATAGTCTCTAGGATGGTTTACAAGACAACGCTCATGTAGCATCGATCTTGCATTCTGGTACAGCCCCTGAACGACCAAGACGCTAGTCATGTCCCCATGGCCGGCTTTAGTTTCCTCTTCTGTAGTCTTGATTGACTCAAAAGAGCTTAGCTCCAGGGATGAAGTATTAGACCCTCCGATTGGATATGTAATAGATTTCGTAGGGCTTCAAGGGCTGCGTCTAGAACCATTCCGTTACGCGGGACCGTGTTTATCAAGGAGGTTTTCAACATGGAGATTTTCTCACCTAGGCTCCAGCATCAGAGTTTGGACACTGAAAGACGCAGGATCTCAGCATAACAACAAACGGTTGATAACCCACGTCCCGGCACATCATGAGAAGAACTATCCCTAAGTTCAGGTGTTATACTCCAAAGCAGCCTACGAAAATCGTACGTTGCTGGCCGCGGACCATTTCATTGTCGGAAATTGTATGGGTTTCCGTTTGCGCTCCTTATAACAACTCTTATTTCACAATCCAATCATTGACCGCAAGAATATGCCCCATTAAAGCTCCCTCGACTGCATTCTTAGGCTGAAGGCGCCTCCATGAGACGGGACTTATCTCCTTTCAAAGAATAACAATAATGAATCATTTATATCCAATAGACATTTCTCCTCTAGGTTGAGATGTCACTAGTCGTTAGACCTCAATGGTGGACGCGTAGGGGACCAAGACTGACACTGACGTTGGTTGTTGAGGCTCTAGGGTAGCTCTACACCGAGAGTCGTCCACATACCTACTCATTTCCTGTTTCAAAGTCCTGTGTAAACCATTCATACAATGAAAATCTCTTACTAAGGTGTTGAATCTAATACTTAGTGTTATTTTTGACTTTATACACGTCCTTTAGAGCACATAGCTCAACTTCTCGTCCGCAGTAATATGATTTTACAACACAGAGCCGACTAACTTCAACAATCTCACTAGTTTATTAATGACCCTTTGTGCACCATCGAGGTCTTGCAGAACTGCGCAAGTCTGTATTGAGTGTAGGTGGGTTTATTTAACCAAGTAGCATCACAGAATGTACCTACGAGAACGAACCTCGAATAAGGTAAAAGAGCAACCAATGCCAGGTTTTTTTCGCCCTTGAATTCCCCGAACTTCACGGTATTAATACAGGAGTGCGTAGTGACAGAGGGAAATGTGATGGGGGAAACTCAACTCCTCGGAGAGCTGATATGATCTTCGAATGAATCGCGTGGGACATTAATCTCGCCGGTCACGACTTCAATCTGCGTTCCAACATGTAAATTTCCCGAGCAGATACTGACAAATCACAGAAAAATAGTACAGCCCATTTCTGGAAGCTAAAAGATTTAGCAGAGCGTTACTTGCAAAGGAATCAAACCCGGCCTTGATTGGGAAGCCGCCCGTGAAGATGCCTCGGCATCGATGGCGGGATGTGGGTGGGGCACGGGATCGGGCTTTGAATTCGTCCATGCCGATCCCTCGTTCAGCAGGTCTGAAAAGTTATGTTGGTAGAGATCGAGGGGTTGCTTGACTTGCCGAGGGACGAGTTGTAGGCATCTCAAGGCGGCTTGAAACAGTAAGATGATCAGACAATCCAGATATCCCGGGCTTCACCAAGGGTAGATCATAGGGCTGTGGATGTGGTAAGAAACGCTCACTACTCATTGGCTACGTTTGGTTAGTTAGACGTGAGATTCGCCCCCTGCTTCATAAGCAAAAGTTGTTCTCTTGGCATTGTGGAGTAGTAGATCTCCGGTCTCTAGAATTCGTCCATGACCGAAAGATAGGATTTTCTAAAACGAGTTCGGACCTCTAGCCTCTATCCGGGACCGGGAAGGCTGTTTTATCATGAGCGGCTGCGGAGCTAGTGACAATGGACTTGGCAATCAATATATAGGAGGGGGGTGGGTGATTGACTAGGGTCGCGACATATATAGTCACCACATTCTCATAGATAACTACCTACCTCCACTCAACTGTAGCTTCTAGGGTCGCGACTTCTATAGTCACCTTAGTAGAGTCCAATATAAAACGGAAAGGGGGCTGAAATATCTCCTGGATTGTCACCACATCTTCTCCTCCATCGTCCCGCCTACCCCAACCTCCCATCAAATCAGAACAAAAACTTCAAAACCACACAGAATGTCGAAATCTCGTTTAGGCCAACCTTTGACTCTTCCATGCGGCTTGGAGCTGCCAAACCGCCTCGTCAAGGCTTCCATAGCGGAGAATCTTGCCGGCGCAAACGGTCTCCCGACGACACCACAAATCAAAAATGTGTACTCGGCCTGGGCTAATGGTGGTTGGGGATTGGTTATGTCAGGTAACGTCGAGGTAGATGTGAGGTACCTTGGACAGGCCTACGACGGCTGCATTGACAAGACACGTTCACATGAGACGACGGTCGAGGCATTCAAGGATCTTGCCAGGATTTGCAAGGTCAAAGGAACTCCGACCCTCCTGCAGCTGAACCACCCAGGCCGCCAGTCTCCTCCAGGAGCAGGGACAAAATCATTCTGGGACAAGAGCCTAGCCCCGAGTCCCGTCCCACTCAACTTTGGACCGGGCATCATATCCTGGCTCACTTCGACATGTCTATTTGGTACGCCCAAGGAGATGACCCAAGCCGATATCGAGGACGTGGTCAATCGGTTCGTCTATGCCGCAACTGTCGCCGCCGAGGCTGGCTTCGATGGCATTGAGCTTCATGCAGCGCATGGCTACCTGCTCTCCCTGTTCCTATCTTCCAAGACGAATTTGAGAACAGATGCCTACGGAGGCTCGCCTGCCGCTCGAACCAAGATAGTGGTCGATATCATCAAAGCTATTAGAGCAGCCGTCCCGCCGACATTCTGCGTTGGCCTCAAGCTCAATTCGACGGACCACCAGACGGCGGGCGACGCCGAGTCCAAATCCGAGCTCAGTGATGCCCTTGAGCAGGCATCTCTCATTGCAGAGACTGGTCTGGATTTCTTGGAGGTTAGTGGTGGATCGTATGAAAAACCCTCAGTAAGTGGCCACGACCCTCAATCTTGATTCATCGTCCAGTGTGGCCATACTAATCCACGTGTGAAGATGGTTACAGGGCCCAAAACGCAGTCGAAAAGGACGGCTGCCCGTGAATCCTACTTCCTGGATTTCGCCAGAGAGCTGAGGAAAGCGGTCCCAGATATGACTCTGATGGTCACCGGTGGCTTTCGTACACGGCAGGGGATGGAAGCCGCGCTGGCTGAGGGAGCTTGCGATCTCATCGGGATCGCTCGTCCAGCGATACTCAACCCCTCACTCCCGCAAAACATTATCTTCAACAATGAGCTGAGCGACGAGGACGCCAAAGTATATGCCAAAAGAATCGAGGTACCCTACTTGGCCAAGCTCCTCGGTGCACGAGCCGTAGGGACCGGATTTGAAATGGTAGGTGTAGTTGATGTTGCATGGAGGGATTGCTACAAATTGACGAATGCTAACTGTGTTTCATAGAAATGGTATACAGACCAGCTCCTCACAATTCAGGGCAGTGATTAATTCACTACAAGGAACGATGGCGTAATGGGGTTTGTTTCTATAGCGTTTGCCGCTGTAGATGTTTGGCCATTGCACGAGCCTGTTGTGATTAATGATACAAGATACCTTTCACCTGGCTCAGGAGTCAATAATGAAGTTCGATATAGTAACAGATCCTGAATCCATCCAAGCAACGATGAAAAGTGCTCCACTGGCGTTACCAGTTCGGCTCGTTCGCCGACAGCAAGTGTCTCAGAATCCAGCTCCATCGGGCCAGGCCTCCTGGCAAGGATCAAGTTGATGACGAGGCCAGCTGAACGATGGGGCTTAAATGCAGCATGAGGTCGTGTTCGACTTCTCACATTTGCTTCCATCTTTTTTAACATTGTATTTCAATACTCTCTGTCAAATAACCAAATCGCCGAGTCATCATAACGTCCGTAGTCCACTACCATCAACATGAGAGTCGGACTGGTCTTGCTCGCGGCTTCTGGCCTGACTCAGGCTCAATACTTCATCACCGCGCCGCTTTCGACTTCAATTATTTCTCCCACCGCGAGCGCTTCTACTGCTGCATCTGTATCCTGGTCCGGAAACACCACCTCAACTCACGTTACGACCCCTATTGGAACTGCTTCGGCCTCTCTTAACGGCACTAGAACTACCAGCCGAGCGACATCCACCAAGAAGACCTCTACATCTTCTACGTCCGACTCTGAGTCCTCTAAGACAAGCACGGCCGCCCAGAGTTCCTCGACTGACTCCGATGACAAGGGTGGTTCTTCCAAGCCGATGGTGGGAGCGGGTCTGATAGCTGTTGCTTTTGCCCTCGCGCTCTAGGCAAATCTTTAGGGATCAGTTATTCGGTCTCATGAGTCAATTTTAGGCGGCAAGAGGGCGGCATTCATGAGAGAATGCTATTTTAGTAATGAAAAGAAACGCGGAGCACAGCGATTGGATATTTTTTTTATACCAGACACTCAATACAACCTGATGAATCAACGGAGCACCGCCTAATAAGACAGTTCTGATGCGAGATCCACCCATTGACCAGGTGAACTGGGCGCTTCGCACAAAGATGCCATTCACGGGAGTCTAATGAGAAGGATCCTTGAGGGGCAGGGATAAAATAATATGAAATTACTACGTGTAGCACGCCAGCAAGGGTATGATGCCTTAGCTTCTCCACCATCCAGTCGAGCACTGTTCACAAACTTCGATATTTCCCTGCCACTTTTGACGTGTATCCTTGAATATTTTCCTTCGACAGGTTACCTCGAGTTGTCAACTTCGTTCCTGGTGGCCTGGCTGGCTTTGACGATGAATGTTGAGGTTCAAAGGGGCAAAGAGTCTCACTCTCGATTACCGCCAGGCTCGGAAAACATCCAAGCCTGAGCTCGCAAAATAAATCCATAAATAGAGTTAAGCTCGCCTTGGCGGTAAACGGGCCAATCAAGCAATCAAAGGCACAGCTCGCTACCAATCAACTTGCACATCGCACCCGATGAATGTTTCAGCTTCCTGCGAGCTTGTGCTAAGAATAAGCATGGATCCATCCTGCCGCCCTCAAGACTTGGTCGCGTGCTGTTTGAAGCGTCATTCCTTCGGGCATCACTCACTTTGAATCTCCCATCGTGAGGTAGATCTCCTCTGGAATTGAGGTGTTGAGGCTGGTCCTGGATAGAGACATCATGGCTACCTTCTACAATCACGACAACGACAGCGATGCTCGCGATCGGGCAAACCGGAAAGACAAGGTCTCATCGCCACTGATTACCGAGTTTCCTCCCCATGGAGGCCGAAAAGCCATCAGCAGCGACAATTCGGTGGCTGCATATCCAGATCACCATGGCCGCCAGCCGTTGATCGGTTGGGGATTCGCGTGGGCGACACCGGCGCTGTCAATCGCCTGCATTCTGGCGAGCTTGGGCATCATGCTGGGCCATCACTTCTATTACAAGAGTCTGGAGGCTACAACAGTCATGTCGACCAGCCAGCAGCAATGGGCCATCCGCATTGGCACAGGTCTGGCAACGCTGAATAAGATTGTGCTGCTGACACTCTTGGGGATGGTGGCCACGCAGAGAATTTGGATGACGGCACGGAGCAAGTTTGTGACGATTGAGGGTCTTGATTGTATGTTCAAGATCATCAATGAGCCGTCGGCGATTTTGAGTCTGGAGGTCTGGAAGAAGGGCAAGCTGCTCCTCGTTCTCGCCTTTGTCTGTTGGTAAGTATTCTTTACATTTTCTTCTTTCTCTCAAGCTTTGCTGTGCATGGATCCCCCAGTTGCTTGACCGATCACTAACATCTCTTCACTTCCCAGGCTCCTACCGCTCGCCGTCGTCGTCACTCCCGCTACGCTCTACGTCGAACCAATCCAAAGCATCGATACCGTCACCGACCAAGTTCCCATCGTCAACATGTCCGACCCGACCAACTGGTACCTCGCTGCTGGTGTTGGTCGCATCACGGACGCCAGCATCGCCCTGCGACGCCTCTTCTCTGCCATGTACTCGTCCAACTCATTCCTCCCAATCGAGGCCCCGCGACCGAACGCGACATACGACCTCAGCTTCTGGGGGCCGTCCTACAGATGCCAAAATCTGAGCGAGGTCGAGGCACTTCCAGCGACGTGGAACACAGCTTCTATAAGCAGTAACTACTCCACCTACGGAGCGGCGTGGAATGGTCTGATCAGGAAGCCCGTCACGAACAGGACAGGAGCACAGATCATCTACAAGTCGGTGGCGCCAATGTTCATGGACAGCACCATCTTTGTCTGGTCAGAAGGTAGGAACGACGAATGGGACAAGAACCCGGCGGTGAAGAACACGAGCTTGGTCTGCCAGTTGTACAACACCTCTTATGACATCTCACTCGAGTTCGACAACGGCATCCAGACCATCATTCCCAACTCTGTCAAAACGACCCGCGCCTTCAACTTCACAGAGTCAGAGGGCGCATTCAACGTCGTCAAAGGCTACACCAGTGTCGCTGCTTCATACGTCACGCAGATCTTGTTCAGCAAATACTTCTTGGTGGGCGAGCTGACTCGCGGTGCGGCTGGGGACATCTTGGGTGACCTGCCCATGATGCAATCAAAACTGGCCTATTGCCCGGAAGTGTGGGATGGCCTGGTCGCAAACGAAGTGACAGAGGATTCTGAGGCTGCCAGAACCAATACCTGTCCGCAAAAGACTCTGGCTGCAGCGATTGAGGACCTGTCGAGGAACTTTACATACAGCGTGATGGCGAGCGGCTATAACCTAAAATCGTACTCGACCGAAGTCCCCCTGATAGTGGTAACACACCGCAACGTCTACGCCTATAACGAGCGGACGCTCTTGGCAGTCTATCTTGCATGCTTTGTCGTCGCGTTGACTTGGCTCATCATTGGGGCTGTGACAGTCTACATGAACGGCTACGTCAGCAGCTCATCGTTCTCGACAATCATGGTCTCTACTAGAAACAAAGACTTGGATCAGCTTGCCACTGGATACTATCTGGGCGCTGAATGGTTGCCGCGTGAGGTGGGCAATCAAAAGGTCATGTTTGGCAACCTTGGCGAGAAGGGACCATATGTACACGCTGGTTTCGGCCTTGAAGGCACGGTTTCTCCATTGAAGAAGGGGCAGTAAAGATTTCAAGTGCATCTAGATGCACACTTTGCGATAGATTTAATGATTTAATGAAGTTACGTGTCACCATCATTCCAACGGGTACATTTCGTATAAGACAATTCTCATTCGTATTAAACATCAAACTTGAATGAATAGGTCTCCCCAGCCTTCGTCCCTTGCTCTATAACGGCAGTGCTATTTGAGCCAGAGCTGATCCGGGCTCCTCGCGCCAGGCTCTGACCAGTTCCCACACGAAGCTTCAATGGGTTTCCGAGCCTACTCTCAACGTCAATGGACTTTACATTCCCATTCTCCCACTCCGCATCGACAACAAAACCACCTCGCGCTACGAGGCCCTTGAAACTTCCTGTCTTCGAAGAAGGCATCAAGGCTGGCAGAACAACGACGACCCCGTTGTGACTCTGTAACAAGCCCTCGGCAATCGCTGCTGTACCTCCAAAATTACCGTCAATCTGCCACCCCGAAGGTGGTCCGGTATCTAAAAGACTGTTATAAGTTAGAGCGACGAGAAGATGCTGCAAATCGTCCTCAAGCCCCTGTCCATTCAAGAGACGAGCGTGAAGAGCCGCACTCCAGGCCCTCGACCAGCCTGTGTCACCACCCTCGTTGCTACAAACCCAGTAATTTAGTATCTAGCTGCCATTTGAAAGAAAAGATCGATTTTGACTCACTCTAGTCTTCTCTTCACCGTGGTTTTAGCTGCAGTCCACAGCGTTTCGTTGCTCTGGGTAATCTCACGGCCAGGGAATAGCCCGTACAGGTGAGAGAAATGCCTGTGTCCGGCGTCCGACTCTGTGTAATCTTCTATCCACTCCATAATTGCTCCAGTGGTCGGTGATACTTGGAGAGGAGGCAACTGGGATCTCAGCTCCGTAGCTTGCTTCACTAGATCCTCGTCCTTGTTGCCTAGAATCTTCGAAACTTCAATAAAATTCGTGAATATCTCCCACACGATCGAGTTATCAATGGTTGCGCCGATAGTTAATGCATAGTCGGAGCCGTCCTTCTTGTACGTTGCTTCAGGTGAGACGGACGGATTTGTGGTCTTCCACCCTTTATAGTCTGAAAGAAAATCCTCGAAGAACAAGACAGCATCTTTGATCTGGTCATAGTGCTTCTCCAGAAAGTTCTTGTCGCCAGTGAATAGGTAATGATCATACACATGCTGCAGCATCCAGGCTCCCGCCAGGGGCCAGTACGCACTCGCGGCATATACATCCTGAGGAGCTGTGTCTCCCCAGAGGTCAGTGTTATGATGCGCGCACCAGCCTCTTGCACCATACATTTTCTCCGCTGTCGTCTTCCCAGACTCGTAGATTTTGTCCGTGAGCGTAAAGAACGGCCCTGTAAGTTCTTCAAGATCTATCATACCGCGTCAGTCATCTAATTTGAAAAGAAACCATTGACGGATGATATCGTACTTGTCACCTCTGCTGGCCAATAATTCATCTCAATGTTAATGTTGATGGTATACTTTGACCCCCAGGCTGGATCTCTAGCATTATTCCAGATGCCCTGCAAGTTCGCAGCCATCGTTCCTGGCCTGGACGACGAAATCAATAGATATCGTCCGAACTGGTAATACAAGGTCAGAAACTCAGGGTCGTAAGCATTTGCGAGAGCTTGACGCCGAGCACCTGTCTCCAGGGCTTTCTGTGCCGCGCTCGACTCGCCCAACGAGATGGAACTCCTGTCGAAAAGAGCTTGATAATCTTTGACATGGTTTTCGCGAATCTCAGAATATGTCGAGGACACAGCGCCCTCCAGCTTCTTCTTGGCCTTGCTCTTTGGGTCATCGTGGGAGAAAGACGTCTCCATGTCGGCGTAGATCCAAGCCTCATCAGCATTGACTACTTGGATTTGGTCTCCGATTTGCCGCTTCGAACCACCGATATTGTGTACTCTTGCGAGGAAGAATGCCTCAATTTCTCCTTCTTTGATCTTCGTTACGATAGTGTCGCCGTTCTCGCTGTAGGCCTCCTCCGCAAATCTATTCTGCTGGTTGGCAGGCCTCTGAAACTTGATGTAGAAACTCAGCGATCCAGGCTGGGAGGCAGTCAGTCGAATTGCCATGACACCAGCTGGGGAGCTTGTCAGGTATTCTCGCTTGTAGGTGACGTCGCCTCTGGTGTAGTATAGCCCTGCTACCCCCTCTTCGAGATCCAACCAGCGTTCATAATTCTTCGCTGAGCCGGTCTGGTTCTGGAAGATGATTTGGAAGTCCCCTCCCGGCATATACTCTCGCATGCTTGATGGCGTGCCACTCATGCCCAAGTTGGCTTCAAGAGTTGCTTGGGCCATGTCCCCTTGGAGAAGCAGTTGCTGAACACGGCTTACGGACTCTCTGGCATTTTGATTGATGCGACTGAGAGGTCCGCCGGACCAAAAGGTATCCTCATTGATGTAAATGAGATCAGATGTCGGGTCACTTTTGACCATGCCACCAAGTCTCCCATTGCCAATCGGAAACGAGTCATTCCAATACTTTCCCACAGACGAGGACCATAGTCTTAGCGGGTGTGACTTGGAGTCGGGAGCTGTGAAGTCATCGGCTATCACGACTGCCGCAAGGGCAGCCAGCAGATATAGTACCCTCATGGAGAAAGCTTAGTGAACGAATTGCCCCAATGTCACTTATCACAACTACATCCGGTTTACTCATGGCGGATAGAAGCCATCTTTATAAGTTGCAATTGCCCCTGCTCTTAGGCTACGCCTTTTGCAGCCGAGGACTAACGGGTCGGATTCAACATCTCCTTTCTTCCCATCGGTTATTTTCTCGGACATACTGGGGCCTTATTAGCCGTTTTTTCCATCCTGACTATGAGAGCAAGGTTCTGAGATGGGAGAAGGCTGTGGTGAGTAGCGCACAGCGGGCAAGAATCCAGGCATGTGAGTGGCGGAAGTATTGCGGGAGACTGTCTGTGAAAATAGCCGGATCAACTCCACAGGGAGGTCCTGCAAGGGACAGCCCAATCTATGTATTACGTTGGAACGTGCGGGTCTGTCGTCAATCAATAGATGTGGGGGAAAGCCGTCGAGTATTGTTGGAATTAATCGTCTCGACAAGCTATATAATCCGAGACGGCAAAGCAGAAGGACAATTCGGCAGGGCGGTAGCCACGAGAGCTGGAGGGGCTTTCAAGGAAAAGCCAGAGAAAGAAATCCTGTGAACGCATGTCACGACATAATCTCTTGTCCTCTGTTTGATAGGAAATCCGTCGTCGATTTCATCATTCAGAGGACGTGCTGCGTTGTGTCACGTTTTGATTTGGGGCTTCTTTTGGCTAGTAATAACCACAGTTCTGTCCGTCACGCTTATTCGGATTCAAAAGTAAAACTCTTGGGATATTATACGTTACCCGCCTAGATACTACCGAGAAACTCTGCTAGAGAGCCTTGAGGAACGCTCCCAATCATTGCCCAGTCCATTCAGCCTCGACAAACCACATCCTCGACTTTGGAGGCATCCAAACATCCAAGACCTTGTACCTCTCGTCAGCCTTTTTAAACAGATCCCTCCAGTCATCCGGCTCCCGCTCGCGCGCATTCACCGTGACCTGCATGAACATGTCGAGTGTCCGCATCGCCTTCTCCTCCATGTACCCCGCGGTGCCCGGCTCCGGTAGCCCGCCGTCGTTGAGGATGATCTTGGTTCCCTGGCGCAGGGCGGGGATGAGGGCCTGTAGGATCTGCACCGAGTACTTGTCCGAGAAGCCGTGGAAGATCATGCGGAAGAAGTAGGCGTCGGCGATGACCGTCTGGGGCGTGAAGAAGTCGTGGGTGGTCAGCTGGACGCGTGACTGGAGGGCGTCTGGGATCTTGCCGATCGTCTCGGGGGTGCGCATGCCGGCTGTGTCCTGGACGACGAAGTTAAGCTTGGGGAAGGCTTCGGCGATAGCGAAGGAGACGTAGCCTTGGTTGCCGCCCATCTGTCAAGAGAAGGTTAGCTCTTGTTAAAAGGCTGTTGACAGCACGTTACGGGCGTTATGTCTATGTGTTTCACTCACATCCACGACGGTTGCGCCCTCTGGCAGACGGTCCCATGCGTAGCCCTCCACAACCCTCTGCACAGAGTATCCCTCTCCCCCACCATGCGCCGCCATAGCAAGATTATACCTGTTGGCAAACTCCTTATCCTTCTGAATGAAGTCGAACCAGGGCAGATCCTGCCCATACGTGAGATTCACACTCGTCTCGTTGGACTCCTCGCTCCCCGGCCACTTCCGCATGGCGTTGACAACGTTGGCGACAGGCAGGCCCAGATCGCTGCACATGAAGCCGACCCAGCTGCTCATGGTCGGGCTCTCGAGGATCAGGCGCGAGGAGCGGTTGTGGGCGACGAAACCCTTCTTGGGCTCGACGAAGATGCGGTTGGTCATGGCGTGGCGGATGATGCGGCGGAGGTTGAGCATCGGAGTGTCGAGGCCGTCATTCAGATCCTTTACCTTGGCTGTGAGGTCGTCGTAGGAGATGATGCCGTTGAGGGGGACGGCCTGGGCGATCTTGAAGTCCCAGATTGCCTGGAGTGAGAGGTTGTTGACGCCCTAGAGCGGGAGCTGGTGATCAATAACAATGTTCTCATCATCGTGAGAGCCGTCATCTCTCGTCTGAACAATTACGGATGCAATTGATGGTGAGAACTCACATCCCATGCCAGATAGCGCACGCTTTCGCTGGGGCCAAGGGCAATGTCATGCAGCTCCTTGGTCAGCGCAATGAGTTCAAGACGAGCCTTGTACGTCTCCTCCTCTTCAATTGGAATAGGAAACTCGGCGAGTCCATTGACATCAAAGGACGCCGCATCGAGGTTGTTGGTGGTGAGATAGTCGGTGATGATCTTGGTTTTGGCGGCAATCTCTTGCGACAGCGTCGTCATGCGCTCCACTGAAGAGGGAGCCATGTTTGCTTAATGCACAGGATTCTATTAGTAGAGAGGGGCCAGCGAAAATCGACGAATTATGCAGCTAAATGAACAGCTGTTGATCGTTGGTTTGGTGGAATCGTGGACCAAAGTCCTGATAGCGGGTATTATTGGCAAGTTGCTCCCGGGAGTTTGGTACGCCAGTATGAGGAGAACCAATTATTAATAGGATATGACCCGAGGGACTGGAACTGGTGGGATTGGCGAGGGGGCCAAAGATCTATGTACTTGGTCTCGGATTGTCGCATCGAGAAGATCTACCTCCTGAGTGCTACCCAACTGTTACCGCGGCATGCAACCGCGAACAGCTTTCCTTGAACGAAACCTCCTTTTATGATTTATCTGACCTAATGCCTGCACCTGAACCCCCTCTACTTCCAAGGTGCCCCGGTAAGCTGGGTGGGCTAGGTACGATGGCTCCAATCTGCTTAGAGGAAACAGGTGGAACTCGCGGACTATTTAAAAGGCGCATACTTGGTTCCAGGCATGTGCCACTCCATCAGGGGCACCGTAGCAGCTGCTCTGCGCATTGGACAACCCCGCTCGAAGTTGTGAGGAGGAGGCTAGTGGAGGATCAGCCCAGACGGCTGCTCCATTCCGTCCGTCCAAGGAATGGAGACGACGGCGATCGGGCCTCTGGTTATTCCCGAAGGGGTCCTTGGCCCGGAGGATTCGTGCAAGGAGACAACAAGAGGGCATGGGCATGAGACATGGGATGTCATACTGAGTATTAAGTCAGTTGCCAGAGAAATACCAATGCTTCTGCTTCATCAATCGTAAAATACCTAGTCAAGTCCAAACCCGGAGAGACAGCTCCCAAACCCTTCCGTCATACATTCATTCCATGAGCCCTGCCACCTTTTACAAGGGCTTCTGCCCTGTGACGGCGGTGAAAGGAATATGCGTATGCTGCGTGTAGTCATAGCACTCCTTCCTCACCGCAACCAGATAGACCTCAATCTGCTCCGGCGTCCACTTCAAGCCGTGTAGGAAGGGCTTGCTAGACACGCCGTGGAGGGCATCCACCATCATGGTCCTACAGTACAAACCAATCATGCTCATCCGCTTGTCCTTGGGCCAGATGCCAAACGGGATCTTGAGCGCCTTCTCCTGGACGTTGACGAAGCCGGCATCAAGCGTCCTCTGCTTGTTATTCCGCATCGACAGCATGTCCACGCCAAACGTCATGAGCCCCTGGCGGACTAGACCCAGCCACTCCTGCAGCTTGTTGTCGGGCTTGAGGGAGCCGTCGTCGCACTTGAGCTCGAGGCACAGCTCCTGCAGCTCGATCCACCCGCCTGGCTTGAGGGCCTCGTACGCGCGCGACAGCAGCGTCGGCCAGTCGCGGATGGCGGCTGTCATGTTGCGGATGTGGATGTAGTCGAGGGAGTTGGGCGGCTGAACCCATTCGGCTTCGGCGTCGTCGACCATGAATCGGACGTTGGGCGGCACCCACGGCGTCTGGATGGGACTGAGGTCGATGCCCAGGATCTCCGCCTCGGGGAATTCGTCCCCCACTGTCAGGCGGCAGGGTTAGCCAATGCCAATAGCGATAAGACGCTGTCTGTCTGTCTAGCAAGGTCGGACTTACTGTCAATAGCCCAGATGCCCGTGCCTGTGCCAATGTCGAGGATGTTCTGGGGGTTGTCGAGGGGGGCGAAATGCAGCTTGCCATCGCAGAGGTGAATCACCATGGCGTGCTTCATGTCCTCCCTCTCCTGCTCCGGCTCGTCGTTGGGGAACTGGTACCTCCCCTCCTGGAACTTGTGATATCGTCTGCTGTTCTCGAATTCATAGTCACGGATGGAGCTGGTCACCGACGTCGATGCCGAGCTCTCTCTGTCTGTCTCGTAGCCGTCGTCGGAAAGGCCGGCTCGGTCGGCGGGGATTGTCTCGGCCGCTTCGATTGGGGCATGATCATCTTCTATTTGCGATGGCTCGTTGGGTTGCGTCGGTCGGTCCACTCCTTCCCCGGTCGCTGCAGGAGGAGAACTGGTCGTCGCAGTTTGTGCTGGCGTTTCGTCGTGCTCGGCCGGAGAAGGCATTTTCTCTGAGGATTGTTGGAGCTGCGTGGGTGGTGTCTTGCCCTGCCCACGAAATATCGGCGTCTAGATAGAGCCCGAGACGTATCCAGACAGTGAGGGTCTGCTAGGAAACAAAGTGATGGAGAAGAAATGGATCAGATGACGAGAGGATCCGCTGCTGCGGGGGCCTTCTGATAAATGGAACAACTTCATCAGGCGAAACGGAGTGCTTCTATCTCCCCGGAGTGGAGGAGGTAGGGCTAACTGAAGCCCTAGGTAAGTCCATGGCTTCTTGGCTTCCAACAATTACCAGGATCCCCGTGTTATGGGCTGATCCTGAAGGAGCTGTAGCCGAGGGAGAGAAGAGAGAACTCCTGAGCCTGCGGCCGCGTGTCGACGCGAGGAGCCAGACCATTCCTCAGCCCAGAGGATGGCAACTCAGGTGACGACCAAATGACAGCCACGTACCTGATTCCATCTCGTGGAAGCGTGCTTAAGAGCTTGTTAGAGCCGCCTAGTTGTTTAGTTAGTGTGCGCCGCGGAAACTCTCCTGTGAGATAGTTGGGGATCAGTGGGACGGGTCAGGGGTCTAGACTCCAGACAATCATGTCGTGCCTAAAGCACACGTTGCCCTCCAGATTGATTTGCGAACGGACCCAGGCCAGTGGTATCTGTTGCCGATCTCTTCCATAAAGAGATGGCGTACTTCCTCTAAATTCGAGAATGCCAGCATTCCAGCCGAGTCTTGCCAGAGTTACCCAGGAAGGAGCACGAATTCCAGTTGTGTATCGCGCCCATTCCTCACTATCAACATCCCAGCACGAAGCTGACACCAACAGCAGCTGCACTACGCTGCATAATCACATTCTTGGCTGCAACTAGTGTCCAGCTGAGGTTAATAAAGTATAGATCCTGGTGCTCAACTCTGCGCCATTCCCACACACAGCCAGACTGCATAAATCAATTGATCTAAATGGCACCAGGACTTAATATACCTCTACGGGTCTCACTGTAAATCTCCGAGTGGCGTGAAACCATCAAGGCAATGTCTTTTTAAAATTTAGTAGAGCGCCCAACGGCCGGAAAACCCCGCCGTTTTATCCAACTTACCCTAGACCCAACCTTCCCACGAGAGAGGTCCAAGTTATTTCAAATAAAATAATTATATTTCGCACATTACTTTATAAGGCAATACAACATTTCTATTTTTGATGCCTGTTCTACTAGTGCTTATAATCCCTGGAATAAATATGGACAATCAGCACTGTTTATTACTTCTTATCTATGTATTAATCGATGTAAACCAACCAAGTTGAAAGACTTTCCTCAGTAAGTGATCACAATATATCTATCTGTATCCTAGATACTATCTATAAACGCTTATATACCTAGATCGTGGTCCATCTTTAACTGCTAAAATCCTCTTTCGTAATTATGATTGTTTCACGCTGTTTATTAGGATTGCAGCCATTCCAAGATCTTACGAGCCGCTATTACCCTACCACCGCCGTCTTTGCTGCAGATTTCGGCGATCTGTCTGGACCGCGCAGTGTATTTCTCATTGTTTTCGATGGCTACATCTATCAGAATCGGCGCAAACTCTGATTCCGTCCAGCGAGGACAACCCTTTGGACTTCCCCACCGCCCAATTCCGAGGAGTTCGGCTCGGTTGGCAAAGTCATAGGTGTCAAGCCAGCAAGGGACGACGACCTGCGGCACCCCAGCGCTGTGTTGTATCAGTATGAGTGAATTCACGAAGAAGTTTAGAAGGAGGGTACTCACCATAAGGCCTCGTAGAATGAATTCGCACCACCGTGATTAATGACGCACAAGATTGTCCCCGTTTCCAGTATGGAGTTTGGCTCTGATGATAGCCACTGAACAATGCGCACAGTATCCTCCTCAATCTCAGAGCCGAGAACCTCGTAGATGACTGACCCAGGGCCAGTCTTCAAGTCTGGACTGCGGATCAAGTCTTTCTTCATCTTCCACAGCACTTGTAGCTCCTTGCCAGACTTGCGCGCATGGTCCAGCATCCGCCTCAAGGAGCGTGCCATGTCCACTGCCTCTGTTTCGTCCACAACGCAATGCGAGCCTAGATTCACCAGCACAGTAGGTCTGCGTTGCAACCATGCCGAAAGCTCAGCGTCTATGGGCTGGATGGGCCGCAAGATAGGCCCGCAAGGCACGATCCTTGCCCAGTAGTCTTGCGGTAGGTTGACGAGATCCAGCTGGGGAAAATCAACCTCTGCCCGGCTTCCGATGAAGATTTTGTCGATGCCTTTCATGTTGTTGTGGCAAAGGCTGATGTTCTCCGCGATCTCGAGGTTTGGCGAGCCAACAAGCTTTGCGACCTTCTTCTCCATATCCGCCACGTTCTTGTCGGTTACGATGACCCAGATCAGGCGAATGACGAGGTAAATGTTGAACGGGATCCAGTACCACGGAATCGGCATGATGTTGGCAGACGCAACAACTGGCCACTTCCAGAACCCTGCTAGCCCCGGCTCGAGGTGATGTACAAAATCTTTCAAGGTGTTGGGCGAAAGGATCGCCAGCTTGTAATCCTTGGATGCCTTGGCTCGGATATCCCTGGCTGCAGTGATAGCGGGCGTGAAAAGGGTGTCCACCAGGACGATGTCAGGTTTGACATGGTCGATAGTGGCATCCACAGACTTGTAAATCGATGCAAACTCCTCTGCCGTCCAGCAGAGAAGTGCCTTTGATATGATAAATTTTTGCGAATTGGGGGAGTTCCAGACTCCAGGCTTCTGCAGCGAGACGGTGTGGATATTGCTATTTGGGTCCTCCTCCTCCTGGAAGCATTTGAACATTGGGCGCCCGGGTAGCGGGTGGAAGGTGAAGGGTGTAGAGCCATGGTCGCCTGCGCCGCCGAGAGCATCGCGGAGTGTTTCTTGCAGCGCTGGAAATGAGGCGAAGTGAATGTCGACACCTGGATTCTCTTGGAGCAGAGCATGCGCGGTAGCGATGAAGACGTTGGCTTGCCCAAGCTCTGCATTGACGAGCATCAGCACCTTTGGAGGCGCCATGATGAGTCCCGATGCTGCTTGGATGACGTTAGAGGGTGACATATAAATGTTTGAAGTTGGGTCACCGCCCCCTTTTGTTCAAGTACAGACAACCAAGCGGGTCTGGAATTTGCCGGCCACTTTGGAATAGTTTGCAATCCTCACTCGGATCACGGGTCTAGCTGCCGCAAGAAGCCGGGACGAGAAGGTACTAAAATCTGACTCTCTCTCTCATAAGAGCCGGTCTGATCCGCCAATGCTTACCGGTGGCGCCTCAAGTAAATCATCTACCATCCGAGAGCAGGGGGTAACACCCTGTCAGATCTCGTTTGAAACTTCCTTATCTCGGGGTCGTGTACAGGGTTCGCGTATTTAGTGTCAAATAACTGGTTATATTCTGTTGTGGACATTGTCCTGTGGGTTATCCACCCGAGATATGTGAATGGCGGGATGTCACTAACCTAGTTTTTACTAGGTACATTATTTCCAGAAAATACTACCCTGAAAACGAAATAAACTTTGTTTTCAATGGAAGCCCTCAATTGAGTTGTCTGTCATTCAAGAGCAGAATGCAGGTCTGAGGAATGCCAACTCCTCTACCAAGACTCTATTCGATTCAAGCTCTTTAGCCATCGTTGACATGACGTATTGCACGGCTTTGAGTTGTTCCCACGAAAGCTCGATGCAGTCCTTAATCATATGCGATGGCGAATTTTGTGGAGGTTCCAACACTAACATGCCATCATTGCAGACTGCTTCAAGTTGGTTGAATGCTCCGCGAGCTTGGTCAAGATCATTTCGCGCGATTTGTAGAAAGCAAGACTTAAGAAGTTTCCTCTTCTCTTCGAAGAGGGTATCCTCGAGGTTCTGCCTCGCTATCCGCGTGCTTGTGCCTACATCGTGGCTGATGCTCCTAGGATAGAGTACACTTTCGTCAACATAGCATTAGCTACAGTAGTCAAACAGTGTCACGCGACTAACTACAATGAGTCATAATCCAACCTTGTAGTTCCTCTTGTCCTTTAGTATATTTGGGATAACTTAGCTCAAAAACTCACAGACGTAGCTTAACTATAGGTGCACTTATCCAATAAGGCCAAATTTGAGGACTATCATTAGTAGGTGCCTTCTTGCTCACTCGTACTTTGAGAAGCAATTTAGAGACTTCAACTTACCTGAATTAGGATGATGGAAGAAGCAGAAACAAAATTATGTAACCACTTACGTCAATCAAACGAACGCCGAACTCGATGAGTTTAAATGACATCACCACTCCGAAGATGCACTTCATCTAGCCATAGCTTTATATGAATAGTTTTCTCTTCACCTAGACTCCTCTTAGCACACAAGTTTGCCAACCACTTCTCCAATAAAAGCATCAACGCACGCGTAAGGACTTTCAACACTTCAATATGGCCAGATCAAACCACCAAGAAGGGGACCAAAGCAAAACAGGCCAGAAACACGAGACCGACCACGAGGCACCACCTTCTGCTCGGCGGGTCAAGACTGAGAAACAACAGACGTTGGAGGAATCGCTAAGCAATGAAAAAAGTCCTGAGAAGGAGAAGGCAGACGACCCGGCATCCAACCAAGTGGACAAGTCGGAGGCTCAGCAGCAAAGCGCTGTTAGGCTAGGAGAAGAACCAGATGTTCCTCCCAGCATATTAGAGAAGGGCATCATCTACTTCTTTATTCGCGGGCGGGTGAACATTGATGATCCCAAAACCGTGGAGGATGTCGCGCGAACATTCATCTTGCTGCGGCCAATCGAGAAAGATGCTAAGCTCGGCGACGGGCCGATCGGCGATGCACGCAACAACCGTCTCCTCGCGCTTCCCAAGAAGACGCTTCCGCTCAGTGGAAAAGATCGCTTCATGATTTTCGTGGAGAAGTCAAATGCTTCCTTTGAAAATCTGAAGAAGAGCTTCTTGGCTGGAGCAGACTATGAAACGAAGACAGCGGGAACGAGACACACTCCCGCAGCCACCCCGGTTGGAGAAGGTGTATATGCCCTCACCACCACAGGGCGAGAGAGTCATTTGGCCTACATGCTCACAATTCCGGAGAAACTGGATTCGGCGCAAAAGGATTTGGGTATAAAGGAGAAAGGAAGTTTTATAATAAGTACCAAAAATCCAAACTATGGCGGACCGGCACATGCAAGACTACCAGAGAAACCTAAGTTTCCCAAGGAGTATGCCCGCATTATGCTTTTCTCCATCCTCACTTTGCTAACGAGATCTTAGGGTTATCGACGAATTCCGGTCCCTCCGATGGCTCCCTTCCAAACCTATCCACCTAGACTACCCAAATGCTCAGCTACTCCTCGTGGGAGAGTCTTCTGGTATAGAAAAAGCTCTAGAACCACAAGAAAAGGACGATGAAAATGGCGCACAGAAGCCGGAGGAATTTATAGAGAGCCTTGCAGAGGAGGACCTTGAAAGAATGAGACATCTAACTGGCCAGCAATCGGAATCTATATATGCCGATCTCCAAGCTCAAGCAGAAGGTTATCCTCGGCTCAAGACAACCTTCTAAATGCAGTGTAATAATAAATATTTCTTTGATGAAAATAAAAAGGATTTCTCGAATCATCCAGTTCCCTTCATTTATTTTACATGCTATACCTCAATAGTATGCATTTCTGTATAGTTGGTGCTCGCCTTCTTCCTAGAGAATTTTAGGAGGGGGCGCACAGAAAAGTTCACATGGCAGGGAAAATAAATTACGAGGGTGTGCGCGTAAACTCTGGATACAAGAAATATCTTGTGTAGATCAACGATGTATGTAGAATGGATGAGTGAGAAAGGGTCATGAAAAGGTCAATCTGACGTCACCCATCCCGGCTTCCTTGAATGAAGTCGTCACCTCTCCGTTTTATATTTGTCCGTTCTTATATTTGATAATAACTAATCTTCGTTCATTTGAGGATTATAAAGTTGAGATTGAACAATTCAATCTTGACTTAGGATACTCTCCCCAATCTCCAAGATGCCTGGCCAATTCATTGATAGGCCCAATCCACCAGCCTTAGCAAGCGCTCTCCCCGAGCAGACGCTTGACCTGGCGGCGAAGATTAAGAGAAAACCGATAGAAGAAGATGATTTGAAATATCTCAAGGATTTCCAGCGAGCAGCATGCTACATCGCTGGTGGTCAGTTCAATTCCTCATTCTCATTGATATCACTTTGGCTAATAACCGACGATATAGCGATGATATTTTTGGAAGACAACGTGCTACTGGAAGAAGATCTTAGTTTTGATCACATCAAGCCCCGACTTCTTGGACACTGGGGCACATGTCCGGGCCTTATTCTTGTCTGGTCTCATTTGAACTTGCTTATTCGAAATCATGGCATGGATATGATTTACGTTATTGGCCCAGGACATGGTGCTCCCGCGGCGCTGGCAGCTCTCTGGTTAGAGGGCTCTCTTGAGAGATTCTACCCCAAGCGTTATCCCGTTAACAAAGAGGGTCTAAGAAATCTCATCAGCGGCTTTTCTACTCCTTCGGGCTTTCCGAGGTAGGTCTATCGGTTGTTTCTATTTGAATAAAGGGAATGGGTTCTTTATTATTTTGATTTTTCTTTATGGAAGAAGTACTAATAACTGGAAAAGCCATATCAATTCCGAGGTCCCTGGCGCGATACATGAAGGTGGCGAGCTTGGATACGCTCTCGCTGTTTCATTTGGTGCTGTCATGGACCATCCGGATTTAATTGTCACTTGTGTGGTTGGCGACGGTGAAGCTGAGAGTGGTCCAACCGCCGCGTAAGTCAAGGTTGGATCTTATCTTGAGGAAAATATACTGACTGTGCTCAGGGCATGGCATTCAATCAAGTTTCTTGATCCCGCGGAGTCCGGGGCAGTCATTCCCATTCTTCATGTCAACGGCTTCAAGATCAGTGAACGGACCATTTTTGGATGCATGGATGACAAGGAACTCGTCGCGCTCTTTTCGGGTTATGGTTACCAGGTTTATATTGTCGAAGACCTTGATAACATCGATAGAGAGCTTTCCAACGCTCTCGAGTGGGCCGTCTGCGAGATCAAGACCTTCCAAAGAGCGGCGAGAGGTGGAAAACCCATCATCAAGCCACGTTGGCCCATGTTGATTCTACGCACACCCAAAGGTTGGACAGGCCCTCAAAAGGTTGACGGCGCTTTCATCGAGGGATCCTTCAAGTCGCATCAAATCCCTATTCCGAAACCGAAGGAGAATGAGGAACATTTGAAGCTCCTCCAAGATTGGCTGTCAAGCTACGATGCCAAAAAGTTAATTCAGGATGGCAAACCTATCGACACCATTCTCAACATTCTGCCCCATGACATGTCAAAACGCCTTGGGCAATTCCAAATGGCATATGATTCCCATCTACCCCTCGATCTACCCAATTGGAAGACTTTTGCCGTCAAAAAACACGAACATGCGAGCGCCATGCAGGAGACAGGCAAATTCCTCGATCAAGTGGCCCAGCTCAACCCAAAGACTTTCAGAGTCTTCTCCCCCGACGAGCTGGAGAGTAATAAGCTCAGCGCAATTTTATCTCACAGCGGGCGCAACTTCCAATGGGACCAATACTCACGCGCCAAGGGGGGCCGAGTTATTGAGATCCTCTCAGAGCACTGCTGCCAAGGTTTCATGCAGGGTTACACCCTCACCGGCCGTACCGCTCTCTTCCCGAGCTATGAGTCTTTTCTCGGTATTGTGCACACGATGATGGTTCAATACTGCAAGTTCAGCAAATTGGCACGTCAAACCGATTGGCGCCGTGACATTAGCTCCATCAATTACATAGAAACAAGCACGTGGGCTCGTCAGGAGCACAACGGCTTCTCACACCAGAATCCCTCGTTCATCGGTGCGGTTCTCAATATCAAGGGGGAGGCGGGTCGAGTCTATCTTCCTCCAGATGCGAACTGTTTCTTGAGCACTGTGGATCACTGCCTCAAGTCAAAGAATTTCGTGAACCTCATGATAGGGTCCAAGCAGCCCACAGCAGCTTACCTGTCTGCCGACGAAGCAGCAGAGCATTGTCGCAGAGGCGCCTCGATCTGGAGCTTTGCATCCAATGAGCAGAAGGGAGAGAAGCCTGATGTTATCCTGGCCGGCATAGGTGTTGAGGTGACGTTTGAAACGGTAAAGGCAGCTCACCTCCTTCGCGAGCTCGCCCCCAGCCTGAGTGTGCGCGTCATCAATGTTACGGATCTCATGGTGCTCGCTTTAGAGTCTCGACATCCCCATGCACAGACACACTCTGAGTTTATTCAAATGTTTACGGAGGATCGACCGATTTGTTTCAATTACCACGGATATGCTACCGAATTGCAAGGTCTGCTCTTCGGAAGGCCGAGATTGGAGCGCATGTCTGTGGAAGGTTATAAAGAAGAGGGAAGTACCACTACTCCCTTCGACATGATGATGGTAAACAAAGTAAGCCGTTATGATCTTGCTTCGAGAGCTATCCGAGCCGCGAGAGGAATGGCCGTCGGGGACGAAAAGTTGAAGGATGTGTTTGATCAAGCGCTGGCGACAATTGAAGAGAGAATGACAGAGGTTAAACGCTACATTCAGGAAAATAGCAAAGGTGAGTCGCAATTTCGCTCGATGTTATATCACATACTAACATATTAGTAGATCCAGATGATATTTACAGCATGCCCGAGTTTGAAGCAGGGGGTTGATGGTGATGGGGAAAGATCCTGGCTTGCATATCATACGATAGCATACTGATTTTCCTTAATTCGCACGTACAGACAACACTGCCGTACGGGTTCTTTCCACTCTAACAAACAGTTCCTTCATGACTAGAAGTTCTATGTCAAGACTAGTAAGGTCCACAGTAATGGCCAATGGTTTATGTTGAATTTTATATGAATTGATACAGTTCTACTATTCCGTAACTAAAGGCTTTGCATTGAAAAGTTAGTTAGCAAATGACCTAGTGAAATGAGCACGAAGGCCTCAGATGGAGTTTTCTGGTGGGACTCAATATCTATATAAGAACAGTCGGATGGAAGAAGAGAGGAAACTTGCTTAGAGGATAAGAGGATAAGAGGATAGCATTAACTGATACCTTACGCGTTATTGTCTGCTCATAAGCCATCTCAAAATACACCTAGAAGAAGATAAAACGGCAGGTTGGAACAAACAGGATAGATTGGCTACGAGAAGCGTATAAGACCACTTTTGCCTTCTGCTTGCCTGGGTTAAGACGAGCGCGCGTGGAGCAAGCCCCACATATAAGATCTTGGATGGGCGATCGACTGTCTTGATGAAATCGAAGTGACGTAAATCAGATGTTAGGATCTACTTCGCTCGCCATAAGATCCCTGGCAGTGACGTTAAGATCCATCAAACCCAGCCTACCCCTCAAAGACTCATCTTTCCCCCGTTGTCAGGCCTCTCTGCTACTTTTCTCTCTTCCCCACAGAGCAATCTAGCTCGTCGCGTAAGGCTCATATATTCTTCTTTTCTTTTCCCTCATATTGCCACTGAAGGGTGGGTGTGTTGAGGTTTGCTAAAGAAGCACTTGACTGCCCGAGTAACTACTATCATAAACGGGCTCACCCTCAAACTCACTCATTCATGTTGCCCAAATTTGTTTTAGGTGTTTTAATCAGAATCATAAGGGTATATTTCTCGCTAGATGCTAATTTGCTAGACGGATACCTTTGGAATGGGCATTAACGGAACGTCGTGATTTTGCCAAATGTGTCAGCCATGCCCCAGATTCCCTCCCTCAGGCAGCTAAGCTGCACAATCTGGGAATGATCCACGAAGAGGTTCACATCGGCTCCAAACTCCCGGATGTACCAGTTGAACACTTTGGGGTCTGCAGCCTCGAACATGACCTTCTCCGATGGCAACTCCCGTAGGATGCTATGGATGACGTCCGTCCGCCAATTCTTCACGTTCTCTGTAATGCCCTCGCTTTCGATCATGATGCGTTCGACCCCACAGTCTTGAATGAACCGCTTGCCCATATTCACCACTTTGGACGGTTCCGAGGTGCCCATGCTCTCCAGCTCGCCTGCCTCGGTGTCACCGCCGGCGCCGAACTGAATACCAATCTCGGGTTTGGCAATCAGCCCGGCATTGTGCACTGTGTCGACCAGTCGTAGCCAGTCGTCAGGCGGAAGAGAGAGGAATCCGGTAGAGATCTCAATCACGTCCATCCCAAGCGACTTGCACTGCCTGAGGTATCGGTCCACAGCTGAATGCGGGTCTGACTGGATCAGAATATATTCCATCCAACCGCCCTAGAAGTATGTTAGAGGAGCCCGTAATTGCATGTAGCGAGCAGAAGTGCTTACAGTAGAGACATAGACGCCATTATCATGAGCGATATCAATTAGCTCCCTCAGTTTGTCCTCGGGAAAGAGTGAAAAGGAGCCACCGGCAAACTTGAGCCCGTCGACGTGGTGGCCCATACTTGAAGTGAGGTCAGTATAAAGATCATTAGTAATCGTGATACGGCACTCACGTTTCCAGGACATCTTGCAAATATCGCTTGCCCATGGCTGAGTAGTACGGTCCGCGAATCTCCGTCACGCCCGCCTTCCGTGGTTTTGGAGGTCTGGTATTGTGGTGAACGAAGCCAAAGCCATTGTCGTCTTCGAGCATGATCTTCGGCGTTTGCGTAGATAGGCTCCGTGAAGGCAGAGAGAAGCGTTGATATCGCGCCGCGCCGCGGCCTGTCGCCGACTTCAAGGCACGCGGGGCAAGTCTAGAAAGCATCATCGAATGCGATATTCAAAGGAGAGTTAGTGGTAGTCGCAGGTTTTGATTTGCCAGCCCATGCCAATTCATCGACCTCGTGGATAGCCTCTGTCTGACTGTATTGTTTAGAGGACGTAGATTTGTTTGGTTTTTATGTCGATTTCTACAGCACCATGTCAGCTATGGTGAGTGAAGCCTCAACATATAGGTATCAAACTTCACCTCACAAAAGGTTGCACTTGACGACGACTTTGCGTCATCTTCTTGCGAATATTGTTGAGAGAATTCAGACGTTCTCATGACATCATTCCGACAATCAATTTCAATGGCATGATTATACCGTTAATAATGACGATGATCCATCTACCGGATGCAACATTATGATTATGGGCGGGGTAACGAAGGGCGAAGGCGCGCTGATTTGTCGGCGTAGTTGATCTTACGGTTTTCAGAGTCGGAGCTTTTGTAGTTATACTTGGGGACAATCTGAGAGTCTGGATTCGACTGAGCTCTCATATCCAAAGAACAGCTTAATCATAGATGCGTGTTCATGTATACCCGCATACGAAAGTAGCGATCGGCTATAACTATCCTTTCCCACTGCTTCAAAACATCATTGAAGAGCTTCCGCCCTATCCTTTCATTACCAGCCGAGAAAAGCTGTGGCAGACAGTTCAATGCAGTGCAGATATTACTTACTGGCCAGGTGACTTCGACAAGTCGGGACAGCTCTCTTCTCTTCTAGCATCGCCGTGGCGGCCGTATGATCCTCTGGTAGTGATTTGATATAAAATTTAATGACACGTCACATTACAACAGCACTGCAATTGGGCAGCAGATGGGCTGTGTCGTACTGCTGCCCAAGACCCGTTAGGTGAGCCGATGCGATGTTACTGTGGCTGTGCTGTCTGCCTTGGATGTTGTCAAACCGCAATGAGGCATTTTGGTACGCTTTTATACGAATTTGCACATTTATGCAGGTGAGCAGTCATTACATTAACGCCGTGGCGCCTAATTGTGTCTGCTTCAGGGGTAAGCTGAGTCGATGCTGTATCCTTCCATTGGCTCGTTGGCAGGGCGGCTGTTTGATTGGAACTTTGGAAGACACCCAACGAGGCTTTACGCAGCTTGAAGAATAAGTTACCCCACCCTGCTGCTCCTGACACTGACAAATTCTCTCCTCTCTTCCGTTTTCTTGCAAACGGCGATGGTTGTCCCGTGACCAGGCACGATCGAAATGGAAGTTCTCGGCGGTGCAGCCACCTTGGCCAAAATTGCGGCCAAGGGACTTGAAACCATACAAGGAATTGCCAACACTGAATCCGACTACGCCGAGCTCTGTGGCGAGGTATGTGCGCTATGTGACTAGGGTTTGTGGGTTGGGTCTGACCTTTGTAATTTATGATCAGCTTAATTTCATCGAGGCAATTATCCGAAATGCCCAGCAGACGTCGATGCAAGGCAAGGATACGACACCGATGTTCGGAATACAAGATCAGATTGAAAAGCTTGCATCTATGCTTACAGAAATATCAAAGGGCTTGAATGAAATCAAGGCCAAGTGCCAGCACAAGTCCACCAAGGGAGGCTCGTCGGCTAGCAAAACGAAGTGGTTTATGCATAGCGGCAAGATTGGCGAGATGCGGCAAAAGGCGAAGCAAATAAAAGAGGATCTGCATATGGCGATTAACATGCACATGAGCACGCTAAATCATCAAAGAATTATGCAACTGCAAGAGGTTGTTTGCCGGCTTGATATATCTGCGAGGCAACTGGAGCACATGCCACACGCTGCAATGGTAATTTTATCGGCCCAAGAGCAGATCATGAATGGCCAGACTGAGGAGGATGCGCAGAGAATCCAAGAGCTGGATGACGAGGGAAATGAGCTCAACAGTAACGACACGAGTGCAACTACGCATGCCCAAGGACCAGCACCCCTAGACGCACCTTCACAGAGTCTGGTTGGTCAAAGAACCACGGTGGCGGTGGCTTTCCAGAAGACAAAGTGTCCAACGCAGTGTGTGTGTCGTTGCCACACTCGCTCACGGAAGATTTCTAGCCCGGAATGGATAAAGAAGCTGACAGGATCGTGGGAACTACAATACAAGCCACAAATAGCTGGACTTCAGTGGGATACGCGTTGCCCATGCAACAAGTCGGACGGCCTGGAGATTGCATGGCGGCCTCCAGAGTGGTGGTGGATACAATCCTTTTTCCCTCGTCCCAATCGCTATTCTCTAAAATGTGCGCTCCGTCCAGCTAGAGTCTTGCCATGGGGATCACAAAAATATGGCTATTTGGACAAGTCCGTAGCGGATATTTGCCAGGCCATGGACAATGGAATGGCTGTATTTCCTGACGATGAGTTTGACATCGATTTTGGCATTATCGAGGTGAGTACAGATGAATCGACATTCAATTTGGGAAGCGAGCATAGCTCACCACCAGAAAAGCTTTTCATTGCGCAAGAGCAGTTCGAGGTTTTGGAGTTTCTGCTGCTGCAATGGAAGAATATATTGGTAGAAAGTGGGCTCTCTAGGTACGACGAACAAGCTTGGGGCAGCAGCCAAACAGCAGGACTAAGGCTAACATTGAATCAATACGTAGAAGTGCAGGATTTTGGGCGTCGAGTTATCTAAGGTTCAAGTCACTAGGTGAACCAGAAGTGCGAGTGCTGGAACAAGTCGTCTCATACGTCGACTGGGAGACGGACCTGGCTACATCACCACTTCACGAGGTCGCCCTTCTGGGATCGGGAGTGCAAGAAAGCTGTGCTAAGCAAAAGGACTTGGTCGATACGTGGGATGAGACTGGACATACGCCACTGCACCACGCAATAACGCAAGGTCACACTCAGGCCGTGCAGGATTTGATTGATGCGGGAGTCAACGTCAATCGCAGAACATTCAACGAGGACACTCCGTTGACGTTGGCCGCTGTACACGGCCGCACGGAATGTATGCGACGTTTGCTTTTGACAAGGCGGATCAATCGTATTGATGAACGAGATAGATTCAAGCGAACTGCACTGCATTGTGCTGCTTCCGGGGGTCATTCAGAGGCGGTGCGGCTGCTGCTCGAGGCCGGAGCATCGCCATTGCTGCGTTCCATTTGGGGCGATTTTCCACTCCATCACGCGGTAAAATCTGAGAACGAGAATCCAGCCGAAATAGCAGCCATCATCAACTTGCTTCTCGATGCACCAGGGACAGATATCAATGCAACGAATGACAGAGGGGATACAGCCATTATGATGGCCGTGAGGAATAATAACCATGTCGCTTTGCGTTGTCTGGCGCAAGCTGGGGCTTCTCTCACAGCAGTGAACAAGGATTCCGACACCATGCTACACCTCGCTGCCTGGTGCGGGGATCTAGAAACTCTGCATTTCCTCGACGGCCAGGAATTGACTTGCATCAACTGGAAGCTACCTGGCGAACTAAGTTGGACTCCTTGGATGTGGTTCATGCGTCGCTTGAATCATTCCGAACGGAAGCCAGACCCGGCTGAAATGATTGCCTTTGTGCAGCTGTACAGAGGCATCCGGGATCGGGATCTCGCCCACGATATTTCGCTCCTGGAGCAAACCCTCGCGGCGCTGGACCGGAACGACGAAGCCGAGGCTCCTTTCCACCTTTCGGCAATCATTCAGTCTAAAGAAGCATATTATGACGAGCATAGTGCTGGATTCTACCGCGGCTTAAGGGGGCATCTATCTTGCGGCGACAAGGAAAGACTGTTGGACGATATTCAGGCAGATCTCCAAGAGCTCCGGCTTGAAATGGCGAGCAGCCCTTGGGACCTGGATCCTTTCGGTAAATTTGATTCAGATGAGTGTCTATCGGAATCAGATGAGTCTCTATCGAATCCAGATGAGTCTATATCGGATTCAGAGGATTTTAGCGAATCGCCCATACGCCAAGAAAGTGATGCAAGCAATGGGAATTAACTCGATAGTCTGTAGCATCAGGGTGACGGGATTTGTTCTCCTTCCGTATCCACAGGAGTGGCCAATACAGGGGATACTTTATGATATAAGGGAAACCGACTGTAAGGAGAGGATAAGATTCCCCAATGCTAAGCAGCGGCTAGGTTCTTAACATGGCCACCTCTTTGCAAGACAATCCTCAATTTTGTACATTTTGGGCTCAAATACTGTGTCATTTCCAAAGGCTATGTACTTTAAGATGCTCACCCTGATCCCCTCGCCAATGTCCAAAATTTGATCCAGTAGGAGGGCCTTGCTTGCCTAGAATGAATATCGGAACAATGGGCTCTCGTCTCCCATCTCTGCAAGTTCGTCATCCGTATACTTTGCTCTAACCTCCTCCTCGCTCATCAGCGCCCGCTTTGCGTTGATGCGCTTAAGAATGAGAGCATACAAAGGTGGCCAGACGCATCCAAACGCACCAATCATACCGATGCTGATGCCAAAGCCAACTGGATATTTTGGAGCAGTACTAGCAATGTAGACGTTGGACCCGACAATCTAAGCACGAAGATTAGCACAGCATCAATAATATCGTTTTGCGCCATTAGTACTCACTCCTCCGAGTTGGGAAAAGCTGATCATGGCACCAATACCGACGGCTCGCTTCATCGTCCCCGCAGTGTTCATCGAGATCCATGCTGTCGCCAACGGAGATACCGGATAGAGGCCGCCCGTGGCCAGAAATACACCAAACAGAGTAACTCCCGGAATAGAAGGGAATCGCACGCTGATCACCATGACGATAAACCCTGCAAGCGCCATGAGGTTTGCTAGAAAGAGAGGCAGCATCCGCTTCTGCCATCGGTCCGCCATGTAACCCGAGAAGGCAGTAACGGCACACGCAAATACATACGGCGGCACCGTCATGGCTTGAGCGTTGGCCGCAGAGTAGCCGAGATCACGGATAATGGTCGGCAGCACGAAGTTGTAACCGTAGACGGCAACGCAGAGAGTAAACTCGGTGACGGCGACGGCGTAGATATGCGGGGAGCGGAAGGCTGCACGGGCGTGCTTCCAGGAAAAGCTCTCTTTTTCCCCGATGCCCGTTTCTCCGCCGGCCGAGAACTTGTGGCGTAGAGTGAGGAACTCCTTCTCTTCGGGGGAGAGCCAGCTCACGCTGCTGGGAGTGTCGTATACAATCCAGAAGCCGGCGATGGCGAGACAGAGACTGAATAAGCCTGGATAGGGCGTTAACATCAGACCTTACTTAAGTGATGGCAAGTAGGAAAACAAACCTTCAATGCAGTAGATGAACCTCCACCCGCGATATCCCCATGTATAGTCGAGCTGACCGATGCCATACGCTAAGAGTCCAGAGAATGCACCCGCGGCGGAGGCACCTGAGTAGAAGAAGCCCATTCTGGCACTGATTTCCTCAGGCGAATACCACTGAGTTAGAATAAACGAGCACCCAGGGAACACGCCAGCCTCGAAGAGACCCAGAAGAACGCGGAAAGCCGCCCAGCCAGCGTAGTTCTGTTGAAGTGACGTGAAAATCAAGATGAGCGAAACTGTGGTCAGGAGCACAGGGAGCCAAATCCTGGGGCCGAAGCGCTTCAGGGCGATGTTGGAGGGCACGCCGCCGAACGCATACGTTACAAAGAAAATGGACAGACAGGTATTCCATTGTTGCCCGCTCAGACCGAGATCTTCCATCGCACCGAACAGTTTGGCATTGCCTGCGGGGGTGAGGATGGTCAGATGATGCTTGCCCCTTGTCTTGAGTGCCAAGGACAGTTCAAATACTTACTGACGTTGGTTCGATCGACATATGACATGAGATAAATGATGATTAATTGTGGAAGCACGCGGAAACTGTCATGTTAGAGACATCGCTTCAATGTGAGACTGCACTACTTACTCGCACTTGCGGATCAGTTTCTTGAGCTTGCCCCCAGTAAACTCATGGCTCAGCTCCAAGAATCTATTGTACTCTGCTGAGTTGTTGCTGCTCTCTCCCACCTTGAGGCTGGAGGCACAGTCATGGCCACCCTTCTCAGGCTTGGTCTCTGCGTTGGTTTGTGGTGCTTCCATTGTGTTGAATCGAGAGTGTCGTCTTGAAGATGCGGCTTGTCGAAACACCCCGACTGCAGTGATGTCGCATAGCTATTTGTACCCCAGGATCTCCAGGTCCCCTGACTCAGATTCAGTTACGTTGAAACAGTTGCGGAGTTTGTGGAGCAAAGATCAAAAGCTTCTTGAGATAGAGATAAGTGCCACCTCGGCAACTAACGTGGATTCCCGATAGACTACGTATTGCATGAGGAGATACGCGGCTGTCATGGGTCTCCAACTAAGTAAGGCTCGGGAAATGACGCCTAGCGTCCGAGACAGCCCCGGTCATGATAGTCGCGATGGGGTCACATAACCCGAGAGGGATCAACCACAGCGTCCGTACGTGCCCAATGCATGAAATCCTGCAGATCGGAATCTTGGAGAGCCTTCTGCCGATACCGGACCAGGCATTTGACTTATCTTAAAGGCTGCCGTTGTAACTGCTATCCTTCTGCCTTTTTAATACTCTGTGCTATCAAGCGAGCCGTTACATAAGAGCCTGCCCTCAAGCAAATTGTACCTAATCTTCTTCTTGGCCCTAAAGTTTAGACTATCCATTCAGATAAGCCGTCAAGATGCCTAAAGTTACTATTGTTGGCGCTGGGTAAGTCCTCTGCGGCCCCCATCATACACGAGCCCCCCTAACGGTCCTACAGCATCGTAGGCCTAACCGCCGCGAGCCTGCTACCAAAGACATGCGAGATTACTGTTGTGGCTAGAAACTTGCCTGGCGACGAGCTCTCGCACGAATGGGCTAGCCCCTGGGCTGGAGCCGTCTTCCTCGGGCTTGACGGTTCCAACCCTCGTGAGCAGAAGATGCAGCTTGATTCCTTCGCCTTTTGGTGGCAGCTTGCCAAGACTCATCCAGAGTCGAGCGTTAGGGTAGGTATTGGGCACTACTTGACGAGAAGAGAAATGACAACGCTGACACCGAGGTACCTATGCCATAGGCCATCGAGATGAATGATTTTCAAGACGTGACACCGCTTGAGAAGGTTTGGTATCGAGACCAAATGCCCGAGGTACGTAGAACACAAACCCTTCTAAGAAGACAGGCAGCTAAACAGTTCGAACAGTTCCGCGTAATGGAGCCGCATGAGTTGCCAAAGGACGCAAAGTTAGGAATGAGCTGTATGTCGTGCCCAATCTCTTGTAATTAACTTACAGATCAAGAGCTCATACTGGTGCAGATAAAACTGTGGTCCTGACGCCGCACATTTTCCTTCCTTGGCTTCGTCAGCGCCTTGAGAAATCCGGTGTGAGATTCGTCCGCAAGAACCTCCAATCCCTTGCCGACCTCAAGGGCTCTGGATACGATGTTCTCATCAACGCTACTTCGTTGGGTGCGCGATATCTAGCGGATGTAGCGGATAAGCACATGGTGCAGGTCCGTGGCCAGACTGTCCTCGCCAAGACCAGCTACAACAAGGTTTTCATGCGCCATGGAAAGGACTACACCTATGTCATTCCAAGGCTTGATGGCACGGCCATCTTGGGAGGTATTAAGCAGCCCGGGGAGACGTAAGTTCAAGGAAAAATGAATGGAGAGCGGAACAGGACCTCGCACTTACCGCATCAACAATAGACACACTGAGGTCGATGACTCCATCACAGATGACGTAAGTTTCTTTCCTAACATTACGACTTCTTCTCTTGTTAATTTCGGGATAGATTCTGCGCCGGGTGCACGAGAATCTGCCGGAGCACTTCATAGGCCCAAAGTCAGCGGATTATGACGTTGTTCGTTATAACGTAGGCATCCGCCCCGACCGGCCCACGGGTGTGCGAGTAGAAAAGGAAGTCAAGGACGGAGAGAAGATAGTTCACGCCTATGGCACAGGCGGCGGCGGCTACGTATTTAGCTGGGGTGTAGCCAAGGAAGTGAGCAAACTGGTTGGCGAGTTCTTGTTCGACTCCCCTACACCCAGGCTGTAGATAATTTTCCAACATCACGCGAGGCTTGAACAATGGTTGCTATACTGCGTTCCAGACCGAGATTCGTTCCTAGACTAGAAGGTAAATTTACTAAATGGCTTTAGAGCCTATATGAATGATTCTGTCCAAACTATGGGTAGAATGAATAGGAGTAAACAGGTTTCAAGGCGTCTATCATACAGGCTATTTTTGAAATGCTTTGGGCTTGTTTGTAGCTTAGTTTTGATCCAAGGTTACTTTCACTCTTGCTGCCAATAAAAGCTAAAGTTTTACGAAATAGGTTGAATTATTGATCGTAGAGACACTTGGCGTATTAGATTCATTGCATATGCATGTACAACCATTTGCAAATGCATAAGTCATAACGGAAAGATATCATTATTTGTGCTATAAGGTAGTATAGGACGGCGAGCGTGAGTGACCGCCCGGCTTGCGAATTGGCCCGAGATCGCTGGTGGACCTCTTCCTGAGGGGCGGGAAATTCAAGTCACGTTCAATAATACGTATCTTTCTCCAGGATTCCTAGCTCGCCATGATAACGCGGGGTTATTGCCACTCAGGGAGCCATGAATCTGTGTGGACATGAATCGATAACGCCGTCCTCTTGTTCCCATTGGATCCGAGACCCTCTACGCTCTCGGCAAACTCCCCCTAGCGTCCGATATCATGGCGGAGAAGTGGGACCAAGGCCAGAGTGAGAGAGTCAAGGCCGATGTCAACCGTTGGAGTCGCTCAGCTTGGTCTGTACTCTCGGACTAGAGAAAGCAAGATAACAACAAGATTGTCTTGACTGTGGAGAAGATAGTGGTTAAAACATTGGTTGCAGCTACGAAATCGGAGGGCATGAGTACAGCCGATATGTATTACCAGTGCCGTCAGGCCCATGATGTCCGTTCCTGATGGCCAGGTCTAGGGCTTCTCCAAGATGTGGGGAGTCGCCGCGCCGGTTGTCTTGGTGGCGTGCGTTGCGTACGAACTGTTGGAGCTGAGTAGAAAGCAATGAAAGCTATTTTCAGTGTGAGACTATGGATGTTAGAGTGATGTATCTCGTTAGAACCTACTACGTAATTCAAGGATAGGAAGCTAAGGGTAATTTGCGTTATCGAGTCAACGAAAGCATTAATGCGACCATGCCTCCGTATCCCAAAAGTTGAAGAGGTCAAAAGCCGTGTTATCAGTCCAAGTCAGCGCGTCATGCAAAGTCTCTACTTCATCCAGCATGCGTAACTGGCCTTTTGAGGCAAGATTCCCCGCCTGAGCCATCTCGCCTAGGACACCCTTGGCAGTCCAATACGTCGATTGGTCGTCTGGCTTCTCCTCGAAGCTCCCCGGCCATCTGGAGTTTACCGATATGGCGAGTGACAGTATTGTAAGGCCGGAGAAGAGATGCGAACTCTCCCAGAACCCGAACATGGCTAAAGAATATTGTATTAGCTCGTGGTGATTTTTAAAAGGGCTGCCTATGAGTAACTGAGGAATCGTAGAAAGAAGGATTCAACTGACCCAACTTCTCACACTGTTTTAAGTCAACTATGAGCAACAAATTGGTTCTTGCCGCTCGGAGACATAGGTTGGTCAGATATTTCAAGCTCTCTTGGTACGCATTTCCTGTGTCATTCATCAACAGGTAGTTGATCTGTTTCAAGAAAAATGGCCGCAGCAGGAGGACGAAACACTTGTACCATTAGTGATTCCTCTCATGGTCAAAAAGGGAGAGAGGGGTTCTGGAATATTTACCTGGTAGTATCTTTCATACAGTGATACGAGTGAGCGGCTTTTCATCTCTCGCATCTCTATCGGCATCCCGTTTTCGACATCAAACGATAATGCAGGAGGCATTTCTGCCCTTAAAGTCTCTAACTGTCGTATGATTGGCTCCGCCCGCTTCTGGTCATATACCATGCCGGTATCGCCCAGGCTTCTGACTGTCTGGCAAATGTCTGTATGTATAAAGGCAAGCTGGACCTGCGTTGTGAACGTCACTCCGCTGGAGAACTCATCGGCTGCCTCAGGTGGGAGCATCTGATCACTCGGATAGGCAAGCTCGACTTCGTCGCGACGGAAAATAGGTGGGAGACCCATTTCCGTACTCGTCATACGATCCAAGCAGTAGACGGTCCACCAAACGCGCTTCAAATGCTCGGATTCCACGGCAGAGAGTGATGATGATGAAGCTGGCTTGTGCAGGCGCAGAACATTTGAAAGCCGGGCAGACATTCCCGCGTATACGTAGGCAGACTTTTTGCGATTAAGACTGTACGAGTAAAATGTCTGAATAAAACAAGTTCCGGTCAATCGAGCCATCCATGAAGCCAATGCTGATTTGTTGCGAAAGTAAGGGAGAACAATACTTACAATTAAATTGAGAGCCATAATCTGGTCGATAGTCGGGTCCTCGTGACTGATCTTGAGAAGAGACATGGCTTGCTCAAAGAATTCGGTGCCGGGCGGGCGTCGTGAATCTACTAGGCTGTCTTCATCTTGCTCCGAGACGCGGCCCAGCCGGATTTCAGGAGGAGGCCCGACATTGTATGACTCCCCTAAAGCAAATACAACGAGCAAAGTGCATAGCCAGACCCTGTCCTTGGCTTGGGGAGAGTTTGGATTCCTGTAAGTTAAATCAAATCTTGTTCGAAAGCTTTTGCGAAGAAACCAATGCCAATCGTGGCCTAAGAATACGTCGAATTGATCCAACAATGCGCGGGCATACGGATATGGAGGCAATCTGAAAGAACATGGAGTGTCTTAACGTTGGTTAGTAACAACATCAATATGTGAGGTGAGAAGTTGAGGCGCCAACAAACCGGAGGTGTCAAATTTTAGCTGGACAAAGTCGTAAGGCGCCGCGGCTGGACTTTCACCGCCGGTATAAGGGTTTGACGGAGTGAGTTGTGAGAAGTCAGGGCCTGTATTATTCTGGCGTATCTGCTTCAGCCTGGCAAGGAATACCTCGGACGTGGAGTCCTCGACGAGTGGCAGCGGTGGTGGCAAGGCCTGACTGACGGTCCCACGAAGTGACTCCGATTCCGACGAGGGAGTTGCTTGCGGGAGCTGACTGCTTTGGCTGAGGGCTCTGGCTTCCAGATTGCGGATAAAGCGTTCAGACACGGTGACGTTGCGGTCCCGCATAGGATATGTGCATTCTTGGTTGGCTAGCTGGCAGTTCCGACATGGTAGCTCTGCAAATAGAGTGAGCAACGAATCACGCACGGTTGCAAACACGACAGCATCGTTGTTTCAACGCTTACCTCGGGTGCATTTCACCTTACGCTTATGGCATCGGTGGCAGGCTGTGCTGCTCCGGCCGGGTGGTGGCATCACGAAATGTAGCAGTAGGAATGGATGAACACAGGTATACTAGAGGGACTGCACATCGGCATCTCAACCTGGCTGGGATGCTAGTAGATGATGGACTTTAGGCTGTATGTAATGTGGAGGTCTCCGTCATATGCGGGATTTCCATGGTGGGCGGGCACAGAGTTGAGATTACAGCACCCTTATTAGCGACCGAGACAGCTGTTAGCTGCACGTTAGCTTCTAACACCGCCTCACAGTGCCCTACCCTAAAGCGAGAGTTTCCAAGTTCTATTGTATTAGATATCTAAAAAAAGCTATAAGATATAATATAATAGCTTAGGAATTCTACATTATATATAAAAATAGCTATATTTTAACATGATATACTGTTACGCTCAGTCTGGCCACAACAAGGCTGGCGCCATTGATAGTATGTACCAAGTTAACTGTAGTATTGCCGGGTTCTGGGAAGCTGTAGCTGAAACCTAAGTTTACGATACCTTCACTCCCGTATTCCCGTATGAGGTACTATGATTCTGAAGGCTGAGATTCCTCTATCTACTAGCTATTTCCAGTCCTTTTATAGTGGGCTTTGTATAGCCCCTGTTCGTAGCATAATAGATATTGTGAAAGTTAGGTAGATACAATAGATTTCAATCTCAACATCAAGGGCCCCTTTTCCCATAGATTGTAGATCTTTTGGCTTTCCATCCACTGATTGCATTCTGGAGCTAGAGTCATGTCAAAGTTCCAGATCATACGGCATAGAATGACCTTCATTTCGACATACGCCAGGCTGCCTGCTATGTTAGTCTCGATTGGTTATATATAAAAAACGTCAACTGGAAAAGAAGCATAAATATCACTAACTTTCTCCCTAAGCATCCTCTCGGCCCAGTGTGGAAAGGCTGTAGAGCTTCACGATGATCGGACTCAAACTCGGGATCTCCTAAGAAACGCTCTGGATGAAACTCAAAGGGCTTCGTAAAGTTTTTCCCACTGTGGTATACCGCCCAATGATGGATCGCCACGGTCGTCTTAATGACAAATGGGTTAGCATCGCGTCCACAACGGTACAATTGCTTACTTGATTGAGGGGAAGCCAAGTTCCTTACGTCCTGTGGGACAAAGTGTCTGGATACGGTAGCGCCGGTTTTTGGAGTTACTCGAGGAGTTCCCACAGGCGCGGGAGGGTATATCCTCAGACCTTCTTCGATACAGGCCATGAGATAAGTCAATCTATTGACCGAGATAAAGTCGATATCTTCCTCACAATCAAAGCTCGAGCGAATCTCTTGAGCGAGGCGGTCCAACGATTTAGGGTTCTTCGCTAGAAGATACGTGATGCCTGACAGAGCTGTAGCCGTTGATTCCGACCCTGCCACGATGAGTACACTGGCGTTTCTCTCAATATTCGCGACCGGCATGCTCTTCAACCTTTAGTTTAGCTAGATTTTTCCTTAGGAAAACCCCTTTGTGACGGCGTGCACATGAGAGGGGAGGAACAATGCTCACCCATTCGTCCTTCTTCTTTAAAAGGCCTTCGATGAGATCAGGCCGCTCCTCGTCTTTGCCAATTTCAATCCTCCTCAAGACTTTCTGCCTTGTCATTTCCCTGTGCGCGTCTTGCCGCGATCGAGCCGCCGGGGACGTTAAAATGCGGACAAGGAGGGCACGCAACCACGGAAAGCAAGTGGCTTGCTGAACCATAGTGGCCACTTTGATCACGGAAAATATGTTTCGCACCCATGGATTGTACTCGGATTTCTCAAGGCATCCGAAAGGTTCTCCAAAAGCCAAGTCTCCAATAATGTCAAAGGTGGTAAAGTTGTACCAGGAAGCCAAGTCCACGTCACCGAACTTGCAGCGCTCATGCAATCGCAAAATTAACAGGTCTACGTACCTCATGATGATGGGCTGCTGGCATCGCAAGCTCTTCTCGCTGAAGCCAGTCGCTAATTGCCTTCTAAGCATGGCGTGCTCTGGCCCGACTGCGTTGATGATGTTGGAAGCTGCATTTGTAGGGTTGTAGAAGAAGCGAGGCTTGATGAATTCCGGACGGCCTTGAGTGCGGTGTCCCATGATATCTTTCCAGGCCTTTTCGTCGAGAAACGCCAGCTCGTTAGGTGCGACTCGAACGACATCACCGTACTGGTTGTGCAGATCGAGCATTTCGAAAGGCAGGGTGCCGGTGATAACTTTGTAGGCCAAGGGCAATCGTGTAGCCCTCATGAATAGAGGACCCGGGAATTTTCGCAGCGGATGCAAGAAGACATTGTAAACAATTGTCCCCAAAAGGTAGAGAGCCGTCTAAGAAGATGGAGTCAGCCTCGTCAGGTTTGCTCATATATGCCCCCTTTGCTGACCTTCAGCAAAGGCGAATCAGGCTAGGTGACACGTACCAGAGCAAATGCAGCAATACTGGCGACAAGGAACCCTTTGCTAGATAGCATACTTATGAACAAGGCGGAATGAAGAGTCTATCTGACAAGGATGAAAAGGATTGTTCCAGATGCGCCCTGGCTCTGTGTAAGCCACTGTCATCCAGACTGCCCTAGATTTCCGGCCGGTCGCTGTTATATGTCGTAAAAAGTCCGTGGTTTTGATATCATCCATCATTTGACATGGCCGCGTCACCTGCTGAATGCCGACCTGGAAGAAACGATGCATACACATGGATGAATCTGATCCCAAAAGCTTAGTAGATGCCGTAATTGGAGTCCTCGTTCTCGGCATCAAATTAGGAGGCCTAGCTTGATTGCAATACAAGTGATCTACATGAATATATTGTGGTTTACTGGGGTGACGATTAAGATGGGGTCTTTTCGGCACTCTCATGACATCTCGTCCTCGTTCTCGTTCTCGTCGTCGCCAATTTTGGTGCACAAGCGCAATTCCAATACTAAATCGGCCAGGGGATGAAAGCCGTGTCATCGCTTGATGGGTAGCACTCAGCCTCCGACGCTACGTGGCAAGATTATTGCATTTGCTCGTAACCTCGTCACGTAAAAACCAGCTGGAAGGGATAACGACGGAGTTTTGTACCGCCCGGGAGAGTCACGAGTAGTGTCATGGTATGCTGCCTGTTGGCGTAAAATTGAGTGGTTTAACGTGCTGGGGAAAAGTCCTAAACTCTTGAGGAACTCACATCCGCCCATTTAATATAGCTTTGTCCGCGTCTGGGATTGGCAGACATATTCCATCGCATGTAATGGTTGAATCACTTGCCCAGTATAAGCACTTCATGCAACATGGCAACAAAGGAAACCAAATCGCCAGACTTGGAGCAAGGAGCCCCGGATTTGGAGCAGCAGCTCCCCGAGACAAAGCCATCGGATGAAGCACAATGCTCTGGCACGGACGTTGAAGACCCGTACTTGGTGCAATGGGACGGACGGGATGATCCAGAGAACCCGATGAATTGGCCAAACTCCTGGAAGTGCATCAACATTGGCATCATGTCACTACTCACCCTCATTTCGTACGTCATACCCTGATTCCTTGCGTTGACCTAGCTAACTTCTCAGCCCGCTGGTATGTGTTCAAGGATATAAATTCTCTAATTTTCTTCTATACATTCTCTATAAAAATGCTCACTCTGCTAGGCATCTTCAATGTTTGCGCCTGGAGTTCCGCAGTTGATGGACGACTTCAACACCACCTCCAACCAGCTGTCAACTTTTGTCGTCTCCATCTACATGTTCGGCTATGCCTTTGGTCCGCTCATATTTGCACCGCTGAGTGAAATCTACGGACGATTGAACCTCTACAAGGTTGGGAATGCTTTTTTCGTCATTTTCTGTATCGGTGCTGCCCTGAGCACTAGCATTGAAATGCTGATGGTCTTCCGCTTCTTGATGGGCGTCGTTGGGTCCATTCCTACGACCATTGGTGTCGGCAGTATCGTGGACACGGTGACACTTGAGTTTAGAGGAAGAGCCGTATCTCTATGGGCTATGGGACCGCTTCTCGGGCCAAGTATCGGACCAACTGCTGGTGGCTACCTGATCCAGGCTGCTGGGTGGCGCTGGGTCTATTGGGTTCTGGCTATTTTGGTAAGTGAAGTTCAACTTGTCCTCGCTCTCGTTGGGTAGGAAACTGAATCCTATAGGGAGGTTCCTTGAGTATCCTACTATTTTTCATGCGCGAATCATATGCCCCTGTTATTCTCCAGCGCAAAGCAAAGCGTCTACGGAAACAGACTGGGAACCCCGACCTTAGGTGCGAGTTGAACACTGGTAGTCTTGAGTCTGTGAAGCTCGCGGCTGTGCGGCCCCTGAAGTTCTTGTTTACCACTCCAGTCGTCCTTTGCATTGCTCTGTACGTCGGGATATCAAACGGAATCCTTGGTTTACTGATCGCGACCTTCTCATTCGTCTACGCTGATCAGTACAATTTCAAGGAAGGCGAAGCAGGCCTGTCATTTTTGCCTGCTGGCTTGGGGATGATGGTTGGAGTCCTAAGTTTTGGTCACATATCAGACTTACTCGCGCGCCGCTGGAAGAGAAAGCAGGAACCTGAGAGCAAATACCGGCCCGAGGTCAAGATTATCCCCTGGCTGACAGTACCCACGGGCCTCGCGCTACCTATTGGGCTGTGTGTGTATGGGTGGACTACCCAGGAGCAAGTGCATTGGGTTGTGCCCATGATCGGTGTTTTCATCTTCTCGACGGGACTACTTGGAACAACGGTACGTGTGAATGACCAAACAAAGTATTGCGCCTGATTGACAAAGTGAAAGATGACGCTGCAAAATTATCTCATTGACTCATATCCACACTATGCTGCCTCGGGCTCTGCCGCCACGACAGTTGTTAGGTCTTTGATCGGGGCTCTGTTGCCACTGAGTGGGCTGAGCTTATATGAAAGTCTCGGCCTTGGCTGGGGAAACTCTCTCCTGGGCTTTGTATCCTTGGCACTGATTCCAATTCCACTTATTCTGTACTATTTTGGCGAGAGGATTCGTCGACAGTCACCATTTTTTACACCCCCGCCCCTAGCAGTGAATTAGAGACAGGCTACGACAATGGAGAAGGTTAGCCTATGCGTCATGATTGGGCAGGTTGGTGTTAAAATAAAGTGTAGGGACTGTTAAGGGCTTTGTTTCGTCAGAATATAATGGTCATTGTTACGATTCGAGCTGGACGGGTGGCTGATAAGTGTCTAGCATTGGAAATAATTAAAGACTTTCGCATACTTCTCAGTTGGCCCTTTGACATTCTCTACCTCCCTGTAAATTTTGCTTAGTTTCCAGCTGACCCTGTCTGATACATTGAGAGACGAGCGGAGTTGCACATCTCCCTATTCCTGTGCAGCGAAGCAAGGCATTTTGGTCTGTTGGTGGGTGCTAGTCAGTGAAGACTACCGATCGTGATCAACAACAGCAATACTGTCCCTAAGAGCCAACAAGCCTCAAGTTTCATCATAATCTTTTCATTAATAGCTTCTAGCCTCAAATATTGCAATTTTAAATCTGAAAGCGGCGATGAGGGAAGACGAATCTTAAGTGGCAATGCTGATGCTTGCGCTTATCCAAAGGCTAGGAACAGCTGCACAACGGTCTAATTAAACGGTAAACATCAAGGTAGGGTCAAATAGATCAGTAAAGTGGAGAATGATTATTGCTATCAATCCAAGGCGCTACCTACGTTTATATCAAAGATTGCTTGAGACCCCTGCCTGTAAAGGGGGTGTTGTCCTTGCTTCACAGCACGAAATATACCTTCTACTTGCGTGAACTAAGATCTGATCAATAGTTTTCGTGAAGGTAGCTGTGGTAAACCAGTGGAGTTCTTTGCCACAAGGACGACAGAGCAAAGAAGGCGGAAAGCAGTAGACAGGCAGCGCCAGTACCGATATTGGCCCAGCCAAGGAAGGGATTGTGAGCACCACCGGGGGATCTGGTAGATATAATGACTGACTTCCTACCTCCGCTCTTCTGTGTTGGGAAGTCTAGATATGATCGAGCTTAGTCAGTTGTCAAGTCAAAGATAGAAGAGTACACTAACGAGAGAAGATTTCAAGGCGATATAGACCTTCCTCCATGATATCATGGTCGTTGTGCATTGCAAGCTTGGAGAATCTAGGTGAAGATGCCGTCCGCATCCATACCATGAAGGACTCATCCATTGATGGATCAAACATGTTACCCTTGTGATACCCTCTGGGGTACCGCTCTGCCCAACTTGGAGGTGGCACGACAGGGCTGTCTTTCCAGTTGACGGGCGAGGCCGTGACATTGTAGGTACTGGGTTTGTAAAGAGACCTGTCATGTCTCGAGACGATGCCATCTTTAGACATATTGTAAGGGACAACTTCTCTCGTTCCGGAATTGATGCGCTGTGGATATCCAAATGTATCGTTGAAGTACGATGCTGCAATGAGACCACAGGGGTATATGGGCTTTTCTTCATCTTCATTTCCGGACTTGAAAACAGCGACGTCCTTGCAAGCTGAACCTTTGACCAACTCGAGACTAGTGCTTTCCCCCTTCAGTTGTTTATCATGCCGTGAAGTTCCATAATTGCGATGGTTTTGGTGAAAGTTGACAAGATGGTAATAAAAGAGAACCGGTGGCTTTAGGTCTGCTGGTAGGTGGAATTCGATGGTACAGAGGGTGTAGTTCTTGGTGATGCCATCAAATGTAAGGGTGCCATTTGCTCGTTTCCAGCGGTTTAGGGATTGTCCCACCAATTTCCCTGGCATGTAGTCCGCGATAAGTCGATCTGGCATCGGTTCTAGCTGGTTGTAAGACTCGATCTCGTGACATGTTGTGTAGTCAAGTTGGATGCTTCTGCTCTTCAAAATGTTTACAAAGTTAGCATAGACGTCCGTGTAAAGTGATATGGGGTCAAACCTTGGAATTAACGACCATCCAGAAAGCACCGAAGGACGAAAGGATGATGCCGAGCACCAGAAAGATAAGACTGGATGTTTTGGGACTGTAAATTGGCCTATTAATCACTAGTAAGCTATCATTGTGATTTGTGATCTGTAATGCAGTACTGACTCCCAAGCTTTCATGCGTTGCTGGTTGTAGGCTGTTTCTTTCGGTCTCCTGGATCGAACCTGATTTCCTTCCCTTGTTTTACGTTTCCACCAAGTCAGGCTCACCATGACGCAAAGAATCGGAGCAACGAGGCCGTAGGCTTTTGTATCGAGGTTAATTTTGAAGAAGAGTGACGTGTGTTACGTTCTTAAGAGTTGGCTTAGTTTAGTTCTCAGGCAGATAAAACCTTTGAAAGAATTGGCTGAAACATATCAAAGAGAAACAGTTTGCAGTCTGGATAGGATGATGAGCCATACAAGGGGATCGACTGGCGATGTCGTGCTGTATGTTATCAATACCATTCATTGGCTCCGGGTTGACTCCAAACCCCTGACGGCCAGCCGCGTAATTCCATCCGCTCAGCCATCTCACACATATCAAATCTTGTCGATCGGCATAACAGAGATTAGGTTGGGTACAACTGCCGGCATGATCGTCATTTGCCCAGGATAATGCGTCTCATCACAAAACCCTTGGGTGGATCCTACGGGGAAGGGGCGGTGCTTTTTTAAACCTGCGACTTTGTGACCCCATGTGCGCTAGTATGATGAGAACGACGACGAGAACGATGACGAGAACGAGCTGCTGAACATGTGCTGCTGAATTCTGACGAACCACTGCGGTGATCCTGTTGCGGTTACAGGCCCGTTTTTGTGCTGTAGATATCGTATTCAGATCGCTGTTGACGCACGCGCATGACGACAGTCAGAGCGTAGCTGAAACTGCACCGCATGCAAAGCCGTCTAACAGAATTATGGACTCGGATACGCAACACCATAGAAGTACATAGATCAACATCGTTCGGCTTTGATCGAGCCTTGTCAGTCAGTCTCTGTCAGTCAGATTTTGTCCTCCTTCGTACCACAATCTACAGCACATAACTCTGGCTATCTGTGTCTGCAGGGGCAAAGCTCTTGCTGCCTCTTCTTTTGCGCAATATGGTTTTCGCATCAATGTGGGACAATTACTTTGTTCAACTTGTTTTGCGGCAAAACCCAGTTGCGCCGACCAAAGATGGCCGTCAAATACCATTGTATCTTGGCTCCGTTGAGCCAGACGCTCTAGTGGACGAAAGACATGGACGCCCTTACATCTCGAATGCGATTAGAACGACAACGTATACCATCTGGGACTTTTTGCCACGTCAGCTGGTTTATCAATTCACCCGTTTAGCCAACAGCTATCTCTTGGTTGTGGCCATCCTGCAAGCCATTCCTGGTCTCAGCACTACAGGCAGCTTCACCACTCTGATCCCGCTGGTCATCTTCGTCGCCATGATCATCACCAAGGAGGGCTATTATGACTGGAAGCGGCATCGACAAGACGTGGCCGAAAATAACCGCCTCGCGACAGTCCTACGTAGATCAGCATCTCAAGGCCACGAGGCCAAGCTGGCATGGGTTGCTACAAAATGGCAAGACCTAAGGGTTGGAGAGGTCATCAAGCTCTCCAGTGACGATGAAGTACCGGCTGTTATTGTGCTATTGCATGCGACAGGCGACAGAGGGCTTGCATTCGTGGAGACTATGGCCCTGGATGGCGAAACAAACCTCAAAGCGAAGAGAACCCCAGCCAATCTCGGTGACTGCGGTACTATCGACAATATAGCACAACGCGAGGTCATGTTTAGCATCGAGGATCCAAACCCAGATCTGTATCGATTCGACAGCAAATTCACTCCGCAAGGCCGCACGCTGCCGCTGACTGTTAATGAGGCCATCTATCGAGGATCAGTAATCCGCAATACACCTAAAGTCATTGGCATCGTTGTCAACACAGGCGAGGAATGCAAGGTTCGCATGAACTCCAAGGTCAAAGCTGAAAGCAAAAAGCCAAGGCTTGAGCAGATGACGAACTTTATCGTCGCCACGCTCATCTTTTTCATCATCCTTCTTTCGAGCTTGGCCACGGTCGCGTATATACTCTGGAAAAGCCAGTCGGAAAGCAGGGCATGGTATTTGTTCGACTCTACGGTTCCCATGGTCCAGATTTTCTTTGGATTCGTCATCATGTTTAACAACGTCATTCCGTTGTCTCTGTATGTCGGCTTGGAGGGCATCAAAATCGGTCAGATGACAATGATCTACAACGATGTCCACCTGTATGACGAAAAGTCCGATACTCCTGCACGGGTCAATACTACCAACAACTTGGATGATCTCGGGCAGATCGGTTACCTATTCACGGATAAGACCGGCACTCTTACTGATAACATTATGAATCTTCACAAACTGAGTGTTGCAGGGGCCAGCTGGTTGCATCAAAACTGTCTCACCCCGGCCAAGAACTCATTACAATCCTTGAACGGCGACGCTGGAGAATTCACTACTCGAAATCTTGTAGAGTATGTGCACTCGGAGGCCCAAGGTCGTCTTGCAGCCCATGTCAAACAATTCCTCCTTGCTATAGCACTCTGTCATACCTGCCTCCCTGTGTCCGGCGAAAGCGGCGAGACTGAATTCCAAGCGTCATCACCAGATGAACTGGCACTTGTAAGAGCAGCACAGGAAATGGGATTTTCCGTCGTCGAGAGGTCATCTCAGTCAATCACAATTCACATCATTGATTCTCTCAGGAATATTGAGCGGCTTGAGTTCCAAATCCTCGATACCATTGAGTTCAGCAGCAAGCGTAAGCGAATGTCCATCATTCTGAGATGCCCAAACGGGACAATTTGGTTGGTTTGCAAGGGTGCTGACTCGGTCATCCTCCCCCGGCTCCCAATGGCTCCTCGCGATATGGTAGATGACTTGGCATTGAAGTCTTACCCATCCAGAGAGACCACCAAGCACTCCCCCATCATACGGGGCCATTGGGGATCCGCGCCGTCTGATCAGTCCGAAAGTCCTGCAAATGATCAAGATTCTGCAACCAGCGTACCCTTCGAAGACGATATGATCCCTTTGCGTGATAATATGAGACAAGCCGGCAGATCCGATGTATTCGACAACCAAAACCTTGATATCATTAATAGAACAGCCGTCGCTACCGAAGATGAGGAAACAAATTGTATCCGCCAGTCTTTTGGCCATATGAATCACTACGCTACCGAGGGACTACGCACACTCGTCTACGCAGGGCGGACAGTCTCAGAACACGAGTACCTAGCTTGGAAACGACTATACCACAATGCAGAAACAGATCTTCAGAACCGCCAAGAGCGCATGGAGGAGGTTGGCGAGATGATGGAGAGATCTCTTCATTTTCTTGGGATAACAGCCGTAGAGGATAAGCTCCAACAAGACGTTCCAGAGACGATCGAGAAACTTCGTCGGGCGGGGGTCAAGATTTGGATGTTGACGGGAGACAAGAAGGAAACAGCCATCAGTATCGCTCACTCGGCTCGGATCTGCGGCCCTGACACGTCGCTACACTTCTTGGACGTGGCAGCGGGAGATCTCGAGTTTCAGTTAAACAGCATTTCGGACCATATTTTGTATCGCGGAGATCCCTCATCACATTCCGCCGTGGTTGTCGATGGCGCTACACTGACAGCGATTGAAGAGGATCCAGACAGTCGAGTGCGCCACCTCTTTTACCAACTTGCTCCTAATATCGGGTCTGTTATCTGCTGCAGAGCTTCGCCTTCTCAGAAAGCACTTCTTCTGCGTATTATCGGCGATGATCCTCTGACCAAAATCGAGAGAGGCCGCTGGTCTTGCCTATGGTCTTGGCGGAAGTCACACCGACCTCTTACCTTGGCCATCGGCGATGGTGCCAACGATGTACCCATGATCTTAACTGCCAGCGTAGGCGTGGGTATATCTGGTCGCGAGGGCCAGCAAGCTGCCCGAGTCGCTGATTTCAGCATATCACAATTCCGTTTTCTAGCTCGCCTTATGCTTGTTCACGGTCGTTGGAACTACCATCGCACCACGCGCTTTATCCTGGTCACGTTCTGGAAGGAAGTTCTCTTTTACTTTCCTCAAGCCATTTTCCAAGGTGAAGCCGGATCAACCGGCACCAGCCTCTACCACTCGCAGGCCCTGATGTTTACCAGTTACTTGACGGCGGCAGCAATACTCGTCATAGGCATGTACGAGCAAGATCTGAAGGCAAACACGCTTCTGGCCATTCCTCAACTGTACGCTTATGGGCAGAACGGGGAGGGTCTGACATCACTTGTCTATCTTGGTTGGATGAGCAATGCTCTGACTGCTGGTTTCATCATCTTCGCTGTGTGTTGGGCTGCCTATAGTGGAGGCGTCCCAGCAGTCTACGACAATGGACTGTACGCTCAAGGCACCCTAGTTTTTGCATGCTGTATGATCTGGACCAACTACAAAGTCTTGTAAGAACTCCCTGCCCCCCGTAACAGTTTTCATCTCATCCATGGCTCGTCTGACAATGCGTGAACCCCAGGATGCTTGAGATGCACCACAAGACGAAAATAGCCCTCTGGTCTGCCTTTGTCAGTATTCTGGCCGTGTGGTTGTATATAGTCGTTACAGGGCTCGTATCTGGGTATGAATCAGGCCCATATGCTATCACTGGGGGTATCATTGAAGGGTTTGGGCGCGATCCGTCATGGTGGCTTGCGCTTCTGTATACCTTGGGCCTTCTAACTGCTGCTGAATCGGCACACAAATCTTTCAGTCAGAATGCAATGGTACGGGCGTTTGTCGGACGTTGTTGCTCTTGGTTTGGGGTCGCTAGCGACTCTAGAAATGGTGTTCGTGAAGGCTTCAAAGCCTGGGATACTCGCCTGTGGCAGGAGATGGAGAAGGATGAAGGTGTCAGGGCTCACTTGCGGTGTCTGGACATGACACGGAAGAATCATCTTGCAAGTTAACATCCTCAAGCGTTTTCTATGCCGTGTTTTGTCGCGAAAGCCATGGAAATAATTAAACCATACTGGGTGGCAGCTCATCCAAATAATGTTAATTTATGTAATAGTCTGAATTTTTCAAATACATCGCCCGTAAACTTATATAGCGTTTTTGTAATTTATATCAAATATTAGTCGCTTACAATACAAAAGGGCAGCCACAGAGATATCAGGCTACTTTATATGTTCAAGGACGCTTCGTGTCCTGTGTCGTCGTTTGGTGTCTGGACCAGTCATTCACCCCATTATTATGGTCTCGCTGCTGCAGCGGAATAGATGTACAATTCTTGTCATGACTAATCTTACATACTATACAGCATACAGCAAAACGACGTGTCGTTATGAACAACTGATAGATACTCTTCGCTTAGTGGTACATGCTCATAGGCCACTCTAGCATGTCGTAATACGGCGTATCATGGAGCTGCTCTTGTATTTCCACCAGCAGACTTCCCGACCATTTTCTAAGAAACCAACATGGCTCCTCACCGTGGAATAATACTACGCTATAGTATGCAAGGATAACCAGAGCGAACGGATGCCGACGTTGCAGTAGTTCAAGATAACTTGGATCTAAGCGCAACGGCCATAGAAGAGCTGTTCTGAGCTCTGCCGAAGTGGCCGATCTTTGATTAGACCCTTCTGCAATGGCATCAATAAGAGCGACAGTAGCTTTAACGACATGGGGTGAAACTGGATCGTATAAGTCCCCTAGCGGATCGGATATTTTTTCTTTCAATTGTGTCAATTGAATTGACACCTCTTGAAGACGATCTGGCACCTGTCCGTGGCTTGTTGGCTTATTAAATATCCCTTTGAGCGGGCCGGCCCTTAAATCCTTATCTGACGATGCAAGAATGGCCCCCATGCCTGATATAAGGGTGAAAATCTCTCTCAGACTGTCGATCGGGTTAAAATGGGCGCTATGTACTTCGGCACAGGGTAATGTTGCAAAAGCGCAGATTATAAGAAAGATTGAGGTGGCATATACGCCATGGCAATTCTCTTGTGTAAGTTCAGTGTCCAGGATGGACGTGATCTTCTTGAATGCCAGGTCCTGATGCTGGTACGCACAAACCAGATATCTTTGCTGGCCAACGGGATTAAGAAAGGCGAGATGCAGTGCTGAGAATGCATGGAGTGAATGAAGTAGTGAAGGCTCGGAAAAGGCTTGACGTGGTATGTCATACTGTAAAGCCTCTTTGACACTTGTCGAGAAGGATAGCGTTTGATATGCCTTGGCAGTATAGTGATGCATAAGCTCGAGGTCTGTCACGACGTCAGGCGGAATGCAGGCGCTTCCGCCAAGAGGCTTAAAGCGTCGAAAGATCCTCTGGAATTGGGGAGGAGATGGATCATGAAATTGGGGAGAGGGAGAGTCAAAGAGTTGGGGAGAAGATGAGGCATGTGCCGTGGAAGAAGGTTGACTGTAGGCCTGTGATGTCGATGTGGAGGGCGCCAAATTGACAACAACAGGAGATGGAGCATCAATTTGTAATATCTTCAAGGATTTAAGCGAGCGTTCCGGTGCCTGTTTTTGTATTGCACCTTTTGTTGCTGAGGGTAGGGTGAGACTGCAGGTCAAGCCGTGTCTTGCACATGCAGCACAAGGCACTCCTTCGTCACACTAAGGTCGATGGCTAATCAGCACAGTCCTTAAAACAGAGTATACTACTTCTCCGCCTGAAGTCATCTCACCTTGACACGTCTCTGCCTGCATAGCTGACATCCATTTCGAGACTTTTTGAAGCCGAGACGTTTCATGTCGAATGTATGTCTCTTTATTCCCTTTTCGAAGCTCTACAGAAACTTCAAATATACACCCTACTAGAGTCATCTGCTCCTAATGCAGGGACTGTTGAAGGTATGCTCAATGAAGCCTCGAGTCGAAATGGCCAGAGATACCGGAACTGTTGCTTCTATTGCGGAGATTCCGTAATAAAACCCTTGAAGAGGAGAGGTTCAAGACTCTTGGCGCCGTCGTGGCTTGGTGCAACGTACCCAGCTAAGCCACACTATGCCGGCAACGAGAACGAGAACGAAGTGCATGGAGCCAATATTGAAAAGCGGAGAAGTTGTCTCCTAGATGCCACAAGCGCGTCAAGGTTTCATTCTAATCTCTGGTGAGCCTAGCAGTTTCATGCTGTTGCCCAGTCCAAATAACGAAGAAGCAGGGCCCCTAAACCCAAATAGACATGGCCAGGGTTTCTACAATGCCGCATCGGTAGACGCTAGAGTTGTCTGCTTATCCCCCGGTCGTCTAGCTCAGCCGCACAGCCTAAGTGTTGTTACTGCTCTTGCCTTTACTTCACAACGTCCAAGGCACCTCATTGTGACCGGCTGGTCCCCTGAAAAGATAAAAAACAGATTTATCGACACCTTGAAGGCGACATACTCTGGCGTCGAATATGAAGCCTTGATCATGAACCTGTCGTCGATAGCGTCGGTACGCGCGGCTTCAGCCCAGCTCAATGACAACGCCAATGTTCCAGCCCACCCTACACTCACTTAACTACGATCTATGTCAATGATCTTCAACAATAAAACTGTACAATTAGACCCATAGATAGATCTTTTGCTTCTTTAATCAACTAAATTGCTCATCCTCGTACACCTGTTTCAACATATTAAGCCATAAATTGGATGTGAACTAGGGCATTAGGTCTTTTGCCCTCCATCCTGATGCCATCATCCCAGACATTCATCGACACGTAAGTCCGCGAGAGATTCATGAGGCGCTCGATCAAATTAAGGATCTCGGTTTGACAGCTTCGGTAAAGCCGCCCAATCAGGGGGTCAATTCCTTGATGGTCTATGCTGTAGATCCTAACTTGCCGGCTCAGGACTTTTCAGATGCTTAAGCCACCTCACGCGTTGGATAACGCGAGTCGGCCTTGCGCAATGTTAAATGCCCCCTGGCCATGCCATCTTTGACAATTTGGATTTGGAACAGATTTCGCAATTGGACCAGTCTTCCTAGTGTGTGATATGAATCTTTCGTAGTCGAGCGATAATGGCCAAGAGGGCGCCGCTGGCACCGCGTCACCAACTAAGAGAATGGAATCAGGCTGTGGGCCACAGGTTACGTAGAAAGAATGTCCAGGCTTCATTTCAACGTTTTGGAGACCCCAGATCCCCTTAATACCGAATTACAGCAGCAGAGCCCCGTGGCGCAGTGACGAGAACGAGAACGAAGTATGCCCTAGGCATGTCATGGAACAAAACAATGTTGTTATGGGCTATAAAGATCTGAAGGTTTTGCTTGCTGGTGATGAAAATCAACATCGACCTGTATTCGTGATTCGAGCAAATCAACAACATGCGTTTTGCCCTCACCCTTCTTCTGGCCTGCGAGACATTGGCAGCACGTCCATTTCTCACCGAGCCTAATACTGGGTAACATTTCCCCATGTTCAACTGCTAGAAAGAAAAGACCATAACTAATCTTTACTCAGTATTGACGTCGCGTTGAACATTCCACAGAATGGCTCGCTCCCCAGCATTGATCGCATGCTTGGCCTACCTGATTTCGACTACCTCGCGAGATCGAGACTGAATCCTGCAGAATACGCATACATCGCCCATGGGGCTGGTAGCGAAGCGTCTTTTCGAAACAACCTGGAAGCTTTTAATAATTTTCGATTCAGACCTCGTGTCATGGTTAATATTACCAACATTGATGCGAGCTTAAAGTTTGTCGCTACTTCAACAATTTCTTTCGCGTGGCTTACCTTGATTGTAGGACATCCATCTTGGGCCACGAGTTTGACGAGCCTTTCTTCATCAGCCCTTTTGCCCAGGCAGGCATTGCAAATAAGGTCGCAGAGGGAGGCCTTGTAAATGGAGCAAGTAAACACAACCTGCTCTACATTGTAAGATCGAAGAAATACCGCTTGCACACGCTCCGAGCCAACTAATGATTTTTCAGTCATCTCAAACGACTACGCTTCCACTGGAGGAGATAGCAGCTCTAAAAGAGGAAGGCCAAGTCATTTGGCAGCAGGTATGGGCCGAGAATCAGGTCTTGAGCACGGAAATTAACAAGAACACAGGTCTCGCTATCGACTCTCAATGATGAACCACCCATCGAGCTTTTCGCAAGAATCAAGAGCGCTGGAATGAAAGCTATTGTCCTCACCGTTGATTCAGCGGGAGATCGTACCGCGTACAGGCCTCTTAGATACTTACCTGACACTAGCATCAGCCGCGATCCGCGCTATACTTTCATGACTTGGGACTTCTACAAAGAACTCCAGTCGCTGACGACGCTTCCAATCATCCCAAAAGGTATACAGACCGTGGAAGACGCTCGTAGAGCTATCGAGATTGGTGCCCCTGCGATATTCCTGTCGAATCACGGAGGACGATCCCTTGATGGATCGCCCTCGGCCCTAGAAATCGCATGGGAAATTCACGAGAACGATCCCGACATCTTCAGTGAGATTGAAGTCTATGCTGATGGAGGTGTTCGGTATGGGACGGATGTCTTGAAATTGCTTGCTCTCGGGGTCAGAGCAGTTGGCGTGGGGCGTCCTTTCATGTACGCGAACATGTATGGCTCCGAGGGAGTGTCTCGTGCAATCACTCTTTTAGAGAAGGAAGTGACGAGTGCCGGGGCAAATCTTGGGCTCGTGAGCCTGAAAGATATTGATGCATCCTATGTAAGTGCTTTCTGGGACCTGGTATGAGTTCGCTACTAACCGTGTCCAGATCAAGCAGACTTCAACACGATGGAACAACTAACAGTCCTTAAATTGATACGATGGATGGAAAATGTTTATGTCCCCAGCGCAAAAGACAGCGGTATTGCTTGAAACTCTCAGACCAGCCCCTTATAAGGACAAGTATGTGTAATATCAAGATTCTATTATTCTATTCAAACGCTAGATCATTATTCCTCTCTCATGTGCTCTGCCAACTCCCTCTTGACCTTGGACATGCTCTCAGGCCACCATCTCTCCCCCGCGTCCATCGACACGTCCGCCCACTCATACGTCCGCATAAACGATACAACCCTCTCAAGCTCCCATTCGCCAGTCCCGCCTATCCACCACACGCCGTCTAAAAGTACCATGAACACAAGCCAGTGCGCAAATACATCCATTGCCAGCTTGTGGACTGCACTGGGTGGAAACTGCTCCTGCTCAATCCGTATCTGAGGCTCACTATAACTGGGCTCGATAGGCATCAGATCCAGAATGGACTGCACAAAATGCAGGTACTCAATGGGAATCCTGTTCAGAAACGCCGTGATCGTCCTCCGAAGCGACTTTGTTGGCGTTGAAGATGTCACCCTGGCCGAGTACGTCCTCAGCCAAGGGGAGACATGCCGCAACCGGCCCAGGGGCGGCGGAACCTGCGCTCCAGCCATAGGACCGAGAAACTGGGGATCAGGAGAACTGCCGTCGATAGTGCAGTAGACGGTATCGGCGACGTCCTGCAAGATTTCCAGCGCAGCAAGCGTGGCATCTAAGTCTGCCTGGCAACTGGTGTACGACTGCTGCTGCCAGATGTAGAGTCCGTCAGTTTCCGAGACGGATAGCCCTTCTGAGAGGTCTGATGGGCAGATGGCCATGGCTTTGGCTTGCAACTTTGCCAATGCCGATCTATACGTGTTTGCAATAATCGGATACAGCAGCCGCCTCGTCCCCTCCGACGGCCCATCCTCAGGAACATACTCGTCGACCGAGGTGCAGAGAGAAGCCATAAGCGGCCGCTGCTCCTGTATCTCCGTTGGCGTGCCCAGATGCGACGCTGACTCAACCTCGACCGGATCACTGGGACTGTTCATCAGCCCGCTGTAAGCCGCGTGGGCCGCCCGGATGAGGGAGATCCACTGCGACTGGGCGGGCAGCAGCATCTCCGGCAGCGTTACACCGCATAGCTTGGCCGTCCTCGCGAGATGGACCCGGACGGCGTGGTCGGCGGAGCAGTACAGCACCATCAGGGGCGCGTTGGCGAGGACGTACTCGTACTGGGCGGGGCTCTGCATGGTGACCTGGATCTGGCGGAGGGATGCTTTGTGGTGGTCGCCTGCGAACTCGAGGAGCTCGCAGATGTCGGCGAGGGTCTTTGGGTGGCCGATGTCACCCTTGACCAAGCCGTGGCATTTGCTGACGGCGGATAGCGCCAGGAGAGACGACATGACGGGTTTGCTTTGAAATGCGAGATTCGGGATGCCGATTTGCAGGGCGTAGCGGTCGACCGAGTCGATTGGGATTATCCGGCTGGTGTGAGTTAGGTAGTGACTTAGCAGGGCCAATTCGGTTGCATCGAGGATTTGTGGTGATCCGAACAGTTCGGCTCTTGGTTGAATATCCACGTATGCAGGAGAGGGAGACACGGAGACATTCGACACTGAACGCTGGCTGCTGATGTCAGAGCACGTGTCGGTCGGGATGGTGAGGTGTGCCAGTCGCGGATCGATGTTGTCGATGCTGCTACGCTTCTTTCTTGTTGAGGAGCTTCGTCCTTGGGAGTCGTCCTTGGCGTACTCGCAGGTGTAACCCCGAATGTCGCATCTTGAGCATCGCGGTTTGGCCTCATCACACTGTACACAACTACCGTTAGTCATTATCCGATTCGGGGCATGGCCTCGGGACATGTTACCTTCTTCCGCTGTTTTTTACACCTCACACACCCATTTCGCGATTTCTCATGCGCTCTCCGCGGCTTAAAGGCCGGAGTACCGGTTTGCACATCGGGAGAGTGAGCGTCTTGGGGACTGCTATGGAGAGTCATTGTTCCGTGAATCCGCGTCTGCGTCGTGAAGATCATGCACATTATGATCGCCAGGGACAAATCTGCAGCAGCATCGGCATATTTTAGCTCAAAGGGCATTTGATAAGCAGTGCTTTCGATGTCTCTGAGTGACGCAATGCCGACTCCAGCCCCAAGCTAAGTGCCGGCTCAGCCTCGACCGGGGCCAGAAGTCGGGCAATGCTGAGCAAGCTTACACCACTACGCTTTTCTCTTTGCAGTAATAGGGTTGACTTTACCGTGCTACGGGTATTGGATAGGCTATTCATTTAAGGATGAGATAATATGGGCCCCTGCTTCTTTCGACTCGCCGGCGGCACTGTGAGCCTCATGTGGCCACGGCATGTCAGACTTCTAAATCGAAGACGCCTGATTTGGGTCATGTCCCTTCCGAGACTCCCGCGCGGCATCCACCTGCAGGCCTCACGCCTCAGTTAAATGAGCCAAAGTACCGAAATTGATGACAGTCTTCCATGCTTTCTTCCTCTCTTCTGCCGCTACTTTGAGCAAATGGCGGCTAAAAAAGTTCCAGAAGCTCAAGTGGGACTAGCTCACCGCTGGCTCCACTCTAGATACCCTATACCCGAGCACAGCCCAAATGAAAGGAAGTGATCATTTCGATTATACTGAGTTCAATGGTGACTGGGCTATGAAATGCTAATTGTATTTGTAATAAACCTAAATCTAATGCCAGGCAAGTTAAGAAAAGGATGCTTGTCTAATCACATCAAGTACGTGGTTAAGAAGACTTAATTCATGTGCAGCCCTACTGCGTCGATCGTGGATCCTCTAAGCAGGGGTTTAATATCAATCGCAATACTGGTTTCCCACGATTAGCCATCATGAACACAGCCTCCTTACAATACCCGGCTGAGGTGAGCTTTCGGAGGCAGCCAATATGACAAGCATTCAACAGGCCATGCTCGGTATTATCGGGCTTATTGTATCAAACACGTCATTGTAAAGTGGTTATAAAATGAAATCAGTTGTTGCGTAGCTCGCTGAACCGAAGTTTCAAAAGAAGGAATGGTCCCTAGTTTCACCGAAGCTCGCTAACTCGATTGGGTGATCGTGCTTCTTGTTGATGGGGTGTACGATGGCTAGAGTTTTCTGGCCGTATGACTCCTTGGGTGTACGAGGAAAGGCTATATTTTTAAGCTTTTCGTATTCACTGCGTTGAGTTGTTCTGGCCCTGGCAGCTTCATTGTTGTTAAAGTTTATCATTCGTATTCTCCCACGCGTTGATGGGGTGTTTACTGAACGATGTGAGTGGATCAAGGTCATTCAGTGATGTTGGACTGGTACTCGAGCAAATGGAACTAACTCACATTGTAAAATGTAGCACGGCCACGGAGCCTGATGCGCTTCCAAGTGCAACAGTATCTCCCCTAACACATGCCGAGACTCCTCGGTATTGCGGTGGCAACCAGAGCAGTCTTTTGGAATCCAGCGTGATCCATACCCCATCCGCGCTGAAGCCGTAGTCCGTAGGTTTGACATAACCTTTTTTGTCAATAGTCCAAGAACCGGCATTTGTATGAAAACAGTTCTCATCCAATGTATCAAAAGAGACACTGGTGATTATGCCACCAGTACGCCTCCATCGATAGGTATGGGTCTCTAGGTCGAATGTGTTTATGCGTGATGATTCGCAGAAGACAAGCCACCTCCTATTGATGGCCAATTTCCAATCATGGCCAGAAAATACCCCCCTTTCCGCAAACTGGAGTTCACAAAGCCTCCTAGGTGGCAACTTGTTTACCTTCCAAACATGAAGTTCTTGGTCTGAGACCATGGCGAAATGTGTTGAATCTCGAGACAGGGCTATGAAAGGTGCTTGACTCATGTTGTGTTCGATACTCCACAGCTCTTCACCGGTTGAAATCTTGTAAGCACGAGCCAGGCTGTCCGAAACCAAGACCAATATTTGACTGTCCGATGAATATGCGTGAGTCAAGATCAGATCATAAAACGATGAAATCTGAGTGGGGAGTGGGAACTGAAAATGTTGCACCATTCCCTTCGTTTTAAGATCCACTAATCGGGTCGCACCATATTTGTATAGAGAAATAAGTCGGCCGTTGGGCGAGAAGCCACCCAGGATTTGGTAGTAGTCATTCTTTTTGTCGTCATTGAAACTGAAAGCCTGGGGAGGCTCTAGACTTGTCATATCCCATATCGTCGATAAATATGAGTTATTGTCGCCCTGGTGTTTCAGAACGAGCCAGCGACTGTCGGGGGAGAATTGAAACACACTGGATTGCAGAGGAGCGAACCGCGGCGTCAAGGACCATACGCATGCAAGGCTTGGAATATCCCATATCTTAACTCTCCTATCATCCGCAGCAGAGGCCAGCCATTTGCCGTTGGGGGAGAACTCGACTGCCCTAACCTGACCGGAGTGACTTTGAGAATCTTTTGCCATGAAGCTTTCATCCCTGGGCGCGTTCCGGGCAACTTGTCGGGGCGTTTGCGACATCTTGACAACCCTTGTGATGTCCCACAAACGTATGGTTTTGTCCCATGAGTCCGAGGCAAGTATGCCCTTTTCTGGTGAAAATGATAATGATGTCACCGGTCCTGTATGACCGAGGAGTCTTTTGACACAATTGCAAGCTTGATCCCATATCTTAACAACGCCACTAAACGAGGCAGAGGCAAATAACAGTCCAGGTAGATCAAGCGACGCAATGGCACGTACCGTACTAGTCCCCCTCAGCGACTGTTGAAAGTGTCCAACCTTCTCTAGGTCCCATATTAGAATCTCAGAAGACTTTGCCGTGGCTAGTTTCGATCCCGGTAGAAATACCACTCCCCCATCACAATAACCGGTAGAGAAGAGGTATCGGCCGCTCACTAGGTCCCAGACCGTTGCGTGTTCTCTCGTAACAGCCAATTGATTCCCATCTGCAGAATACGTAATTGAGGAAGCGGCTCCATCATCATCACCAACCAGTTTATGTACAAGGGCACCTGTCGCCAAATCCCATATTAGGACAGACCCCGTCTTCAAGCCGGCGGCTATTTGCGTTCCGTCAGGCGAAAAAGCAAGAGACCAAACTTCAAAGTTGTTACCTTCTTTGAAATATGTGTCGGTTAAAGACAATTGTATATCGGTCGGAGACAAATCTGAATCCAGCAGTGCAATCACTTCCCTAGGATCGTCTGATCGGACAGCGACCGCCACATGTCGTCCGTCAAAAGAGATAGCAACACTCTCAATGGAATGGCTTGTTGAGACCGAATGCTTGTAACCTTTTGACTTAAAATCCCATAACCTGAGGCCAAAGTGATTTCTAATAGGACCATGGCCGTAAATGAGATGCTGCCCATCGGTTGAGAGGGCGAATGACCGAAGCCTTTTGACCTCAAGAGTCGAAATGCAGAGCCCCCAGCTTTCTGATGGGTCTTGCGATGAGCTTTGCCTCAGAGTGACCCAAGGGTATATGCTACTCCCGTGCGAATTCCTGATCAAGCTTGATGTAGGGGCGAATAATAGGGCTGAGCCATATACCTGGAGGGGTGCGACATCCAGTGCCTCTCTGAAAGTGAGCCAAAACCTTCGCAAGTCTTCGGATAGGCCTTTCAACTCGTCCGAATTCTGCGATCCCATTAGTTGACATTCGAGTATCAAATCGTAATACGTACCGCGATGGATCCAAGCTTTTGTACGGCGCTGATGCCCTCTTTGGCGTACCCATGAAAGCAAAGAGCTTCTACCCAGTACAAGACCTTCGTTTTGAAGAATGTGCAGGTGAGATCATCATCTTGGGCCTTCCTTTCGTGGCTTGCTAGGTTCAAATGATCAACCCAGTGGAGGCAACAATACTCGATAGTGTAAAACGGACTGTTTTCGTTCCGGCTGATCTCATCGATAACCACTCCAGGTGAAGAACCCCCGTACATGTTCCGCTTGAGGGTCTGCATGGCTCTCATCGATTGCCTAAAAAGCTGCAGGTGGTGACCCTGGATGGTAGACTGAAAAACTCGACCCTCAGGCCCGACGAGAAAGTCTTGGGCGGATTGATGCACAAAATGAACATGGTTGCCCTGAGCGGACAAGAATGACCCACACTCCCCAATAAGTTCCTCTATTTGCTCATTCTTGAAAGATTTGAGTTCGGGGATAAGGGTAGGGAGTTCTCTGAATGATAGCGGGCGAGCGGCAATACACGCCGTGGCAAGAAGCTGTTTGCAGCGGGAAGAATTGATCGATGAGAGCACCTGCGTAATCATCCGCTTGTACAGTTCCTCCAGACCTGCTGGGATTGAATTTAGTATGTCTATCGTGTTCCAAGACCTAATTTGGGGCTTGGAAAGCTCCGCGCAGACCAAAGCTACCCACAGGAATGTGTCATTGGCTTTGTCGCGAAGGATGTCAAGCACGTGCGCCTTTGTCGTTATATTATAATCCTTTCTTTCGGCTAACTGCGCTACCTTGTCGTTGATAAACAACTTCACTGCATGAGACACAGAGTCCTTGTTTAGTTCCAGCGAGACTTTGACCTTTTCAGCCAACTTGAACTGTTCCTCTATCATCGGCCAGTTACGGCTGGATACGATCCATTTTGCCTCGAAAGACCTTGAAAAGTCAACGATCAGGCGAATTAGATCTCGCATTGTATGTTGGGAGCACTCGTCGAGAGCATCAATTACGAGAGTAACGGTAGAGCAACGGAGATCTTGCAGGATATTCGCCATGATCTCTTCCAGCGCAAACAAAGCCCCAGGGCCTTCAAATGCCTCCTTACCCTCCGTATCATATTTCTCTCGAACACGAGAGACTAGACGAGGCCACGATGTGCATAAGCGCCATATGAGGGTACGAAGCACTGCAGTGGCACATCTCAGCGAGTTGTCCTGAGTAGCTTCGCAGAAGAAGTATGAGACGGGCGCAAAGCTCTCCTTCTCTAGGTCGTCGATGATTCCACACAAAAGCATGGTTTTCCCCTTGCCCGGGTCCCCTTTCACCCAGAGCAACCTGTTGGTGCTGTCGTTTCTGAACCTCTGATATTCCGGATGCCTAAGAATCCACTCATATGCTCCCTTGAGAAGGCCACCTTTGGTCTTTTCAATTGTCTTTTTCTGGTACGAGGGATTGATGATTCTCAAGTCGACCAGACATTTCTTGTCGGTTTCATCTTGGTGGTATTGGTGAAAGGCTTCCGTTTGGTCTTTCACAGCAGTCTCCACAGCTTCCAGCTTCGAATCCCAGCCCTTCATCTTTTCGACAAAGCCTGTCCAGAGTTGCTCCGGTGGACACTGCTCAGGCAAGGCAGAAAGAGTCGATGTAAGAACTTCCGTGGAGACCTTGCTGCCTGACTCTTTTGTCGAATCTGAAGCTAATTGGACCTTCACCGTGTCGGGCATCATGCTGAGCAATGGGCTCATATTCTCCGATTGACCATAATCGGCATCAATCGCCGCGCTCCTCATTGCACTCATGAGGCCCTGGTCAGGCTTTACGTTGTTTTCAAGCTTGTCTTGGGCATATAATAGGCAAATTGAGTAACACAACGCGAGGCCGTGGGAAAGGTCGATGACCATTTCATCCCCCGAAGAGAGGGGCCCGGCTTGTTGTTTGTAGAGTAGGGGATGCGCCAGCTTGTTGTACAAGCTTTCGGGCAGACTCGTAAGTTGAACTTCAAAAATAACATCGCGGTAAGCCTCAAGGGTGCCCTGGGTTCCTTCTTTGATGTAGACGTGGTGATTTTTGCTCTGGTAGGCTCCGAACCAAGCATCCCACCTCTTTCCGACGGACCGTTCTTTCTTGAAGATGCTGGGCTTCTTAGCCTGTTCAAATGTCTCTTCTATTAGTTTGTTTGCCAACTCTAGCTGCGAAGGATAGTCGACCACGATGCGAATGCCCGCTAGGTCATGCATATCGTGGAATATTTCCTTGACGCTCGTGTAGTCGCCCAATTTGTTCTCGATGCGGTGCTGCAGGCGGCGATCAAGAGTTTTGTCAATCGACTGCGCAGCCTTGACTCTCCCATCGACTTTGGCTGATATATTCCTCTCTTCCACGAGTTTTTCGCAGTGAGCGATGAGGTTGCTCACCATAAGCTCGTAGTCTCCCTTCAATCTCGGCCAGACATCGTGCAGGAACGTGGATTTGAGAGTTGTGCCGCTAATAGTAGAGACCAATCGGTCGATTTTCGAATGCAGTCTCTTTTGTCGAACGCTGCCGCTTGGGGACTGAATAGGTTGGCCCATGGCGACAGTTGCACACGATGCGTGCGCCAGCCACGTAGCTTCCGACTTGTGATGAGGGGGTGGAAAAGTCATTTCCTGCGGGTGATAGAGTAAGCCTTGTGTACTGTCCAGCTGACCACAATTGGGTCGCATGCAAGGCAGCTTTGAGCCCAACGGTGCGCAGACCTGTGCATCTTCTAAGCCTGCTATTCGTCCAGCACACCCGCCACTGCGCTTGGCGGCGGTGCTACTGTTGCAATATTGGATCAGCCCTCACTTGCCTTAGACCCAAAGTGTCAGATTATGCTCGTTTCATTCAGGCTTGATATTTGCCAGCACCAGAGTGCGACTAAGACAGAACCGTCTTGCATCGACTGTATAAAGTACAGATTTAGGTTTAGTACCTGCATACTACCGCTCACAGAAAAGATACAATATATTGGTTGTTCCGAAAGCATATACTGTAGATTAATAGGGTTAATATAGCTATATAGTAGAAGATAAAGTAAATAGATTAAAGTAAATAATTTATTAATATCTAAGGGAAAAGCTAATTATCGCCCGCTTTATCAGAGATACTTAGCATATATATTTAATCAGGCACTAAGGAAGATAAGATCTTGGGTTTTTAATAAATAAAAGTTTAGGAAATAAAGAAAATAGAGTTCATTCGTTGTTGGAGAATGAAATTAATTATATTAGGGCAATGACTGGAATCACGAGCTATCCATAGAATATAAATACAAATAGCCAAACCCTAACAATATCCCTTCCTACTTCAGCCTGCGACCTCGAAATCAATAGCGACCACTTGATCAATGCACAAATTGGTACACCCTTTCTATAATTCAAGGAATTGCTGTGGTAGGGCAAATTTTGTTATCGACGATGGTAACAGGACCGGACCGGAGGCCATAGGCAACCTCGAGACAGTCTACAATACTATTCCCTTGCGTCTCATCTGTGACATTTGCCTGGTCTAGGCAGGGAGAGGCGATGCCATGGACGAATATTCCAAGGGCGTCTCGGCACTCAGCGGCTCCAGAAGGAACAGCGGATCCTGTAGCACCACTGAGACGACTGCAAGCCTCTGGTAGCTCTGTAATGCAACAGCTTTCGAGCTCGTAGAGAAGACAATCCGCTATATAGGTGCCCTTTGATTCATCTCTAATATCACCCTCCCAACATTGCAACATATCTTCGGTAGCGTATTTTCCGAGGGCCTCTTCGCAAGCTTGTATAACCGGCTCGAGCGCCAGGCCGTTAGTGTTCTCAAGGGCCTGGCAACCATCGGGCAGCTCATTCATACAGCATTCTGGCACCGGTGTTGCAGTGATAACGCATTGGCTAGTAGAGCTCGCAGGTATCGTTGACAAGGAGCTGCTGCTTGATGAACTTGGGCTTGAGCTTGGCTCTGGCGGGGCAGTTGTAAGTGACTCCAGGCTTGAGACTGGATGACTAGATATGGTACTAGGCGATGATTCGGTAAGGCTCGAAGTAGTTGTAACTGAGGTCTCTCCCGAGGATAATGCATTGGAGCTTGAAGAGATGGTAGGCGAAGTTGCTTCTGACAATGACGCTTTGGAGCTCGAAGAAATAGGTGAAGTTGCTTCTGAGGACGACGCTGTGGAGCTTGAAGAAATAGTAGGTGAAGTTGGTTCTGAGGATGACGCATTGGAGCTTGGAGAAATGGTAGGTGAAACTGCTCCTGAAGATGGCTCATCAGAGGTTGATGAAGTGACAGCCGAAGATAGATCTGAGAGTGAGGCCACAGGGGTCGAAGGAATAGTTGTAACGGTTGCGCCAGACGCCGGATCGGACGATATTTGGTTTGAAGTGTCACTGGTAGGTTGAAGAACCGCGGTGGTGGGCGTGCTACCATTGTCACTGTCGTCAATAATAGTAGTTATTGCGCTCCCGGAGATACCACTCCAAGTCTGCGTGACCTCATCGTATGTTCCAGTAATCACATTGTTGGTCGGTAACAATACAACCTTCGTGCCGAATCGGCCATTTCCGGGCGGGGGAATGGTAAGAGTCGAGCCAGCGTCGTTTGAACAGAGAGCAGTCAACGTCGTAAATTGTCCTTGAGGCGCTGGCTTAGCAAGGTCGTGTTCACCGAAAGGACAGGGTGAGCCATCACTGACGGGGCAAGGCGAGCCGTCGGCGTCACCAGGCCCGGACCACGAGGAACTGCTATAGCTTCACAGATTTTTGTCAGCAAAATTGAGAGATCCTAAATTTCCTTATATCCAAAGGCCAGAAATAGTTCAGCTTACAGTGTAACAGATGCTGTAACGGTGTTTGTAATTTCAAAGCTCGTTTCAACAATAGTTGGCACATGGGTGATAGGGATGTTGGTGCCCGCGAGAGCGAGTGTTGTTTCTTCACAAATGTGAGAACTAGCATAGACTGAGGTCTTTTGCACAAAGACAAGTGGCTGAATAGTCACGTTGTCCGGGCAAACATGAGCGGCGGAGCTGACCCCCCGGATTATTGCCAGGGTCAGCGAAGGGAGGAAGAATGAAAGACGCATAGCGAATGACTGTAGTGGATGAATGAGCGAGTGACTAAGTTGAGGTTCTTATTTATAAGCGATAGGATTATTAGATACAATTTGATGCAGTTATATATGGCCTACATGACATCTTATATTCACAACGCGGTATGCAAATCACGATACGCGTGGGATCAACTGCTAAATGCATACATTAAATTTCTTGGAATGCTTTGAAAATCCCATAGGGCTTTCTTTCGGCCACTCGGCACCATATGCGGGCATGAGAAGCGCCTCTGTCGTAAACAGGAGGCTACTTCTTCGTGTTGGTTGGGACGCAATCACAGAGACCCATATTTCGCCCGTCGGCCGGTTTCAAGAGTCTGACTTCAGCTGCGTTTTCCGCGGACTTGCTATCCCGGCACTGCTGAGAATTCCTCATCTATGCCGTATAGTCACTCTACATACCACAAAAAACTCCAATCACACCCGGACTGCTCTCACCGAGCCGAGGGCATACATAATACTAATACTTATAGTGGTATGCAAGATATTACTTTGATTCTCGATGTTCCCTGCTCAGCTGATGCAAACTCGGCCACTAGCTATAGTAGGCAATAATCCTGGGGATCAGCAGGAGAAAGGTACCTCTGCATAGAACCTGAATACTCTTGTAATCCATTCCATGTAAATACAGCATGCTATCTTGTAATATCTAACTACGGCAGGCACTCACAGTTGCAGGATTACTTCACGGGTGGTGTGCGGTTGGGTGCCACTGAGTCCTGTTAATGCCGGGAAAGGAAATCTTTAAAAAAGGAGCTCTCACCCCCCTCCATCTTCAGGCTTCCGTATCGTCCAACACATTGCCATTTCATTTCTTTACGCTCCTTGCATATCCCAATCAACGTGTCGTTCTCTATGGCCCTGTCTTTTCCGGCTTTGGTCGCCCCGACATTAGGGGACATCACCGTCAAGCCGTACTGCGATGCCCATGCTTTACCCTCACCGGCAACAATAACCCTAGACGAAATCACCCTCACTGTGGAGACCAGCCAAATATATGAGACTACCATGGCCTGCCACAACGAACAGCTCAACACAGCCTCAGATGCTCTAGAATCTATCAGCTGTGGTAGCGCCACTGTTGTTCAAGATGCGATCACTCTTACAGAGATCGCCCCCAACGTCAAGGTCACTGGGACATGTCAAGAGAGCTTTGATACGGGTACTAGCGACTGCTCCGGAGTCATCCTAGAGCATGAACCTACCAGCTTCAGCTCCACTGGAGGCCCAGCCACCTCTCAGCCTGTAATTTCGGACGGAAGCCCAAACGAAAGACATGGCACAATTTTGCGCCTGAGCGCACTTCTGTTCCTGGCTGCCTTCGTTCCTCACGCTATGCTTTGAGCAGCTGTCGATCGCATTATTTGGGAGACAAGACTATGCTATTGTTATGGGGGAGGGAAAAGGATACTCTCGAGGTCGACTGGGGGGCTGAGAAGTGTGTAGTTGGATCAGACATGTCTTAGAGCTTCCAGCTGTCAATTAAAGTCGATCCATAAGCCAGCTGGGTACTAGCACAACGTGTACTTCGAATGTCTTAGCGAGAGTTATCCCCGAATAATTTCCACTTAAACCATGCCCAGCTAGAAATCGTATGATCTAGCTCGCGTCTCGGCGCCCTAACTTATTTCTGAGACACTATCTGATTTCACGTGGCATATCAGCATCAGCCCAAGGAGCAGCTACACAAATAGGGATGGGCATAACTGGATTCATGTAGCCGTACATGTATCAGGTGATAAGAACCATGAAAATTTTCTTAAGGCAAACGTATTTTAGAGAGGGCGTTATTGTTGTGAAGAACACTACTAACAGTCACAGCTGAGCTCATGACTTTGCCAATGGCGAAGTGTGGCTGGTTTCAAGACCCAATTATACCCCTATACTAAGGATGAGATGTACTGTATATCATTGCTAATTGGAGAAATAGAGTCGTCTTGTACTAGTCTCGATTTCACATACCAACAGACGATCTTACGAAAACAGGGCTACGCTGATATTTTTGCCGGCGAAACACGGGTCCTAGCAAACCAGGGTACAGCAGTTCATGGAAGCTGAATCCATCCAAAAGAATGTGTTTACACCCTCGAAAGGGAGGGCCACAATAAGAGAAGCCGAGGCTAGTAGCTGGCTCTTTGAGCTCTTGTACCCTAAGCGAGTGCAATCTGTAACCCGGAAATGATATATCTGTATCATGAAGAGATAGATACCTCTGAAGATGTAGGTCCCAGGTATTCGAGATGAGAATGAGGTTGCAATACAAAAACACCTTTTTAATAGCAACAATAAAAATAAAGCAGAAAAGAAAAGGCGGAAATCTAACTGCTATCTCGATTAACATAGCGCGTAGTAATACTCTACTCTCATAGCTTTAGGGTAATACCAGGCTGGGGGCTTCTAGGGCATTACATATATAATTTCATACATTCCATTATATCTCTTGCCGGATTTCTATTCCTCGGTCTATCTTTATCTATCCTTTTTCATTCTTGATCATTGAGCCTAGGTATGTAATATACTTATCTTAGTAGTTATAACGGATACTTACGCCTTTCGGCTTTGTTTATTCACTTAGTAGTACTTGAATGCCATATGTCTCAGTGCTCTCGGATGAGGTAGAGCCCAGCTGAATTTGCATGTACGATGCTAGGTATCGCACCTGAATAGTATAGACTGGAATGCGCATCAGGGGCTTAATACATCGGAAGTACGTTGGAATTTTTTTATGAAAGGAACCGTCTGATGAAAACAGTACCTTTCTGCCGTACCAAATATATAAAAGAAGAGCCTTTAGCTATAAATTTCCAGAGATCTTCCAACCACACTCTCTAATCACAATCAACTCCCCTCCAATCACTCGCAGCTCACCAACCCATCCTTTGTTTCCCCTTGCGAAGTCGCGCTATTTGGCTAGCAACTTCTTTTTTATAGCTTTCTGCTACTTCCTCCATTCTCCATCTACAACATGAGAGCCCATATCTTCATTGCCTCAGCACTTGTTGCTTTTGCTGCAGCAATCCCTATGGAGGCTAGACAATGTGCCGGCTGCGAGCCTTCGGGCAAGGGAGCTTCTAGTGCCAGCGGTATGTCCGAGGCCAACCCTAACGCCACCTCGAGCTCCAATGCTTCCAACAACAACACAAACAATAATTCGATCAGTCTCACTCTTCCCAGCACGTCAGGAAGCAATGGCAGTCCATCGGGGAGCAATGGCGGTGACGGTGGTAACAATCAGCCTCCAACTAACAGTGATGGCGAAGAAAAAGGCACCTGCAAGGCCTGCATCGATTTCTGCACGGGACGTGCTGATCTTCTCGATGGTCTATGCAAGGTCATCGTGTGCGGCATTGACGTAAGTTTCCTCGCCCTCGGAACAGAAGGAATTATAATTAACATGACTGTGCTTAGTGCGTTCTTGTCTAATTGTTGTGATTATGGCGGATACCGGTCTATGAGGTTAAAGGCTACAGCCATGGGTAGTTTGAGTTATTACCATTATACCCTCGGTACTGTTTTCGCCTGGTGCTATCATCGGGGTAGCCGCTATCAGCATCCACGCGCCACATACGACATATTACTGAGGCATTCGAGGTGGAGAAAGCTGTGGTCGATGTAAGGAGTTCTCCATGGTGTGTACATCTGGAGTTTAAGCTCGGCCGTCCACTAGCGGGCTTTTTTTCTTGTAGTATTACTATTTTTATTATTATTATTATTCTGCAGGATTAAGTACTTCATCGATATGAGCTAAAATATAAATAATCCTCGCATTTTCCACTTTTTCTTGCTTTTAGCCTTATTGCGCGATAACCAGCTATTGAGAGAGGTGCTAGCGAGGCTAGTATTTGCTTCTTGGAGCAGCCATGGGTCGTTTAGGTCTATCTTTCAGAATGCCCTTTATTTAATATTTCTGTTCGTGGTATATAGTATATAGCCTTCTGAAGATCTAGAGAATCAACAAGCTCTGCTCCAGACTGAAACCAATAGTAGCAAATAGGCTAACTTGGGCCCGGACACATACACCTTGGGTTATTTTATCGATTGTATTCTTATTCGGTCGGTGGGCATCGGCTACAAATCACCTTTTTGTTTGATATTTGTTTGATATTTGTTTGACGTCAAGAAATGATATTATCCTTGGTTTACCCTCGACAATGAGCCTCCCCTCTCGGCGAGCGTTGATTGGGACGTGCGAACGTAGAAAGATACTCTGCTAGTCTCTTACCAAGATATCTCGCATACCCCTCCCCCCGAAGACAAGAGCGGTGATTGGATAAGGTACTTTAGTAACCATACATCATCGTGAACCAACCATCTGGACTTTTGTCACGTACACAATTGCATAGTGAATTATCCTCCTCGTATGCGGACTGAAAGAAGTCTGCTCGGCGACATGATAAACCTTCTGGGCGAAGAGCACCGTCAACCAAAACCGGGAAAGCCCCGAAGTAAGCATCCTTCCGAGAGCCCTGATAAGGAGTGCTGAAAACTTGTACGACCGACGTAAGAGTATCTTGTAAGTCCTTGAGGCAATAGCAAGATCGCTTTACCACGGGATCATCTATGGGCATGTTGAGCCCGATTGGTCTCCGGCTTTCCAACTCCTCATCCTCAAACCAAGGCTCATACTGTAGTTTCGGTTGTCTATTAGAATAATCATGATCAGATGCGAGTGCCAATGTCGTTTTAATTTCGTCTTCAATTCGGCTGCCATCCTTCATACCAGCCCCAAGTAACATCCTTGCGACCGCTTCATGTTCGTCTTTAATAACATCTTGTTCGTTTTTAATAGAATACCATAAAGGAATCCTTCCCCGAGAATCTCTAGTTTTTACATTGGCGCCGTGATATAGCAGCAGCTTAACAATTTCTTGGTGTCCGGATTCAGCTGCTAATGACAGTGGTGTCCGTGAATCTCCGTCTTTTGAGTCAGTATACGCCCCCTTTTCAAGTAGGAGCTTCACTACATTAGAGTGACCTTGTCCCGTAGCTAACAAAAGAGGTCTCCTGTAGCGATACTGAATATCTATGACATTGGGGTCAGTGTCAATGAGAAGCTTAGCTAGGCTCAAGTAGCCCCTTTCCGCGGCCAAACAGAGCGTAGAAAGGCGAAAGTCTATATCTTTTGCGTGACCTCGTTCCACCAGCATCTCCGCAATATTTAAATGGCCCCTATATGTTGCTAGCCATAGCGGTGCTAAGCTCTCACTGTCCCCTATGCACGAGTTGGCCTTATGGTCAAGCAGCAAAGCAACAGTCCGTTCATGGCCATTTCTTGACGCCCACCACAAGGCAGTTCTCCCGCGCCAGTCAACGAGATCAACAGATCCGACTTCAACAAGCTTGGGTATTACTTCATAAATCCCAAAATAAGCTGCTAGATGAAGACCTGGCATGGCGGTAGCATTATATTGAGGACCAAACTCTCTCCAAGAAATTTCCGTGGCTGCCACTACCTGAAAAGCTGATGATGTCTTTTTAGTCGACTTGAGAAAATTAACAACTTGATCAATAGAATAGGTGTTCTTGTAAGTGTGCTTTCCCCAATAGTTCGCTGCGTAAACACAAAGAGGGTAGTTCTGAATCCTGGTCTCAAAGGCAATCCTTGTTGCGCATGGGCCGTCCTCAAACGCCTTGAAAGAGAGATAGGTAATGCATGTGTCGATTAAAACTGAATTTGCGTCAGGGAACCATTGCATATATGTTCTTTGAAAGTATTCTTGGGTAGTCTTGTGTATGAGCCCGACTACATTTCGGTGCTCCTCCACTGTAACTAGCCCAGCGCAGACGGATAGGATGTCTTCGACATCCGGGAGATCCTCCTGGGTGATATCCCGGTCACCATGGCGCATTGATACCGCGTGCTGCAACTCACGAGGGCTTAAGTCTCTTTTTGCAAATACAATCCAAGATAAAATCCGCCTCGCGAATTGAACTGAACTCTGGCCCTGAGAATTGATTCTGGTCATTGCATCATCGTATGCGCGATCGTAAGCCTCGGATCCGGATGGAAGACTCTCTAGCGCCTGTCTTACGTCTCTGGGTAGCTTCTTGTGCAGGAGGGAATCAAGTTGGAGCTTGGCAAGTAAGAAGCTTTTCTGCGGTTAGTTAAACACTTCCAGATACTGACCAGGTAAAGTATTACTCACACCCCATTTACAGATTTGATAACGCCTTCAGCAACTTTTTCTTGAAAACCAGGTCGCTGCAGAATTTTGGACTCTCCATGGGCAATACGCTCTTGGAGATACCGGCGCAGATCCATGTCGTTAGCGTGAATTTCCACAGTACGGCTCCCTTCCATCCTTCGTTTGATGACTGCGTAATTTCTTGAGGTCATTAAGAGATTGGCCGAGGTCTGGCTCTGAAGTGCCAATAGCGCTGACAGGAATTTTGATCGCCCACCGTCAGTGATCGGGTACTCATCAAGGGCATCAATGACAATGAATATTCGGGAAAACATTTTTGCGACACAGACAAGAGTATCCAAGAGTTCCTGCAATGTTGCCCGCGTTTTCTCAGTCTTGTGCCGATTGTAAAGCTCGATGACAGGCATTGGTAGGCAAGAAGACCTTGCGGCAAGTTGTTTTAGCACACATGCCATATGATCAGCAGGCTTTTGTTCTTGTGGCTGCAGATAACTGCAGTAAATATATGCAAGACCAATACTTTTATCATCCACTGACCGAAGAAAAAGATCATTAATGATAATGGACGCAAGTATCGTTTTGCCTACTCCTTGGTTTCCTGGGCAGTAAAGCGTTTGGCCCGCGGTGCTCATCCAGGTTCGATATTCCTCAGACTTCAAAAACCACACACCTGTTCCAGGGCAGCTGCGTTCGAAGAAGTCAGACTGTTGGGCATTATATTCGAGAGGCGTGATCCAATTGAGAATTTGCAGTCGGTTTTGTGATTGATTGTGCTTATTGATTTGATCTGTAGCTCCGGACACGGATGAAACTTGCTCCTTGATTTGATTCAGAGCTGCAAGTTTTGGTTAGCACGAGCATACTACAAGGACTCCTAGTCTTTGGTACATGTATGAAGACAACACTATACGTACCTTTGTCAAACGTTTCGGCCCAGGATGGCATCAATGTAACCCTCGTAGGTTTGACTACATGCAACAATGCTCGAGCGTAGGCTGCTGCCGTGAGCGCCGCGTAAGCATGCCATTCATCGTTCTTATGAGAATCCGAGTAGTCGCAGATGCCTCTGATCACTAGACATGGGAAATGGTTCATCAAGCCGGCAGCCTCCATTTCGAAACACATTATTTTCAAATTAGGGTCGCCTGCATACTTATCCCTCGTAGCTGCGTTCTTCATTACCGTGTTGCCAGAAGCAATTGTTCCGTAGTGAACAGTAACTTGACGAATATTAATCCGAGCTCTCCGGTCAATGAGTGCAGCTGGATCACAATTTGAGCATTCTGCTTCTCCAGAATGAAGATAGTCGGAACGGTACAATCTGTCACTCTGAGGCGTTCCGAAGGTGGGCATGTCTTGCATTCGAACAAGATTCTCAGCGATCATGTCAGGCTTTCTTGGGTCATTATGGCGTCGTTGTAATTCCGATACTGCACCGAGTAGCAATGGTGGAGGAGAATTTTGGTGCCCAGAGTGCTGAAATCGGTCACCTTCCAGGCTTTTCCCTAGATCATATTGATACACGCCCCCATACGCTCCTCGAGGAACACTGACTACGACATCGCCAAGGCGGATATCGTGCTCTGTACTGGGTGCGCCGCCCCCGATGCCGACCATCAATGCGAACTTGAAATTCGGAAACGACCTCGCCATATCTTTTGCCACGTTTGTAGCTTGGCTGAGGCCATATCTTGGTAGACATACAATGACGATGTTATGCAGCCCGATGCGGCCGTAGACGTAGGTATTGTCGTCATTCATCCTATTTGTTTCAGGGCCGTCAAACTCCTCATCAAGCATACGGCATCCAGCTTCGTATTCTTCTTGCAAGGCACATATCCACCCAATAGAGTAATCCTCAATATTGGGCTCCATAGTCGATGGCCTACTATCATGATCAGCGATGAACACATCTGACTTCCACAACCTCACAGGCTATTCTTACCTCTCATCCATATGCATTTGGCTGAAATTCATTCGAAGTGAGGTGAAATGGAAATGGTCTATCACCGGCAAATTTGGTCTTTTTTAATCTCTTGAATCAAAGTGCAACTACCTAGCTTACATTGCAGCGAAGCAGAGTCAGCCATGATATGCCGACCTTCTTATATGATTAGTTTATGTATCACTCGAGATGCCTCATTACGACAGCGTGCATTTTGTCGTCAGAATTAGGCAGATTTGGAGATCCCATTTAATCTGTGAGGCTATCAATGCTGCAAATGTGATGTATAAAGGGCTAATGGATGACAATTAACTGGGTGAGATTTCAGAGTG